CGTCAGGTGTGTCACACGCTACCTCTCCCCCCCCGGTAGCCCCTCAGGTGCCGTCCCCTTCCCCACAGTCCTCCTCACAGCCTACTGCAGACCCTGCGGGGGCAGGTGCTCGTGTCGAGGACCCTGGGGGTGCTACCTCTAGAGGGGTTGGAGTTGGGGCTGAGAGTGTCCCTCCACGAGGTTCTGGTGCCGGGGGTGCTGGCGTTGGAGCTGAGCCAGAGTCTGCAGGAGGTTCTAGTCTTCAGGGAGTTGGTGTTCGTCGCGCTGTCTCTGGGGGTGCTACGACTGGGGGTGCGGGTGCGTCCCCTACGGGACCGGGAGAGTCTGGGACTGGCCGTGTTGCTGCTGGTGGTGCTGGCTCTGGGGGTGGTGTGACTGGTTCTTTGGAGGGCGGTCCTGGGGCTACCACAGCTCCGGACACTACTCCTCCCCCCCACCCCTACCCGACCCGGCACCAGGCCTGTGTTCGCCGTGCCTTCGTGGGCTGTAGGAAGGGGGATAGGGTAACAATTGCTATAAACAATTTCGGGCCATCAAACTACCCCACATAAGTGGCAACGTCGAGGCTTACGTTGGTGTTGCATGCGGGAATGAGGACCAATCGCAGTCTATTTTGCCCGTGAAGTACTATTGCTCGACCGGGCGACAACGGGGTTTGGTGAGCGGTCCGCAGCGAGAATGATCAGACCCGAGTCAATGGTGTCCCACACCTACTTGGGGTTTTAGTTTTGTTTTGCCTAATGTCGCATGAGGTTTAAAGCCCCATTTTGCAGCTGCTGAGCCTTTCTCCGAGCCAGCCAAAATTTTGTTGGGGCTGTGGTTACCCCTATACATCAATGATATTGAACGGCGCCAATGAACTCTACTTAACGAGATTTGTTAAACCGGGTACCAGCAAATGGTAGACCTTTCATTCTAAATTCCACACAAAAAAAATACACGCCCTAACTTGTCAATCAAATCGAATGGATTGCATGATTGTGTAAAACATAGATTTTTTTTTACGCACGCGTGACGTTCCAAAAAATCGTTAGCACGCGTCCCCCTGATAAGGGCGTGTCTGAAGTGCAAACGTCGAGTTTCGTCAAATTTCGTCGACGAAACTCATCCGTGGGACCCACGCGTGTTGGTGTCTGAAGTGCAGCCTGACATCCCTCGACGAAACTCGACGTTCGTGCACATGTCGAGGGATGTCGAACAGTGATACCGGGCAGCTGTTTGAGTCACTGTAGTCAGTGAGTGTTTCAAAAACAATTCTTCGACACGCCATGTCTGCATAGCTGTGGCAAACACACGTGAATAAGAACTAAGACGAGAGCGACACGTGCTAGAGAAATTTCGCTGGCAATGTGACAGTAGAATATCCGGTGTTACCAGCAACAATCTATGCTAAGCGAAATTCGCGAGATTGCAAACAATTGAGTTACATGAATGATTCTGTTAATTCCACGTCGAATTTTCATGGGCAACTTATAACAGTGTTCCTATGGCACGTGTGGGTTATTTTGTCGTGTGGGTGTCTGAAGTGAACACAGCTGAAAACGGATGTCGAGTTTCGTCAAGGAACGTCGACGAAAGTTTCGTCGGCAAACGTCGAAATTCACTTCAGACACGCACTAAGGGTTCATCCAACCGCACACTGTGTTGCTTTCCTCACTTTCGGTCCTGAAATGCAGTCGTCCACAACCCCACGCCTTTGTCGTGCTTGCCTAACCGCCACAAGTGCCTGGCAGCGCAGATTCGCAACCAGTGGTAAAATCAACCACATCTTTTCGCAACCCATCCATCTACACTTTCGCCGCAACCATTCAACTCCCGCCTTCCACAAGTTCACTGTGCTTCGAAAAGCACCATCGCACCGCACCGCTCCAACTTCTGTTCCGCCCCCTCCGCCTAGTGCCATCTCCGAGCTGCCCTTCTTCCCACCTTCCCCCACCTCCCCCTGACCTGGCCCGTCGGTGTTCGGATATTTTCAAGGTGCTGCCTGGTGTTGTGCCTGGTGCTGACAGCATTTCACCTGTTGAGAAAACTGTCGCGCTTTCGGTTCTGCTTGGTTCGTTACGATCAGAAGGCGAAGCTATCCATCATCCGTACTGTCTCAGGGCGAATTCCTACGCAGGGACACCATCCGAAGTTGCGACACCTTGACGGGTTGCTTATTTGTTTTCGATTGAAGGTCTAATAGTCAAGTAACCTCGTAATTTGACAGGCTTGATAGATCCTCGATCCCAACCATGCGCAGAGGCAAGCTAGTCTCGATGTGTTTGGTCAGCTGTGCTTAAACAGCTTACTGACATGTGTGGCGTGGAGTGTACTGAGATCGTAGAGAATTTTGTGTGTATTTCTCAGCAATGAAATTTTCGTAGCGTGGTCGTCTGGGTCAGTTTGCTTCGGGGGAGTAGGCGTACAGCATAAAAAAACGTTCAACATGTCCAGAGTTCGGATGGTGTCCGTGCCCAGGAATTCGCTCTCAACCCAATCCCTCCCCCTTCATCCCGCTCATAAAAAATGGGGGCGGGTGGGGCCACTGGTAGGGTGGCTGGCTGCATCTCTCACCTAGGGGGTTCGCCTCGCCACTGGCGGCGACATCTCACACCTGCTTTATGCTCGGATTTGCTCCTCCCAGTGCCACCACGCTATCTTACGCCCAAACAATTTCGACTGACCCACCGCAACACAACGCGAATCGAGCTCCATGATTCATCCCTAAAAGTGCCCAAGCGTGTTGTACCTACTACTTCAAGCATGAAAGCGCCCAACTAAAAGCGTTCTTTTAGGGCCACCAGCTTCGGTGATCGTGGTTCTGAGAGGCGGTGTTGACTTGTCCCATGCGCCAACAGAAAGCGGTCCGCGGCAAATTTGCACTGCGGAAAGTGCTGCTAGGAACAGCAAAATGCAGTAGCTACAGCATTTCTCAGTATGGAACCGCTTTCAATGTGAAACTTTCTGCCTTCCCGTTCCAATCAGCAGACTGTGGCACATAACGATGTGGTGGAAGTCTTTGACGACCAGCATAAAAAACGAAAATACTATTTCGTTGACAATGCAATGGATAACGATCGCCTCGCCGCTTTTGGCGTCCCACCCACCTGCTAGCCGCGCTGCCCCAACGATATGCTCCTGATTTGCCTATTTCTGCATCAACTCAGATCATAGTATAGTTATACAAGCCGCTGCTCTTGTTTCCCTTGCCTCGCTATCACAAGAACCTGAAGCAGATCCTCAGCACTTCTGTTCTGCCTGCTCGTTTCCATTGTTATTAGTTCCCTCAACCATGGCTCGCTGTGAAAGTCTTTCCCCACTGGCAGTGTCAGAATATTGGGGCGCGCTGACCTGGGATGCCACGCAATCGTCAATTTTATCAATTCCGAAACTCAATGTCGTTAAGATAGAAACACGCGTCGCCGCAGATCTCGCCGTCGCAACCGCGGACGGGGGCGCGTCCACTAAAGTCGCCAAACTCGTTGATGGGAATCTGCGACCTACTGACGTGGCTGCGGCGAATCATCATGACGGCTTACCCTCAGCCGCCAATGATCATGGTGCAGGCTGCGCGGGTTCATTTGAGGTGACAGAGTCGGACCTCGATTTCATCATGGCGCTCGATCAGCGCTGGAGCGACCTCGACGATTCTCAGCCAGACGGTGCTGCGAGCAGCAGTACCGTTGACGATTGCGACGGGAGCGGCGTAACCGTCGGCGGCCGCAGCCGTGGCGGCAATCTGCGACGAATTGCCAGCTCCGCGAGTAGTATCGGTAGTAGTGACGGCGACGCGGGCGGCGCGGGCGGCGCTGGCGGGACTGTCGAAATCACTTGCTTTGATGACTTGGCGGAAGTCACGGGCATACGCACAAGAAAGCTTCTAGTAGCGGATTCGTGCGACCTGTTTCCGTGCCTTGTTCCTCAAAGTCCGTCAACGGAATTCGAACCCGCGTCTGCGACTCAGTCTCCAGACAAGCGGCAGCGGCGTGATGTTCTACCGTCGCCGGTTACCGATCAGGATGTGGATCTTTGGCTCGCCGAGGCTGCGAGTTACTTGCGACGATGTAACGAAACGGGTTACCTGGCAGATGTTCGCGACTATGATGAAACCTTCTCGCATCCCCCAACTTCAGCTGTTCCTCCTGAACATACTGATCTGCAAATAAGCCTTCGACAGCCGTCTTCGCAAGGCTACATCGTCAACGATGCGTTTTTGCTACCTAATTTCGCACAGCGTGTTTCTAGCACAACAAAGAAGCTGTACGCTGACGGAGGTAACATGAAGGAAAGGCTGGTTTCGCAGCAATCTAAGGATGAAGCTGATGGTGGTGCATATGAGGCGCTATTGGAAGCGCAGATTGCGGCGATGGTGCCGGCAGAGCTGGAAGAGATGGACATGGAGATTATCCTGGATCTAGACGCACATGATGACCACCACTGACTTCCAACTTGTACCACTCATAGCTGTTTTGCAAACCATGCTTTCAATCCTGTTAAATGTATCTAGCGAATCATGTGCAAATTTCTAATAACGAGGTATTCGTCAGAGATTGGAGGGTTTTTTTTCCCCGTGACTTGCTTGCCTGTCATATTGGGACATCTGGCTGGCAGCTACGTCATCCATGCTGTGATTGATTTTGCTCCGCTGGCTATTTGTAGGCATCAGTAACCAGAGGCAGGGTGTCGCTCAAGCTTCTTCGAAATACGTGTGCGAAGACAGATTCTTTCCCGGAACCAAAACCTTTGCGGTTGCGACATGTAACCCAATGGCAAAAACCTCTCTCAAGAAAGCCATCGCCAGTCGCGAGAGGATCACCTGCAGCTGGGGGTGTTGGTGCGCGCTGAACATTCTTCATAGCAGGTTTCACATCTACCTTTCCAAATGCTCAGCAACATCGAGTGCTAGAATATGTGGTAGTCGGCACGAGATTTTGCCATTTATTGACATTCGACAGGCCCACAGCAGCTCGTTTCAGTATCCTGCCTTCTATCCGTCCGCTAGTAATTACTGCGTTACTATGGCCTTAGACCTTTCCTGCCAACCATTTAGCTTGCTCTCCCCACCGTCGGTACGCTCCCCTACGCCAGTACACAAACGCATCGCAAGAATCCTTCCTATCTACAAGAACCGCATCGCGTCTATCAATTTGGCTACGCCACCGCGCTCCCGTCCTGAACGCCGTTTCGCGGTCTCCGCGTCGCATCAGTTCCAGATACCAGCGCGCCTCCGGAAAATCATTTCCACCTCCCCGTCTGCTTCAGAAACTCAACCGTCAGATGCGCTAAGCCAAGAAGAGCTCCTTAAAGACGACGCCGCTGCTTACTATGGAGACCTTAGTGATGTTTCCGGCGGTAGTATCGCCAGCGCGAATGGCGCTGAGGCGGAGCAGAAGCCAGACGATGCCGCCACGTGTCTTTACTTGATTCGCGTGAAGACAAGCCGGGAGCCTCTTTCTGGCATGTCCATATCAGGTGGCGGCGTCCTATTGGCTGTGATTGGAGAAGACGGTGACACAATTTCGGTGCAACTCCAACCACAGGTTGACTTGGAATCGACGGTTCAGAAGAGTGCTGACAAAGACGGGCGGACGGATGCTGCAGCCACTGGAGTCTTGCCAGTTGGTGCAACGGCATTCGCTGCAGGACAGACAGCGGAAATCCGTCTGACCGCGCCTAGTATCGGTCCAGTGGTGGCTGCTTGGCTGGCGCCGCAACGAGGCGCCACGTGGCGAGTTGACAGCGTGTCTGTCGCTGTTGTTCCAAACAGTGCAGCAGAAAGAAAGGCTGCTTCAGCTGAAGCAGGAGAACCAGATGTGGTGACGGCGGTAGCTGATTCCTCAGCAGTAGAATATACGCTCCTTCCAGGACCTTACTCCACTTTTCTTGGAGACCCTTCAGGTGGGGGTAACAGTGGGAACCCCGATACGCCAACAGCGATTCAACTAAGAGTGGCGCAAACACAAATATTAGATCCTTTGTTCGCTTTGACAGCACCCGAAGCAGCTGCTACAGCTGCCAAAGCTGCGGAAGAGGCTCGGAGAAAGAGGGAGGAGGGGTTGAGGGAGTATGAAGAACTGAAGAGGCTGATGTTGCTGGTTACCACAGGGTTGGTGGTTACTGGGACAGGAGCTGCTGGGTGGGTAGGAGGAGTGGACACTGCTCTGGCGTTTGCTGCAGGAGGGGCGCCGGCGCTTGTCTACTTGCTGAGATTGCAGAGCCGAGTCGATGAGCTTCCGTCGGCCAATATAACCGAGACTGCAAAACCACCTAACGCAGCAACATCCGACACTTCAGGTGAATCTAGCACCGTTCTTCAAACTCCCAGCAGTGGAACAGTGGTGGAAGGAAGAAGCGGGGATCCTGAGAACCTTAATCTGGTGCGAAGTATTGGAGTCCGGGCGGTGTTAGCCACTGTAGCCATTGGATCAGCTGTTGCCCTCTTGGGAGGCGCTGGTGGTGGCGAGGGTGACGGGGGCCTTTTGACGGGAGGGTTGCAGGCTCTGAAGATTGAGCCACAGCAGTTTGCTGCGGGTGTGTTGGGCTTCGTTTCCCACAAGCTTGCTCTCGTGCTGGTCGCATTGACGAGTGGGAGTGAGCATACGGATGAATAGTATACCGAGACTGAGTTTCATCACATCATGTTCCCAGGCTAGGTACATGCAAGGTGGTTGTATGTTGTATTTACTGCTATGACTTGTACAGCTGTGTGCGATGGAGGGAACATGTGCATGGACGTTGATTTCAGTTTGTGCAGAGAACAATTGTGATATCCCGTGTATTTTGTTTTCTCATATGAGCCCTCTGTTCTCTCACCCAGCTTAGAGTTTTCTGCTTGATACTGGTAATAGGCTGCATGTGAGCATCTTGATTCTATGCAAGTCCTTCAAGTTGTTTACTTAGTTTATCATCTGAAGTGTAATCTCCGCTGACATGTGTAGTGTGAAGTAATAGGCAACCTCTCGATGAATCGAGGGACCTAGAAGCTCCAAAGCACCGTCGATCTGACCGGTCACTTACGGATGATCGCCACGTCTGCAGAAGGGAAAGTTTCTCGAGACGCGCAATGCAATTATTCCCGAGCCGCACTTCAGCCCAATGTAAAGAAATCACGAGGCCAATCTGTCTGGTTCCAGCAGCTTCTCGATTTGAACTGAAAGCCATTCCTTGCATTCCACACCTTTCTGGCAGCTTCTCGAATCCTGGCACCAGCGCCTTTTCACTCCATCTCTCTCAATGGCTACATATATGGATGAACTCGCCATTTCGGATTCATCAAATTTGAACTTCAATCACCTCTCAACTCTCTCTAAACAATTACGCTCTCCGCGCCTGTCAAGAATCGACCTAAACTAGCTCTCTATCTAGTGACGTTTACTCAGCAGAGGATTCTGTCTGCTCTTCGTTATATTTATCACAGTACCTGAGAACTCCGTCATGGCGAAGGGAGAAGGCCCTGCGATTGGCATCGACCTCGGCACGACCTACAGCTGCGTGGGCGTGTAGCAGCACGATCGTGTTGAGGTCATCGCCAACGACCAAGGCAACCGCACCACCCCGTCCTACGTGGCATTCACTGACACGGAGCGCTTGATTGGCGATGCGGCGAAGAATCAAGTGTCCATGAACCCTGTCAACACCGTTTTCGGTACGTCACGTGCTGAATCATCCACCATTTCCGACACTCCGCTTCCTCTACCCCTACTTCCTACTTCCGCACTGAATTATTGCATACCTTGAATATGCCTGCCTCGCTGTTCGTCGGTTCAACTGTTTCTCGATTCATTTTCTTCACTCGTCTTGCTTACAGATGCGAAGCGTCTCATCGGGCGGCGGTTCTCTGACGCGCCCGTGCAGAGCGACATCAAGTTGTGGCCGTTCAAGGTGATCGCAGGCGCGGGCGAGAAGCCAATGATCCAAGTCGAGTACAAGGGCGAGACGAAGCAGTTCGCCGCGGAAGAGATTTCGTCCATGGTGCTGACGAAAATGAAGGAGATCGCAGAGGCTTACCTTGGGACTACTGTGAAGAATGCGGTGGTGACGGTTCCGGCGTATTTCAATGACTCACAGCGCCAAGCGACGAAAGACGCGGGCGTGATCGCTGGGCTGAACGTGATGCGGATTATCAACGAGCCGACAGCAGCTGCTATCGCGTACGGGCTCGATAAGAAAAATAGCAGCTCGTCGGAAAAGAACGTGCTAATCTTCGACCTCGGCGGAGGTACTTTCGACGTGTCGCTTCTTTCGATCGAGGACGGCATTTTCGAGGTGAAGGCGACGGCTGGCGACACGCATTTGGGTGGTGAAGATTTTGACAACCGCATGGTGCACCACTTCGTCCAGGAATTCACGCGGAAGTACAAGAAGGACCTGAGTAACAACCCGCGATCTCTTCGCCGCCTTCGCACGGCCTGCGAGCGCGCCAAGCGAACCCTCTCCTCTACCGCGCAAACGACCATCGAAATTGACTCGCTCTACGAGGGAATCGACTTCTACACCACCATCACTCGCGCGCGCTTCGAGGAGCTGAACATGGATATGTTTCGAAAGTGCATGGATCCCGTGGAGAAGTGCCTCAAGGACGCGAAAATGTCCAAGGCGCAGATCCACGACGTGGTGCTCGTCGGCGGATCTACGCGCATTCCCAAGGTGCAGCAGCTGCTGCAGGAGTATTTCAACGGGAAGGAGCTCTGCAAGAGCATTAATCCTGACGAGGCTGTGGCGTACGGCGCGGCGGTTCAGGCGGCGATTCTGAGCGGCGAGGGGAACGAGAAGGTGCAGGACCTGCTGCTGCTCGACGTGACGCCGCTGTCGCTCGGATTGGAGACGGCTGGAGGCGTTATGACGGTGCTGATCCCGAGAAATACAACAATTCCGACTAAGAAGGAGCAGGTGTTCTCGACGTTTTCTGATAACCAGCCGGGCGTGCTGATTCAGGTGTACGAGGGTGAACGCGCTCGGACTAAGGATAACAATCTGCTCGGGAAATTCGAGCTCTCGGGAATTCCGCCGGCGCCACGTGGCGTGCCGCAGATTACTGTGACGTTCGACATCGACGCGAACGGCATTCTAAACGTGAGTGCGGAGGACAAGACTACGGGGCAGAAGAACAAGATTACGATCACGAATGATAAGGGTCGACTGAGCAAGGAGGAGATTGAGAGAATGGTGGAGGAAGCGGAGAAATACAAGGATGATGACGAGCAGCACAAGAAGCGGGTTGAGGCGAAAAAATGTTCTCGAGAATTATTCGTACGGGATGCGTAACACAGTTCGCGACGACAATGTCACGGGGAAGCTGTCGCCTGAAGATAAGAAGGCGATCGAGAAGGCTGTGGACGCGACAATTGATTGGCTGGACAAGAACCAACTTGCCGACGTGGACGAATTTGAGGACAAGCAAAAGGAGCTCGAAGGCATTTGTAACCCGATCATTGCGAAAATGTATCAGGCACGAGCTGGACCTGTGCCAGGAGCGGGAGGGATGGGGGAGGTGCCAATGGGAGGTGGTTTTTCTAGCGGAGGTGACGGGCCGAAGATCGAGGAGGTTGACTGAGGGATGACCAAAAAGGTGGAGAGTGTTTCAATTAGAACGAGGAGACTTGTTTACCATCTAACTTTCTTGGTTCATATTAAAGAAATTACTTTACTTGAGCATCTACTCATTAGTCAGGCATTTCCAATACTCCACAAAAGTGTCCCTGCACAAGCAAAAGAAATGATTGTAAATTACTCAATGGGAACGAGCCTTAAATTCATAACTGGAGTCATCGCCTTCCTCTCTTCACACACCAGGAGCTTGCCCATCTGCCTGGCTTTGTGCAGAGTTGCTCACATTTGTGCAAATAGCGAAGCAGATTGGCTCGACGAGTCTCCTTGAGACTTGGTCCAATGCATTCCAAACCTGCATGAGCACTTGACGAGACGACCAGAGCAGCGAGATGCGCGAATGGAGCGTCCAACACCACTGCTGGCTGAAATCATATAGCACTTCAAAATTAATGGGTGATATAGCTCATAAAGGGGAGTTCACTCACCTTGCAATAGCAAAAGGGACAGAGCTCTGTCGGGTCAAGAGGATGTGCGGAGAGGTTGTGATATAGCCTGCAAAATTGATTGGTTATGACAGCTCATAGGTGGTTCAGAGAGCAATCTTGCTTCGTCAGGATTCAACGACTGTTAGAAAGACAAGCGAGGAAGGGTGAGGGAGCGAGCGAAGGAGGACCAAAGAAACGAGAAAGTAACGCATTCGTACGTACTTGGTGAATGTAGAGGCAGAAATGTGGGATAGCGATGGGCGAAGGGGAGGGATAGAAAGACACGAAAGGCAGCTGCAGAGAGAGAGTGAGGGAGGGGCAAGAAAAAGAGAGTGTTTATATAAGCACCTGGTGTGTGTGAAGGCAAAAATGTAGCCCCGGCAAATCGAAACACCCCACCGATTGTCACGTGGCTTAAGCAAAGCAAACGACACTCCTGCCACCTCCTCAGCTTGAGAGGAGCAGCCAGCAGCGGGAAGACAGTCAGTTTGAGTGTGGCAATCCGCTGTTGGATGAATGTCAGCGGCAGGAGGATCAAAGGCAGCACAAACCCTCAACCGGCCTGGCCGAAAGAGCTGTTCTGTGCTGAGCCTGACATGATTAGAGAAGGATTCGTCCAAACACCCGATCAGACCTAAATCCCGCATGTATAGTATGAAATGCGTCCTCACTCTCTTCAATGCTTCCCTCCCTTCTCCCTGCAGAAACCATGCGTTGCCAATGCCAGCCACCGCTGCAGCCACATGCTGCTGACGTACTGGTTCCACCTCTCCATTGCCTGTGAGTTTGTCTCTGCATCCAGCTGCTGCTACTGTGACTAGATCTCCAATGATCTCTACATTCGATAGGTAATGCCTGGGACGGGTGGTTCCCGGGATGGGGCCCCTTCGTGCTGCTGGACCCAGTGCTCTGATCCATTCTGCTGTGTCAGACTCCCTCGATCTCCTTTGTGCTTGTCTGAAAGCTGCAGCCGCTGCCTCTGCTGCTGCGGCTTCTGCGTCTGCTTCTGCTTCCTCGGTTGTTACAATTGCTGTTGTTGCTGCTGCTGGAACTACTGCTGCTGCTTCTGTACTTCGCATAAAACCTTGAGCTATACGTCGCCCACCCTTGAAAGCATTACAAGCAGCACGAGAAACACAGAAAACCCCCTTTCTGGCAGCATGGCGAGCACAACGACAGCCTTTCCTAGAACAGCGGCAAAGAAACTGAGAACCCTTGACTCCAAGATACATTGGCATCAAAAGCACAACGAACCCTACCAATGCAGCGTTGGTCACAGCATGGTAGCTCCACTTTTGAGTCGCCTCAAAAGCCTGCCCCACCCCCGTGATCACCCGCTTGCACATACTTGACAAAGTCATGCGGGGTTCCACGTCAGCGCCAGCAGCGGTTTCAGCTTCGGTTTCATCTCGGGTTTCAGCTTCGGTATCATTATCTGGTGGAACCGGGGTCGGCTGCACGCGGCGTAGTAGGTGCCGTCTCCGTCCTAACGGCCAAAGATACAAATCCGTGATGTCTGGAGATTCCAAGCTGAAGGGTACCTCGAGAATACCGGGAGAGTAGCTGAGAAGCCGGAGAGAAATTGCCTCAACAGGACCTACCAACTTTTCATTTCCCAGAATCAAAGAACGATCTTCTTTACATGAAGCACACACTTGAGAAAAGCAGCACTGGTCGCAGTCATTTGCAGTAAAACATCGTTGCTGTGTCGGGATCTGATTGGCTGGATCCATCTGTAAACGACTGGATCTGTGGTGTTCTCTTATGCGGGTGTGACAGTAGAGAGGCCAGAGGTGGGAAGTTGATATCCTGTGCAGGTGCTTGCACGTGAGGGCTAGGTTGGCGATGGTGATTCGATGCTGATGGCTTGTCATACTCGCTATAGACGCAACGATTTCGGGAGTCAGATCCAGCAACCCGATTAACCGCTCTTTGGTAGCATCCGTATTGTTCCCCATTCGTGGACTCTAAGGAGAACCGTTTTAAATGCCGTTTGGAAACCGTTTCACTCCAAGAATACCACAGAAGCTAGCGAGTTACCGATCTTGGTCGGAAAATAAGGACGGTCTCACCCAAAACCGCATATGGGAAGTAAAAGCCAGATGACAGGAGTAAAACTGGCCGGAATTATCGGACTCCCTCGTCCGTGTGCTAAAAGCATACGCCTTTCAACGCGGAAAAGGAATAAGGCAAAAAAATGGCGAGCGGCAGGTGTTTACAATGATTCTGGCGATAGGTTCAACGCTTCAGGTCGACGTATGATTGCGTAGTCAGGCTGGATCAAGATATCTTTTTTACTTTCGAGATATATCGCATGATGGTTAATATTTCGGAAAGCATACGAAACGAAGGCTCCCGACCTGCTAGATATATTCTTGAAAGCAACGGGGAATCTAGTGGTAGAACTACGCTCACTAAAGAGCTGCACACGACAGCTTGAGGACAGAGCGCGACTGCTGATACGTCAGGCATTCTTGCGGGGGGACTCTAGAAAAGTGCACGAGAAGTAGCGACTCGTAGGTGTACAGTACCAAGGAAACTTGAAACAGAATGAGAATCTGTCTGACAGCCAAGAAACCAGAGTCTATCTACATACCTCAATAAACTGACTCCGGATGGATTGAAGGGCTTGACACGGCAGGTATGTGAAGCAAAGAATTGACTCGAGAAGAACCATGAGAAACACTCACCGTCCCACAGAAAGTACTCGCTGTAAGTCCGAACTTGATCAATTGCTAAAATGACCGCTGATGTACTGGTAGCAGTATGTATGTGCTTATTCTAATTCTAATATCACTGTACAAAGCTTTCCTGGCTGCCTGGACCAGTGCACCGCACCATATGATCAACAAGTGGCATAATTAAAGATGTGACAATACAACCTCGTCGAACAGGTCAGTGGATATTTATTGTTTCCAAAAGCTTTCACCATGCCTCGGGGCGGCGGGAAATGGCTAACGGTTCGTGAGCATCTAGTCAAGCCCTGGCATCCTTAATACTCCACAAAAGTGCCCCTGCACAAACAAACAGAACAGAAACTAGTGAGTGGTTCGAATGTGAAGGTGCCTTGGTTGAAGCTAGGCTCATCGCCTCCCACACTTCCCACACCAACCAAATGTCTCTGTAAAGTTTATCCTATACGCAAAATTTGCTGCAGAATTTCTCACATTTGTGCACACAGCAAAGCAGACTGGCTTGAAGCAGTTGCTTGCAACCTGATCCACTGCATTCCAAACCTGCATGTGCGAATCATCAAGACGAGAAATACTAGTCAGTGAGATGAGCGATGGAGGGCTACACACCACTGCAAGCTGAATCCATCAAGCACGAAATACCTAAATGAACAATGTAGCGCATAAACGGGAGTGCTACTTACCTTGCAATAGCAGAAAGGACACTGCTCCTTTGTATCAAGTGGACTTGGGGAGAGGTCGTGATAGAGCCTGCAAAATTAGAAAGGCTGCGACAGCTTATAGGTGGTTCAGAGCACAATCTTGCATCGTCAGAATCTGACAACTGACGAGCGAGGAAGGGAGAAGGAGCAAGCGAGGTCGGTCCATAGAAACAAGGCACCTATGTGTTTGTACCCGGTGAACGTAAAGGCAGAAATGTGGGACAGCAAAGGAGGAAGGGGAAGGATAGATAGACAAGCACCTGGTGCGTGTGAAGTCAGAAATGTAGCCACAACAAACGGAAAGACCCCACGAGTTGACAGGTGGCTTAAGCAGAACAAACGACACTTCTGCCACCTCCTCAGATCCAGAGGAGCAGTGAGCAGGGGGAGGGCCGTCAGTTTGGCTGAGGCAGTCAGGTGGAGGGTGATAATCAGCTGCTGGAGCACCAGAGGCAGCACAAGCTCTCAACTGGCTTGACCGAAAGAGCTGGTCTGTGCTGAGCTTAACATTATTCGAGAAGCATTCGTCTAACCGGCCGAACAGGCCCAGAAACCGCCTGTTCAGCATGTAATGTGTCCTCACCCTCTTCATCGCTTCCCGCCCTTCTCCCTGCAGAAACCATGCGTTGCCAGTGGCGGTGACCTCCTGAGCCACATGCAGCTGACATACAGGTTCCATCTCTCCATTTCCCCTGAGCTTGTCTCTGCATCCAGCTGCTGCTACTATGACCAATTGTCCTACGGTATCCACATTCCCAAGGTAATGCCTGGGAACTAGGGTTCTCTGGTTGGTGCCCCCACCTGCTGCTGCTACATGTGGTGTTGTGATCCGTCTTGCTGCTTCACACACCCTTGCTCTCCTTCGTGCTTCTCTGACAGCTGCCTCTGCCTCAGCCGCTGCTGCTTCTGCTTCTGTTTCTGCTTCTTCTGTTGCTACTATTGCTGCTGCTACTGCTGCTACTGCTGTTGCTTCTGTACTTAGCATACAACCCCCAGCTATCCGCAGCCCTCCCTTGAAAGCTTCACTAGCAGCACAAAAAACACAGAGAACCCTTTTCCTGGCAGCACGGCAAGCACAACGACAGTCATTCCAGGCACAGCGGCAAAGAAACCAAGGAAATTTGACTCTCAGATACATTGGGATCAAAAGCACAACGATCCCTACCAGTGCAGCCTTGGCCACAGTGAGGTATCTCCACTTTTGAGTCGCCTCAAAGGCGCACCTGACCCCGGTAACCACACGCTTGCACATGCTTGACAACGTCATGCGGGGTCCCACGTCAGCAGCAGCAACTGTGTCAGCTTCGACTTCGTCTCGCGTTTCAGCTTCGATTTCATCTCGCGTTTCAGCTTCGATTTCATCTCGCGATTCAGCTTCGATTTCATCTCGCGTTTCAGCTTCGATTTCATCTCGCGTTTCAGCTTTGATGACATTCTCTGGTGGGACCGCCGGGGCTGGCTGAGCACGTCGGCGTAGTAGGTGCCGTTGCCGTCCTGACGGCCACAGATACAGATCCATGATGTCTGGAGAGGCCAGGCTGAAGGGCACCTCGAGAATACCGGGAGAGTAGCTGAGAAGCCGCGGAGAAATTGCCTCGACAGGACCTACCAGTGCTTCGATTCCCGGGACCAGTGGGCGATCTCTCTTACAGGCAGCACACACTTGAGAAAAACAGCACTTGTCGCTCTTAGTTGCAGTAGAAGATACTTCCTCTCTCGAGATCTGATTGGTTGGATCAATCTGTAAGCGACTGGACCTGTGGTGTTCTCGTATGCGGATGTGACAGTAGCGAGGCCAGAGGTGGGAAGTTGATATGCGGTGCAGGTGCTTGCAGGTGATGGCTAGGTTGGCAATGGTGACTGGAAGATGATGGCATATCATACTCGTTATAGACGCAAGGATTTCGGGAGTCAGATCCAGCAACCCGGTAAGCCGCTCTTTAGTAGCAGCCGTGTTGTTCTCCATTCATGCACTCTTAGGAAAGCCAGAGAGATGAAGTAGAACTGGGCGGGTTACCTGATTGTCACACTCCTGTCCGTGTGCTAGAAGCATCATACGCCATTCATCGCGGAAAATGAAGTAGGCAAAAACGGCGAAGGGCTTCCTGATGACTATCCTGATTCAGGGATTATTGGCTATAGGTTTTAACGCTTCTGGGCGATGTCACATACGGTATGAATGGGTAGTCAGCCTCGAATCAACATGTAAATCCTTCCGAGATGTCTGACAATGGTGCCTTTCGAGGGTAATTTGTTTAGGTCTGCCTTTAATAAGTATCTGTCCTTGGCCAAAAATAGGAGATTTGACCATTGCGACCGAAAGACAACTCGCTGAGAAAGGAATCTCCGGAAATAAGTATTCAGCGGATCGACACAGAACCCAACGACTTGTTGACCTAGCCATTGAGAGTTTGAGTCGAGAGAATGTGAAAGCAAAGGCTCGTGAAGCTGGATTGACTTCCGAGAGTAATGCGAAATCGAGCGAACATTTAAACTCACTGACATGCAGTACACAGCAACTCGTGGACAGAGCATGACTTCTGGTACGTGATGCATGCTTGCAGGTGAAACCTGGAAACTTGCGTGACTAGTAACGACTGGTGAAACTATGACTATTGGTTGTGACTAGTAGGACTGCATAGGGACTAGACTTACAAATAGGCTTTGACACAGTAGTATGTGAGGCGAAGAATTGACTCGAGAAGAAGCGCAGGGAAACACTCGATATAAATGCGAATGCGAATCAAATGCTCAAAGACGCACAGTAACAAGCTTATATGTACGTGCTTACTCTACTTCTATGCAAAACAGACTTCATTATAAATATACAGAACTATCTTGACAATCTAATATATGGCACAGCATCTTCACTGTATGATCAGCAATTCAGAGGGTGCACGTGTACCTAACATGGCTCATGTTGAAAGAATGAATGTAAACAATAGTGAGACAGCCCCTATACTATAGAACAGGTACCCTATGGTTCGCAAGAGTTCCCCTCATGCCATTCACTGCACAACTGCTTTGCTTTGATGGCTGATGGCTTGATGTTGTTCCTAACAGGCGACGGCACGGCCAATTTCACTCTCAGCTTCGAAATCTCTGCCTCCACCTACTCAACCCTATGCCGTATGCTGTATCACTGCTGGTTCTTTGAAAGCTCATTTCACAACCCCAAGCTCGCTCGCCCCTTCGCTGCTCACTGCAACTGCTTTGCTTTGATAGCCGACGGCTTAATGTTGTTCCCAGCAGGCGACGGCACGGCCCATTTCACTCTCAGCTTTGCAATTTCCGCCTTCACCTCATCCCTCTCCCTTATTGCTGCCCCTATTTGCTGCTGCGCCTCGGTCAGTGATGCTTGCATGCGCTGCTTTGCTCGCTCCAAAGCTTGAATCCTGGAAAAGGGTGAAGAAAGTGGAGGTAGAAATGCGGGGCGAAGTGGGGAGAAAAAGGGGAGTTGGGATGGAAGGAGGGTAAGGATAATCTTCACCCGCTGTTTTGATTGCTCCAATGCTTGAATTCAAGTGTAGGGACGATAACAGACAACACGTGTGGTGGAATAGGCACACTCGAAAATGTACATGCCGCTCTCACTCACTCACTCACTCCCTCCCTCCCTCCCTCACTAACTGCTGCTGCTCCCACCCAGTACTGCTGCTCTCACCTGTTTCGTGCCTCAAAGACACTGGACGACTCAGATTGCAGCTTGGCTCTCTTCTCTAGGTGCCTCAACAATCCTCTGCCCTGATGCTCCCACTCAATACTGCTCTCACTCACTCACTCGGTGCTGCGGCTATCACCTGTTTCGAGCCTCAAAGACACTGGACGACTCAGATTGCAGCTTGGCTCTCAAATCAGCGATCTGGATGGATTGAAATGGAAAGTAGGGATGGAACGGGGTGTGAAGTGGTGGGATACGGTGGGGTGAGATGTCACAGGATTGCGGCTCAGCTCTCGAATCAGTGACCTGGATGGAGTGGCATGGGATGGGGTGGGGTGGGGTTGGATGGGATAGGATGAGGTGAGGTGGGATGGGATGGGATGGTGTGGGCAGGAAAAATATTTGTGGGACACTGTAGAACACAATAAGATGGGCTGGGAAGGATCGGATGGGGTGCAAAAAGGGTAGGATACAGTGGGGTGCAAAGGGGTGGGATACAGTGGGGTGCAAAAGGGTAGGATACAGTGGGGTGCGATGTCACGGGACCGTATCTGACCCTTGCCAGCCACCCCACCACTTTATGCCTCTCCACCCTCGTTCCGTTGTCTCCTGTCTTGCTGTCCCTTGCTGCTCCTAAAGCTTCTTCTTCATCTCCTCTCTTGCGCAAGCATCCAACCACCCCAGCAACCAGCACCAGCACACCCACATAAGCCAGCCCGGCACACAAAACCCCTTGACTGCCAACCTAGGTAAGGCAACCCACATAAGCCAGCCCACCTGTTTGTCCCGGTCCATTACTCTCTCCAACGCCTCCTGCCTCGCCGCCCCTTGCTGCTCCTCCTCCCCAACACCCTGCTCCTACAGGCCATAAACACACCTCTCCTTATCCCACCAAGCCCGTAAGCCAGCCCACCTGTTTGTCCCGGTCCATTACTCTCTCCAACGCCTCCTGCCTCGCCGCCCCTTGCTGCTCCTCAAGCTTCTTCATTTCCTCCCTTGCTCAAGCACCCATCCAACCGCCCCAGCATCCACCACACCACCAAACCCTTGACAGCCAACCCAGGTAAGCCAGCCCACCTGTTTGTCCCGGTCCATTACTCTCTCCAATGCCTCCTGCCTTGCCGCCCCCTGCTGCTCCTCTAGCTTCTTCATCTCCTCCTCCCTCACCGCACACACCATGTCCAGCATTCGAATGCGGTCCGCATGGTGCTGTGGATGGGTAGGGAGGGACAGCGGGAGGGAGATGGGAGGAGTGGGGAGAGGGGAGATGTAGCAACGCAGGGGGTATAGGTGGGTTACTCCTGTCCTCCCTCACCGCACACACCATGTCAAGCTTTCTAATGCGAATTCGCGTGGTGCTGTGGATGGGAGAATGGGGAGGGGGAGAGAAAGGGGAGTTGGAGAAGGGGGAGAGAGGCAGGATTGTAGAGAGTGGAGTGAGTTGGAGAGGGAAGACTTTTGAGTCGAATCAGAAGGGGGAGAGAGGCAGGATTGTAGAGAGTGGAGTGAGTGGGGTTGAGAGGGAAGGCGAGAGTGGGGTTGTGGAGAGGGGGGTATGGCTTCTCTCCTCCTCACCTTCACAGTCGCCTTGGCCTCGTCCAGTTGCGACGACAGCTCAGCAATCTGCCCCGCGCGCACCGCCAGCTCCTGATTCGCCAGCGCCAGCTCAGCGCGCTTCTCCGCCACGTCGCCCTCTGCCTCTGCCACCCTGGCAGCCGCCCTTGCCACCACGTCATCCCTCTCCCTCTCCACCTCATCAACCCGCCTCTCAGCCTCTCCAATCCTCTCCCTCAACCCCTCAATCCGCCCCTCCAAAACCCCCTTCACCTCCTCCAACTCCTTCTTACTCCCTTCTAAACCTGCAACCAGGTCTTGTAACCCCTCAATCTCCTCTCCCTTCTCACATACAACCTTCTCTTTCACAATCAATCTCTCATTCGCTTCAGCCAATCGCCCCACCATCTCCTCTCGCAGTGCCTCCTTAGCTGTCTGCAAGCTCACCACCAGATCCTGAAGCCCCTGAATAATCTCCTGCTTCTCTCTCAGAGTACTCTCTTTCTCTCTAAGGCTCTTCTCTGCTGCACCCAATCGACCCTCCAGCTCAGCAGCCCTCTCCTCTTGCTGCTTCCCATACCTTCCCGCACACTCCAACTCCCCACTTACCCTCTCCAACTCTTCCCTGGTTCCCTCCAGTTCCCTTTCGCTCTTTTCCAGATCGTTCCTTGCGGTTTCCAGGTTGCTTCTTGTGGTTTCCAGAGCTCTGATCCTGCCCTCTAGCTCACCCCTCACGCCCTCAAGCTCTCCTTCCTTCTTCTCCAACTCTTTTTTCTTCTTCTCTACCTCTCTTCTCACCGCACTCAACTCCTCACCCACGCATCTCACCTCCCCTCGCAACACCTCTGCTTCTTTCCTTGACACATCAAGATCTCGTTCCCTTTCTTCCAATTCCTGCTTCAGCTCCTTCTCCTTCTCCTCTCCTTCCTTCTTCACTTCATCCCGCTCCCTCTCCACTCTCGCCCTCAGCTCCTCCTCTCTCTCCCTCTCCCCTTCCACTCTGTTGCACTCCTCCCTCACTCTCTCTACCTCCTCCCTCGTCTGTGCAACCTGCTTTTCTAGCTCTCTCTCTCCCTCCCTCGCTTCCCCCAGCAACTGCAGTAGCTCCACTTTCTCCCTTTCCTGCCCCTCCACCCGCTCTCTCAACTGCTCTGCATCGGACTCGACCTGACTCAACCGTTCCTCCAACTCCCTCCCCTTCTCCTCCCCACTCCTCACTCTCTCCTCCGCACTCCCCAGTGCCACTCTCAACCCCTCCAACTCAACCGTAGCTTGCTGCAATTTACTCAATACTCGGTTCACCTCACGCCTCTCTCGCTCTAACTCACCAGAAACCCTTGCCACTTCCCCCAATGCTCGCTCTTTCTCCTCTGAAACTCTCGCAAACTCCCCCTGAAGCCTTTCCTCGTCTCTTCTCAACACCACCACCTCATCTTCAAGCCTCTTCCTCTCTACCTCCACCCTTCCCAACTCCTCTCTCACTCTCGCTCTCTCCTCTTCCCCTGCTGCTATCACACCACACTGCCTCTCCACCTCATCATTCACCAAACCCAGCCCCATCTTCGCCTCCTCTCTCTCCTCCTCAGCCCTTCTCAGCCTCCCTTCCAAATCCCGCTTCTCTGCTTCTTCTGCTGCAAGCATCTCCCTTACCCTCCCCACTTCCCCTCTCACCGCCCCCACTTCACCTATCAGCTCCTCCCTTTCCCTCTCTAGTGCCTCCTTCCCCTCTCTAAGCACACCAGCTTCCCTCGTTATAGTCTCCTTCTCTTGCAGAACACTCTCCAGCCTCCCCCTCAGCTCCTCCCCCTCTCCCCTCAACCGTTCCACCTCTCCTCGTAACCTCTCCACCTCCTCCTGTGCTGCTGCAACCTCCCCTTGCACAACCACTAGCTTCTTTCTAGCTTCATCCCCCTCTTCCCTCAACCGTTCTCCCTCGCCTCTCCTACGCTCCACCTCTCCTTGTGCTTCCCCAAGCTGCCCTTGAACACTCCTCAACTCTTTCCTCAGTCCCTCACCCTCTTCCCTCAACCGCTCTCCCTCTTCCCTCAACCGCTCTCCCTCTCCCCCCAACCGTTCCACCTCTTCTCCTAACCGCTCCACCTCTCCCCTCAGCCTCTCCGCCTCCTCATGTGCGGCCGCCCGGTCTGCCTGAACAGCAGCCAGGTCCTCTGTTGTGGCCGCCAGGTGCCTCGCAATCCCGCTCAGGTGCTCATCCTTCGCGCCCACCTGCCTCTCTGTTGCCGCCAGGTGTTTTTCCAGGTCCGCCAGGTGCTCCTTCAGGGCGGCAGATTCCAACCTGGCGTCACTTAGCGCCTGCTCAGATACACTCAGAGACTCCCTTGTCCTCTCTAAAGCATCCTGCGACTCGTTATAAGCCACCTGCGCTTCGCTTAGAGCTATCTGCAGGTCAGCAATCTCCCTCTCTCGCTCCCTGATCTCCGCCGTCAAACCAACTGCCTCCCTCTCGCTCCTCCCCACCTGCTCCTCTAAATCCTCCACTGCTCTTTCCCTCTCTGCCACCACTGCTTTCATCTCCCCCACCTTCCTCTCCCTCCCTTCCAATCCACTCTTCAACTCTCTAATCTCCTCTCCCTTGCTCCTCACATCGGCCTCAAGGCCTTTAACCACCCTCTCCCTCCCTTCCTCTCTGCTCTTCAACTCACTAATCTCCTCTTCTTTCCCTCTCAACCGCGCTGCAAACCCTTCAATTGCCCCCTCTTTCTCCTTCAGTTTCCCTTCCAAAACAGCAATCTCTTTCCCCCTCCCTTCCATCCTCTCCCTCATCTCCCCTATCTCCTTTTCCTTCCCCCCCAACCGCCTCTCCATCTCAACCACGCTCCTCTCTCTCTCCTTCCCTTCTCTCTCCATCCTCCCCAGCTCCCTCTCCTTCTCCCTCATCCCTTTCTTCAGCTTCCCTATTTCCTGCTGCACCTGAGAAACCACCTGAGCCTTCTGCAGAATCTCCTGGGCTTTTGTTGAAATCTCCTGAGCCCTCTGCTGCAGGGTCCCCTCTAGGTCCTTCACTCGCCTCTCCTTCTCGCCCACCCTCCCTTCCAACTCACCCTTTTGTGACTCTAACAAAACTACTTTCTTCTGCAACTCACTCGTTTGTGACTCTAACGAAAGTACTTTCTGCCGCATCTCACCCGTTTGTGACTGTAACAAAAGCACCTGCCGTTCCATCTCTCCTTTTTGCGACTCCAACAAACGCACCTCCTTCTCAGCCCCAGCAGCCCTCGTTTCAATCACACCCTTGGCTTCCTCAATCTCTTGCTTCTCCCTTTCAATAGAAGCACACTTCCTCTCAACCTCTTCTTTCTCTGCAGTCACAATCGCCAGCCTCTGTTCAACCGCCCATTTCCCTTCAATCACCCTATCCCTCTCCCTCTCTCCCTCCCCCCGATCTCTCACTACCTCGTCCAACCTCCTCTCCAACTCCCCCTTACTCTTCATCATTTCTTCTACCCGCTTTCCAATCTCCTCCCTCTCTCTCCTAACCTCCTCTATCCACCTCTCCTTCTTCCCTTTCTCTCTCTCAAGCCCCCTCACTCTCTCCTCCAACCTCCCTTTCTCACTCACCACTCCATCCCTCTCCCTCTCCACCTCACCAACCACCTCCCTCCACCTCCTCCCCTCCTCCTCCAATTCCTTCTCCCTCACTTGCAACTCCCTCACTCTCTCCTCCACCTGTCTCAACCGCTCCTCACTCTCCTTCGCCCTCCTTTCTGCTTCCTCCTTTCCTTCTTCAGCCCTCTTTGCCCGCCCTATAGCCTCCTCTCCCTCTGTAATAACTCTGTCTATCTCTTTCACTACTCGATCCCTTTCCTCTATAGCTCTCTCCTTTTCCTCTTTAAGCCTATCCCTTTCCTCCACTGCTTCCTTCCTCTCTGCTTCAACTCGCCTCTTTGTCCTATCCGCCCGTTTTTTTGCCTCTTCTGCTGCTGCTTTGTCCCCCTCTGCCCGTTTCTTTGCCTCTTCTGCTGCTGCTTTTTCCTCCTCTGCCCGCTTCTTTGCTTCCTCTGCTGCTGTTCTTTCCTCCTCTGCCCGTTGCAATCTTTCTTCTGCCCCTCTCAGTGCTTCTTCTGCCCGACATCTGCCCTCCTCAGCCTCTCTCCACTTCACCTCCATCTGCCTCCCTTCTCTCTCCCTCTCCTCATCCCTCTCTCTCTCCTTCTCCCTCGCCGTTTCCCTCTCCCTCTCCCTCTGCTGCTCTTCTCTCCCTTCCAGTTCACTCTGCAAAGCCTTCAAACGCTGTAACGAATCAGCTTTTAACGATTCAAGCTGAAGAGAGGGGGGCGAAGGGGGAGAAAAGGGGTTGAAGGGATCGAAATTGAGATTGGAAATGCAAGAAGAGAGAGGCCCGGAGAGCAAGAGATTAAGAGTGGACTGTCGGCGGTGAAAAAGAAAATTCCACCCTCTCTTCCCACCCTCTCGCCCATTCCATTTCTTAACCACTCACACCCATCCACACCCATGCATACCCATCCATCCGTACCCATCCAAACTCATCCAAACTCTAGCTCCTCAACCCTTCTCACGGCAGCTGTTTCTATCAGTATCTGCTGCTCTCAGCATCTGCTCATACACGCCCACCCGTACCCATCCGCGCCCACCGAATCCACTGACCTCTCCCTCTAGCTCCTCGACTCTTCTCACAGCAGCTGCCTCTATCTCCGCTCGCAACACCCTCTCCTCCTCCACCCTTCTCACTGCAGCTGCTTCAATCTCCGCCCTCAGTCAGAACCCTCTCCTCCTCCACCCTCTCCGCCACCTCCCTCAATTAAACCACTTCTCAACCACCCACACCCATCCACATACCCATGCATACCCGTCCAAGCCCATTTGCACCCATCCCAACCCACCCACACCGCTGCACTCACCTCCGTCTCTAGCTCCTCCACCCTTCTCACTGCAGCTGCTTCAATCTCCGCCCTCAGTCAGAACCCTCTCCTCCTCCACCCTCTCCGCTACCCGCCTGCCCATTCCACTTCTCAACCACTCACACACCCATCCCTACCCATACTAATCCACACCCATCCACACCCATGCACACCTATCCATACCCATCATACCCATCCAAACCCGTTCTCACTCGTGCACTCACCTCTCTCTCTAGCTCCTCCACCCTTCTAACGGCAGCTGCTTCTATCTCCGCCCGCAACACCCTCTCCTCCTCCACCCTCTCCGCCACTCGCCTGCTCATCTCCCCCATCGCCTCTGCTGCCTCCTCCGCCCGCTGCTGCTCCTGCTGCACCTGCGCCTGTGGGGGGTGATACGGGGGGAGAGGAAAGGGAGGTACGGGGAGGAAAGTGGGAAACGAGAGAGAAAGGCAGGCTTGCTGGTCAGGAGAAAGGAAAAGAGGGGTGACTGATAGGGGAAGAGGGACCGCGCACACAGCATTCAGCCTCCCCACAACCGTCTCCCTCCCCCATCCGTCTCATCCACCCATACCCATTTGCAGCAGCAAATTTCCTGCCCTTTCCCTTTGGCCCTCTCCACCTTCCCCATTCACCCACCACTGCCAACCTACCATGGTATGTTTTAATGCTGATTCTGCAGAAGCAACCTTCCTCCTAAGCTCTTCCCCTTCCGCCCGAACCCTCCCCACCTCCCCTCTCTCCCTCTCCAATTCCCCCTGCATCCGCACAATCTCCCCCCTCAGCCTCCCCACTTGCCCCTCCATTTCCCCCACCCTCACCCTCTCCCCCGCCAGCTCTCTCTGTACGCTTTCCAGCTGTTTCTTCCCCGCCGCCAGCTCACTCCGGGCCTCGCTGAGCTGGCGCTGAGTCAGCACCAGCCGCTGCTCCGTCATCTCCAGCCACTGCGTCGCCGCCTTGTGCCGAACCTCCCCGAGCCTATTCCGAGCCTCGGACTCCTTTATCCGAGCCTCCGCATCCTTGTACCGAGCCTCAGCCTCGGCATGCCGAGCCTCACACTCCTGCATCTCCTCTATAAGCTTAGCCATGGCGGAAGCATATCCCCCTGTCACATGCGCGCGCCCTATCCCCCCCAAGGGGCTCTTCCGCTTTCCCCCTTCCCCCCCTCCTCCCCCCCCTTCCCCCTTCTCCCCTCCGCCTCCCCCTTCCGCGCCTTTCCCCCTTCCCCCTGCTTCCAGCCGCGCTTGAAAAAGCTCCCCCTGTGTTTCCGCCAGCTGCTTTCTCATCTGCTGCATCCGAGCCTGCGCAGCCTCGTGCCGAACCTCCAGCTCCCGCTGCCGAGCCTCATACTTGTTCAGGTCTGCCTTCAGATCCCTGTTTTGTGATTCGGCCTCACGAATCCGAGCCTCAGCTTCAGCATTCCGAGCCTGGGAGTCCTGCAGGCTTGGCAGCAGAAGACGGAGAATGCATGTAAGTGTGTACGTTATTGCATCCCTATTTTGAAGTTATAAGTACATGCAAGAAAACACCCAGTTTCTTCGTTCTCTCACCTTAAGCTCCTGAACCAACTTTGCAACAGCACAGCTATTCCCGACCGCTGCACCATCCACACTGCCGCCCGCGCTGCCGCCCACACTGCCGCCCACACTGCCGCCCGCAGTGCTCCCAAACCCGCTCGCCAGAATGCTGGACAGACTCAGCTGCTGCTTCGCCCGCCCACTCACGAACGCACTTTCCAGGAAGCTGCTGCCCCTCATCGCTCCCAACTCCGGGAACTCCCCTTTCCCTTCCCAACCGTTTTCGCCTTTGTCGCCCAAATCGTCTCGTTGTGATAAGATCCGATTCTCTTCCTCCTCGTCGGAGGTATCCCCCTCCCCGTCCATCGCTATACTCACAAGATCTAGAGTCATAACGTCACTCACGTTGTCAATTTCCTTCCCTTCTCGCTCCCCTTCCCCCTCCCCATCCCCCTCATCTGCCCCCTCTCCCGTCCCCTCCCCGTCCATTGCTATAGTTTCAAGGTCTAGACCTCCCACTGCTGCCCCTGCCGCTGCTGCTGGTGGTGCTGCTGCCGCTGCTGGTTCTGCTGCTGTTGCCCCTGCTGCTCCTCCTATTTCTGCCCCTGCCCTTACAAAATCCATGGGCCCTCCTGTTAGTACCTCTCCCCTCCCCTCACCTCCTCCCCCCTCGCTCTCCTCTCCTCCCCCTCCCTCTCCTCTCTCCCCTCCCTCGTCCCCCCTTCCGTCAACAGACAAACGGTAACCACTACTGGTTGACGCTGCTCCCCCTTCTCCCGTCTCTTTGGAAAGACGATGATATGGACTCGCGGTGAACCCTCCACTTCCTCCTCCCTCTCCCCCATCTCCGCCCGCTCCTGCCGCGAAGTAATGGTAAGGGCTTTGGTTAAACGTTCCTCCCTCTCCGCCCGTTCTTGCCGGGAAGTAATGATAAGGACTCGCGGTTGATCCTCCGTCGGTGAAAAACGATTCTGCTGCCGAGTGCGCGTCATCCTCCTCCATTTCCACGTCATCAATCGCCGCCGCCACGTCACCGTCAGCGCGAGCCACGTCACCGTCCACGCTCCTTCGCGGCGCCTGCAGCGAATCGACTTGCGACTCCGACTTGCGGGGCTTTATCTCCGCGACTTGCGGCGAGTCACGAAGGTTCTTCTCTTCTAAATGTCGAGGCGCCTTGGTATCGCCATGGCGGCCGCGATTGGCGCTCGCAGGCGAGTCGGTGACGAGGCCGTTACCTCCGTACGCCGTCGTTATCGGCGAATGGCTTCCGGCGTAGACGCGCCGCTGTCCGATCATTGACTGCGTGAAGGAGCCGCCTGTGTTTGTGGGTGCTCCCACACGAAACATTGTTGTAACAGATTGCGGCTTATTTTATATCGCGTATGCAAAGGGAATGAATAGCGGGTTTGCGGTATTGATGGGTACGCGGTGCGCTAGAAGCTCAGCCCTAAAAATCTGTGGCCGGTTTCAATAACGCATATGTCTACAGTCTGAGTAGCGTGAGGGGTATGCAATGCGCTAAGAGCTAAGCCTTGAAATGAAATAACGCTAAAAAGGTGTAAGCGACTGTTTGATGTTCAGACTTGCGACGTTTGATCGAAATGCGGTTCTTGCGGAGATTGCGCTAACGGCCATTCTGACGTACTGCCGGTGGACGCGCCAGCAATGGCACCGCTGCCGTTAAGCCGTAATAGACGGCGGCCATGGGAGCAGCTCCTAGCGGCTTTTGAGGCGCCTAAGAAATCAGCTACTAGCGGCTCTAAACGAAATGAAGGAAATGTGTTGGAATGACCAGCAAACGCGATGTTTTTGCTGTCTTGCTTGTATGATGTCGTATTCGTTTCTGTGAGGGAATGACCAGCAAGATGAGAGAAACTACTTTCGGTGTGTTACGAGTGAGTGGGAGAGAGTGGCAATGGTTGGCAGGGCAGAACACCCACACACAAATGGGATGGAGGGAGAGACGACTTGGGAAGGAATATCAAGAGGAGGAGGTTCGTCTGGTTGGTGCGTAGGTACCAACCACAGCACCAGATAAATATTGCTTCGACGGGGCAATGGGGCGAACATGAGAAACAAATACGAGGGTTTGGGTAGGGGCGATTTTCCTCGTTGTGGGAGGAACAAAAATCGCCCCTTTTTTACTCAATGAGCGAATACTGTATGTCTTTTCTCGAATGCAAATTCTGCTTTCGGCACCCAAACCAACCAACCACCAACCAGTCTCCAGGCCAACACCAACTGATCTTGTCACCGAACGTGTAGCGCAGCACCTTACCACAGGACCACGACCAGTAACGCGACACCGTTCGCGTCTCGGGATGGTTTGGCAAAGCATACGTGCTGAAGGTGAAGCCAAACGAACCGAACGTTTCGGTACGAAGCAAGGTGATTGGCTGTGGCTTGCCACTGAATGGTATCTTTGGGGTGGCGACATTCGGCCGAAGCGAAAACACACCTTGTTGGTTCTCAGAATCCAATCAGAGGCCGTGAGGCCTGACTTGCCACGTCACAGGTCTCGTTCGGTAAAGCAGAGAGCGATACCGAACTTGATTCCAACGCCGAGTCTCACCCTAACGGTGTAACACTAGTGATTCTACTTTGAAGTAATGCATTAGCATAGCAATCACCATGGCCAAATAAAATTTACCAAAAATCCTATTGTAGCCATGCATTCGGATCCCACTCTGGTTTTTTTGCTGCCAACAAAGGACACCAACCCTGCCTAAATTATATTAGTGTCAAACCTCAGTGAAGTCGGTTTCCTACATCACACCAACAACGCCAGTACGCCAGCGACCAGCACAGTAAGCATCGATCCCGAACCAAAAAACATTGCCGAGCCTGCCGCTTTGCTGGTCGAGTTACTGGTGCCAGCAGCACTAGAGTTACCGCTTGCCAGACTACCAGGTGCGGGCGGAGACGAACCAGCAGGAGATTCCCCAGGTGCGGGCGGCGAGGAGGACGGAGGGGCGGCGGCGTCCGTCTGGTTGCTGCAGAAGCTTGGAATGGTTCGGTTCAGCACTTTGAGGTATTCGGGGTGGGCGACGGTGTCGAGGAGATTGTTGGGACAGGTGGCGGGGAGAATGAAGGGGTCGCAACAGCCTGCAGCGGCAGGGAGGGGCCGACCCGTCATGTTCCAACAGGCCTTGAGAAGGGGCTGGATGGGGAGGGGACGGGGGGAGGGGGATCTGGAGAGGGAAATGAACGGAGGGACGGTGGGTGTGTGACATTGGCGGGGAGACTGGAGGGGCAGGTGGCCGGGAGGGAGAGAAGGTGCACATGGAGAGGGAAACGATTGGAGGGACAGGTGGCGGGGAGGATGAAGGGGTCGCAGCAGCCTGCAGGGGCAGGGAGGGGCCGACCCGTCATGTTCCAACAGGCCTTGAGAAGGGGCTGGATGGGGAGGGGACGGGGGGGAGGGGGATATGGAGAGGGAAATGAACGGAGGGACGGTGGGTGTGACATTGGCGGGGAGACTGGAGGGGCAGGTGGCCGGGAGGGAGAGAAGGTGCACATGGAGAGGGAAACGATTGGAGGGACAGGTGGCGGGGAGAATGAAGGGGTCGCAGCAGCCGGCAGCAGCAGGGAGGGTCCGGCCCGTCATGTTCCAACAGGCCTTGAGAAGGGGCTGGATGGGGGGGAAGGAGGGAAGTGGCATATATGGAGAGGGAAAAGAACGGAGGGACAGATGGGTGTGAGGGTATTGGGGAGAATGAAGGGATCGCAGTGGCCAGGAGCGGCAGGGAGAGGCCTTCCTGTCATGTTCCAACAGGCCTTGAGGGTGGGCTGGACGAGGGGAGGGCGCGAGGAAAGAGTTGACAGGGGTAATAAAGAGTTGAAAAGGGTGATGAAGAGTTCTTATCCCACTCACATCCACAAAGGTTAAAAGGGTTCCTTTATTTCAATTCTTACACACTAGCTACCAACCAGGGTTTTATCCCACTCACATCCACGAAGTTGACTTGCAAGTCCTTGATGCCAACCGCAGTCGCGAATCCTTGGAAGAGCTGCCGGGTGAATGTGTCGGGGCTGTTGACAAAGGTCATGCAACCTAGCTACACCAACCAACCAGTGTATTTCACTCCCACTCACATCCACGAAGTTGACTTGCAAATCCTTAATGCCAACCGCAGTCGCGAATCCTTGGAAGAGCTGCCGGGTGAATGTGTCGGGGCTGTTGACAAACGAGCCTAGCGTGCCGGGGAACCCGGGGACTGGGAGGGGAGCGAGGGAGGAGGGGAAATAAGAGGGGAGAAGAGGAGAGATGAGGAGATGACATGTGGAAGAGCTGTCGCGTGAATGTGTCGGGGCTGTTGACAAACGAGCCTAGCGTACCGGGGAACCCGGGGACTGGGGATGGGAGGGGGTCAAGGGGGGAGAGGAAAGAGGAGGACGAAGGGAAAACAGGACATGAGGAGATGGTCTGTTGAAGAGCTGCCGGGTGAATGTGTCCGGGCTGTTGACAAACGAGCCTAGCGTGCAGGGGAACCCGGGGACTGGGGGTGGGAAGGGAGGGACAGGAGATGGGAGATGAGGAAATGGAGTGCTGAAGAGCTGCCGCGTGAAGGTGTCCGGGCTGTTGACAAACGAGCCTAGCGTGCCGGGGAACCCGGGGACTGCAAGAGCGGGGGGGTAGGAGGGAGAGGTGAGAGGAGGAAGAAGCGAAAACAGGACATGAGGCGAAGAGCTAAAGAGCTGCGGGGTGAAGATGTCTGGATGTACACCAGCTTGCAATAATGTATTCAGCTTGCACATTCTGGCTAGCAAGCTTGCACTGCTTTGCTCTCACAACCACACCGCGTGTAATGAGTCTGTTTTTGAGTCGACTCAAAAACAGGTGTCTGGATGTACACCAGCTTGCAATAATGTATTCAGCTTGCACATTCTGGCTAGGCAGCTTCCACTCCTTTGCTCTCACAACCACACCACCACCCTCCCCTCCCCACACACTCACATGTGACGTCCTTGACGGCGCCGTAGAACTGCTGCGACACGCTCTTGCACACCGACACCTGTGGGGCTGTTCACTTGACTGTGCCAGTCAGACACCTTACACGCATATGCTCGCGCGCTCATATCCCCCCCCTCCCCTCAACACTCACAAGTCACGTCCTTCACGGCGCCGTAGAACTGCTGCAACACGCTCTTGCACACCAGGCGAACCCCCCCACCCCCCTCCCCTGACTTCCCCCTTCTCCCCCATCCCCCCACACACACTCACACGTGACGTCCTTCACGGCGCCGCAGAACTGCTGCGACACGCTCTTGCACACCGACACCTGTGGGGCTGTTCACTTGACTGTGCCAGCCAGACAACTTACACGCATATGCTCGCGCGCTCATATCCCCCCCCTCCCCTCAACACTCACAAGTCACGTCCTTCTCGGCGCCGCAGAACTGCTGCGACACGTTCTTGCACACCGACACCATGGGCTGTGCTCGACAAACACCTTACACTCACCCACCAACCCCACCACCGTCCTTCACAGCGCCGCAGAACTGCTGGGACATGTTCTTGCACGCCGACACCATGGGCTCTTTGAATGTGCCATACACCCTACATGCACACAGCCACCAACACGGACTGCCCCCCTTCCTCCCCCCCACAGACACTCACAGGTGACGTCCTTCACGGCGCCGTAGAACTGCTGCGATACGTTCTTGCACACCCACACCATGGGCTGTACTCGACAAACACCTTACACTCACCCACCAACCCCACCACTTACAAGTCACGTCCTTCACGGCGCCGTAGAATTGCTGCGATACGTTCTTGCACACCGATACAGTGGGCTTGGGTAGAATCGCGAAGTACGATCCGCTGTCTGTTGTGGAAAGAGGGTGGGGGAGGGTGGGAGGTTGGGAGCGGTGGGGAGGGTTTCGGAATCGACTCCGAGAGTGTTCTTGCGCACCGACACCATGGGCTTGGGGAGCAGAGCGAAGTACGACCCGCTGTCTGTTGTTTCTTAGGGATTGGGGGGAACGGGTGGGTGGGGGAAAGGGTGAAGGATGGGTGGGGAAGGGGAGGGCGGAAACATTGGGAAATAAGTGTTCTTACACACCGAGACCATGGGCTTGGGGAGCAGAGCGAAGTACGACCCGCTGTCTGTTGTGGAAAGGGGGAGCGGTGCGGCAGGGGGGAAGACGGGTGGAAGCGGTGGGGAGGGGTTTACACGCCTACGCAATCGACTCCAAGAGCGTTCTTGCACGCCGACAACATGGGCTTGGGCAGCAGCGCCAAGTACCCCACTGTCTGTTGTGGGAGGCGGGGGAAGAAGGGCGGGCATTGGGAGAGGGGATCAATGGGCTAGGGTGGGAGCAGTGGGCTACGAGTGTTCTTGTACACTGAGACAGTGGGCTTTGGGAGCAGAGCGAAGTAAGATCCGCTGTCTGCTCGAGTGGGAGAGGGTGGGGGAGGGTGGGTGGTTGGGAGCGGTGGGGAGGGGTTCGCAATCGACTCCAAGAGTGTTCTTGCGCACCGAAACCGTTGGCTTGGGGAGCAGCGCGAAGTACGACCCGCTGTCTGTTGTGGGGAAGGGGTGGGGTTGGGGAAAGAGGGAAGGTTGGGAGCGGTGGGGAGGGGTTTACACGCCTGTGCAATCGACTCCAAGAGTGTTCTTGCACACCGAAACCGTTGGCTTGGGGAGAAGCGCAAAGTACGATCCGCTGTCTGCTCAGGTGTGGAGGGGAAAGGTGGGGAGGGGGGAGAGGGGAAGGGTGGGTGGGTGCGGGGATGGTGAGAGCAGTGGGCTAGGAGTGTTCTTGCATACCGCACAGTGTGCTTGGGGAGAAGCAGAGAGAAGAACGACTCGCTCTTATGTAATCAGCACACGGACGCCAAATAGAAAAGGGTGTGAGGTGTATTATTTTAATATATACGCAAACATATGATTTTTTTATTATGTTACCCCTCCCTCAGAATCATTTTCGCGCTTGCATGCGGACACGGGGTCATTCTCGCGCACTCAACCAGGTTACAAGCTATCCCGCATATATATATATATATATATATATATATATATATATATATATATATATATATATATATATTTTATGGTAACACTTCCTCAATGGCAAACAGACACAGGCGTCACCCTCGCGCACTCACCCGGGTTACAGGTTATCCCGCATATAAACTGCTCCAGTATAAACTGCCCCTTGCTATACTGACCCGTAACGCCCCTCTTGACGCCCCTCTCTCTCTTGCACTCACCCGGGTTACACGTGATCCCGCATATAAACTGCTCCAGTATGAACTGCCCCTCGGTATAAGGCCCCGTGACGTCGCACGACTGGTAGTCCGAGCCTAGCGTAGAGTCCGCCAGCTGTAGCACGAGGCTCGGCGCTACAGCCAGGAGAAGCGCCGTCGCGTTCACCGCGTTCTGCGGAGGTGGGGGGAAAGGGGTGAGTGCGGGGACAAGTAATGGGACAAGGAGGGAAGGGGTGAAAAGTGGAGTCCGCCAGCTGTAGCACGCGGCTCGGCGGTACAGCCAGCAACAACGCCGTCGCGTTCACCGCGTTCTGCGGGGGGGACGGGGAACTGGGGGGGGGGAGGCGGATGGGGAAAGGGGGACGGGGGTTGAGGATAGACACCGGCACGAGGCTCGACGGCGCTACAATCGGGAGCGGAGACATGGAGGTCACTGCATTTTGTGGTAACTGAATGGAAATGGGGGACGGGGACGAGAAACAAAGATTTGACGGCCAGCACGAGGTGGTGGCGCTACAATCAGGGGACGCGCCGTCGCGTTGAACACCGCGTTCTACGGAGGATTAAGGAGGGGTGGATGGGGGAATGCGGAACAGTCGGCCGTCGCACAAGGCCCGCGAGGCTGTAGCGCGAGGTTTAGAACGCTACTGTCGACTTCGTAGATTATGATAGTGGGACATGACGTGTAATGCTCTGGAAGCCTCCGATACGATTTTTGGGGCGCCTAGTAAAAGCGATCTCGCCGACATTATGGCAGCGGGACATGAGATGAAAATGCTTTAGAAACTACCGAGGACAGTTCGTACGCGATACCGACGACATAATACTCGCTTTTTTTGTCTCCGTTGACTGTGTCGCCTTCGCGGCCTACCTGCTGTAGCGAGATGACGGCCTACCTGCTGTAGCGAGATGACGGCCTACCTGCTGTAGCGAGATGACGGCCTACCTGCTGTAGCGAGATGACGGCCTACCTGCTGTAGCGAGATGACGGCCTACCTGCTGTAGCGAGATGACGGCCTACCTGCTGTAGCGAGATGAAGGCCTACCTGCTGTAGCGAGATGACGGCCTACCTGCTGTAGCGAGATGACGGCCTACCTGCTGTAGCGAGATGACGGCCTACCTGCTGTAGCGAGATGACGGCCTACCTGCTGTAGCGAGATGACGAAGTCCTCGCACGAGCTACAGCACGTGTACTGGGCGGCAGACAGGCACCGAATGGGCGGCACTGTCGGCTTCACGGGCCGCGCACCCGTCCGCGGGCAGATCGGGAGCGCCGCCGCAGCCGGCGCTGCCCCCGCGGCGATTCCCGTCACGGCGAGTCCCGCTGCATATTCCTCCGGTGCGGACGATGGTGCTAGCGCGGCGTTTGCGGCATTGAAAGGTGTTAAAACCAACAAGCTGAGGGTTGCATAAGTTAAGAGTAGGAAGCCGACTCGAGCCATTGGAGAGGGTAAGATAGGTAGCGGAGAGTAACAAACTGACGAGACGGGACTATGAGCGCCGCAAGATATGTTCTGATTCTGACTTTCCTTTGGCCCTTTGTCCTGGGAATGCAATCGATGAGAACGTCAATTACGCTTCCTTTCACGAAAGTGAAGTCGTTCGGTACTGATGAAAAACGCGCACTTCCTTAGCAACTAAGTGTGTGCGTCGTATCAAGCGCCTCTTGCGCGAACAATGACACCTTCGACTCGAGGAAGGTGAGAATCTTCGGACCGGACTCAACAATGGATGCACTGCACTACCGAAACAGTACAGACTCAGGAGCAGGGAGAGAGAGCCCTTTATGCATAGCCCCGAGCAGGAAATATGGATGCACGGTCAGGCTCCTCGCCGGATACGACGACGGGAAAACAAGGAACAAAAACAAAACAGCGAGCTGCTTCTCATGCCTGAAGCTTGGCTGTGGGTGTTGAATGTCGTCTTTGCTGCCTCCTCCATCTGCCGCTGCTGTGGAGGCTGTTTGTTCTCCTGGTCCTAGTGAAAAACGGACCATCTACGGTTCGGATGTAGGTTTGGCGTAGGGCTGTCAGGCACTCAAAACGACGGGGATTGGCTGGCTCCGTTATGGCGGGAGTCGAGTGTGGTTGATGGTTGTGAGCCGTTTCGCAGGGTAGTTTCAGGGTTTACGGGTGCCATTTCTACTTGGCGGCGAAAAATCGGTCGTATTCGGTTCGGACCAAGTTGGTCCGGGGTGTGGTCGAGTCGCGCACGAATCAAAGCTCCTCCACGTTCGGGACGGCGGAGGTACGGGACAATGGATTTCTGTACTAATTGTAACCCGCAGGATGAGTCGTACGCGCTCGCAAATGTCGCAGGAAAAGAGTGGCGAATCTGGGCCTACAGCGAAAACTAAATGCCAACCATTGCTGTTATATTTAGCTCTATATTGACCAGTTATGAGCACCACAACCAAAACACACCAATAAAGTCAACAGGCTATTGACATAGATGCATATACAAGGCAGCAAGCGCCCTAGAGTTCAAGATACTGTCAAGATTATGCATCCCCTCCGAATATTAGAGGGGAGTAATTAGGCACCCACATTCGCTTCTCCACTTCCTTCTGAAGCTGTGCCTGAAAACAATGTACAACATGTACATGGCAAGCCGTACAATTCATTCACATTATGCAACAATCAGAAAAGCAAAACATGTACATGGCAAGGCAGCGCTATGCCCGACAATTTCACAACACTATATCAGTACCTTGGACATGGTAAGCAGTTGGTCGGCACGCAAGTTGGAAATGCCGTCCGCTAGGTCCTCCTCCGCCGCCCGCCTTGCCACGGCCACCGCCACATGGGATGTGATGTCACGGATGTGGCTCATGCATGGGTACAGCATACCCCTGTGCACCTGATCGTCTGTCATGTACTCTGCTAGCCTGGTGGGGGGAGGGATGGGGATAGAGGGAGAGCGGATATGGAGGGACGGAAATGCGATTTCAACATGGGATGTGATGTCACGGATGTGGCTCGTGCATGGGTACAGCATGCCCCTGTGCACCTGGTCGTCTGTCATTTACTCTGCTAGCCTGGTTGGGGTGGAGGAATGGAGGTGCGAGGGAGAGAGGGATAGAGGGGGAGAGGTACAGAGGGACAGAGACATGAATAATCCATGAAATGTTATGTCATGGATGTTGCTACGGGTAAAGCATGCCCCTGTGCACTCGGTCATCTGTAACGTTACTCTGCTAGCCGAATGGGATAGAAAAGGAGGTGTGAGGAAGAGAGGGATGGACACGTGAGTAAGCGAGAGATGGAGGGACGGAGATGTGAATCAATCTGCACTCCAACAAACCTGTCGTGCACTCTCCCTGCCCCCGCCTCCCCTGCAACCAGAACACACCACACGCCGTGTACTCTGGTGCGCCGCAGCCTGCAGCATGACGTATAAATTCATGCAAGGAATTTTGCTCCCATACGCCCCCCACATTAACAAACTGCACACGCCATGCCTTGCACTCAGCATTCAGCACTCACTGGTGCGGAGCAGCCTGCAGCATTCCGTCTGAAATCACTCAAACCGCACCACCCTTCATGCACTGTCATACCATACCATGCCATGCACTGTCATACCATACCATGCCATGCACTGTCATACCATGCCATGCCATGCACTGTCATACCATGCCATGCCATGCACTGTCATACCATGCCATGCCATGCCCTGCACTGTCATGCCCTGCAACATGCCGTCTGAAATCACTCACACTGCACTGCTCTTATATGCAATGCAATGCCATGCCATGGCGCACGCACTAAGCGTCATACTATGCCATGCATCCATCACTCACTGGTGCGCTGCAGCCTGCAGCATGCCATCTGATATCATGCGAGCGCCCGAGAGGAGAGACCCCGACACAATGCTGATGGTGGGAGGGGAGGGCAGGTGTGGAGGGGAAGGGAGGGGAGAGGAAGAAGGCGGGTGTATAGGCCTGCAGCATGCCATCTGAAATCATGCGAGCGCCCGAGAGGAGAGATCCCGACACAATGCTGATGGGCACAGGGGGAAAACGGAGGGTGGAGCGGGGTGTGGGAGGGAAAGGGAAGTGGGGGAGAGGGAACACGGGGGTTGTTTGGCGAAACGAGGTTGCAGAAAAGTTGGGGGAGTCCATAAAGAGGCGACGTGTCACAAAACTCAATTAATATTCAATCGATGATATTGATGCGGTGAGTCGAGTTAATTAACCAAATTTAACGAATGTCAACCAGCGTATGCATGGAGTCATCACGCATGCCATCACACATGGTTCATCCCATGACGTCACCATGACACCACCCATGCCACCACCCATGACGTCACCATGACATCACCATGACGTCACCATGACGTCCCTCATGCACAACCCAGCCTACCCTGGCGAAAGGAACACGTTGTTGGCTTGGCTCGTGTGCCCCACCTTGCCGTTCGCTGAGAAAGGGGGAGAGTGAGAGGGAGGGGAGGGTGTTAGGAGGGGGGTTAGTGCTGCCTGCCTGGAGCACATGCACAACCCAGCCTACCCTGGCGAAAGGAACACGTTGTTGGCTTGGCTCGTGTGGAGGGAGAGGATAGAAGGAAGGACCGTACCAGAGGAGGTGGTGAGGGGAGGCAGAGGATAGAAGGGGCATACCAGAGGGGCTGCATGCGGGAGCAGGACTCACGGAATCGAACATCAGGGAAGGTGCATCCACTGGCGAAGAGGGGAGAGGCGAGAGGAGATGCTTTGTATGGTGCTTCAACAAGAGGGTAGCAGGGGGGTTGCAGGCAGGAGCAGGACTCACGGAATCGAACATCAGGGAAGGTGCATCCACTGGCGAAGAGGGGAGAGGCGAGAGGAGATGCTTTGTATGGTGCTTCAACAAGAGGGTAGCAGGGGGGTTGCAGGCAGGAGCAGGACTCACGGAATCGAACATCAGGGAAGGTGCATCCACTGGCGAAGAGGGGAGAGGCGAGAGGAGATGCTTTGTATGGTGCTTCAACAAGAGGGTAGCAGGGGGGTTGCAGGCAGGAGCAGGACTCACGGAATCGAACATCAGGGAAGGTGCATCCACTGGCGAAGAGGGGAGAGGCGAGAGGAGATGCTTTGTATGGTGCTTCAACAAGAGGGTAGCAGGGGGGTTGCAGGCAGGAGCAGGACTCACGGAACCGAACATCAGGGAAGGTGCATCCACTGGCGAAGAGGGGAGAGGCGAGAGGAGATGCTTTGTATGGTGCTTCAACAAGAGGGTAGCAGGGGGGTTGCAGGCAGGAGCAGGACTCACGGAATCGAACATCAGGGAAGGTGCATCCACTGGCGAAGAGGGGAGAGGCGAGAGGAGATGCTTTGTATGGTGCTTCAACAAGAGGGTAGCAGGGGGGTTGCAGGCAGGAGCAGGACTCACGGAATCGAACATCAGGGAAGGTGCATCCACTGGCGAAGAGGGGAGAGGCGAGAGGAGATGCTTTGTATGGTGCTTCAACAAGAGGGTAGCAGGGGGGTTGCAGGCAGGAGCAGGACTCACGGAATCGAACGTCAGGGAAGGTGCATCCACTAGCAAAGAGAGCGTTGGGACCCAGCAGCTTGAATGCGTCCTGTGCCGTGCACTCCGCTGGGGGAGGGGAGGGAGGAGAGAGAGCGTGGGGGGGGGGAGAAAGAGGGAAGAGAGTACGGGGGGGGGGGAAGGAGGGAGGGCAAAGAGCGCGTTGGGGCCCAGCAGCTTAAATGCATCTTCGGCGGTGCACTCCGCTGGGAGAGGGAGATAAATCTGGGCAGGAGAGGGAGATAAACGGGGCAAGAGAGGGAGATAAAACGGGGCAAGAGAGTGTGGGAAGAAAGTTTGTATAAAGAGAGAGGGAAAGGAATGAGGTGCAGCCACTGGCAAAGAGAGCGTTGGGGCCCAGCAGCTTGAAGGCGTCCTGTGCCGTGCACTCCACTGGGGGAAGGGGGAGGAGGGCAAGCCAAGAGAGGAGGGAGAGCGTGAGGTTGAAGGGAATGAGGGAGGCAACGGGATCAAGTACTTCACCTCACGCTCAGCAAGTACTTGCAAAGAGGCCATTACGGCCCAGCAGCTTAAAGGCGTTCTGTGCCGTGCACTCCCCTCGAACCTTGAGGCATGTGTCAAGGTCGCTGGAACATGTCTCAAGGTCTGCCGTGCACTCCCCTCGAACCTTGAGGCATGTGTCAAGGTCGCTGGAACATGTCTCAAGGTCTGCCGTGCACTCCCCTCGAACCTTGAGGCATGTGTCAAGGTCGCTGGAACATGTCTCAAGGTCTGCCGTGCACTCCCCTCGAACCTTGAGGCATGTGTCAAGGTCGCTGGAACATGTCTCAAGGTCTGCCGTGCACTCCCCTCGAACCTTGAGGCATGTGTCAAGGTCGCTGGAACATGTCTCAAGGTCTGCCGTGCACTCCCCTCGAACCTTGAGGCATGTGTCAAGGTCGCTGGAACATGTCTCAAGGTCTGCCGTGCACTCCCCTCGAACCCCCCACCTTGTTTCACAGGCTGCGAGAGAGCAAACACGGCCGGCCGAGACACATCGGCATTCTTCATGGCTTTTAGAACGTCGTCGTCAAACAGATGGCCCGATCCACCCTGCTCTCTATCCTGTGTCCCTGCCCTGCCAGAACAGTAACCTCCTCCCATCATACCTTGTTTCACAGGCTGAGAAAGGGCAAAGACGGCTGGCCGAGACACGTCGGCGTTCTTCATGGCTTTCAGCACATCGTCGTCAAACGGATGCCCCGACCTGGTCAGCCCCAACCTACGTCCCTGCAGGGTGATTATGAGCATTCTCACCTTGCTTTACAGGTTGGGCGAGGGCGAATATGGCAGGCCGAGACACGTCGGCGTTCTTCATGGCTTTCAGCACGCCGTCGTCAAACAGATGGCCCGACCTGCCCTGCTCCACCTTGATTCACCGCACTTCACCGTGGTTGACCACGCTTCACCTTGTTTCATCATTTTAGACCAGCAACCCCTCAAACACCTCACCTTGTTTTACCGGTTGCAAGAGAGCAAAGACAGCAGGCCGAGACACATCCGCGTTCTTCATAGCCTTGAGAACGTCGTCGTCAAACAGATGGCCCGACCCCGTCAGCCCCACCCCAATCCATTCCCTCTATCCACCTCCCTTAACCTTTCCTAACCGCACTTCACCTTGTTTCACAGGTTGAGAAAGCGCAAACACAGCCGGGCGAGACACGTTGGCGTTCTTCATGGCCTTGAGGACGTCGTCGTCAAACAGATGGCCCGACCCCGTCAGCCCCACCAGCACATGCAGCTTCACCCCCCGGCTTCACCACGTGCGGCTGGGCCCATGTGATTCGACTTTACCCAGCTGTGCCCACCTGCCCAGACAGCAACCCGTTCGGCACTCACCTTGCTTGACAGGTTGGGAGAGCGCGAAGACGGCCGGGCGCGACACATCGGCATTCTTCATGGCTTTTAGGACGTCGTCGTCAAACAGATGGCCCGATCCGGTCAGCCCCACCAGCACATGCGGCTTCACCCGCTTCACCACGTGCGCCAGACTCGTTCCCTCCTTGAGCCTCTCATCCTCGTTCGACCGCCTCAAGAAGTCTTCAAACTCCAGGGCACAGCTCACCCTCGCGACTGTCATGAGACCCTGGAGGGAGGACAGGGTCAACACAGGGTCAACGGAGATCAATGAATGTCAAGGCAGGTTAGACTACCTCGTGCCCTCCTTGAGCCTCTCATCCTCATCTGCCCGCCTCAAGAAGTCTTCAAACTCCGAGGCACAGCTCACCCGGGCGTCCGTCATCAGGCCCTGGAGAAAACAGACGGTCAACGCAGGTCAATGCAAGTCAATGCAAGTCAGACCCTTTCATCCTCGTTCGACCGCCTCAAGAAGTCTTCAAACTCAGGGGCACAGCTCACCCTGGCGTCCGTCATCAGACCCTGGAGAAAACAGAGGGTCAACGCAGGTCAATGCAAGTCAATGCAAGTCAGACCCTTTCATCGTCGTCCGACCGCCTTAAATAGTCTTCAAACTCAGGGGCACAGCTCACCCGGGCGTCCGTCATCAGACCCTGCAGGGAACACAACACAGGGTCAACACAGGTCAACGCAAGTCGATGCAAGCCAATAACTCACCTGGTCATTCACAAGTCAACCGAAATCAACGAGACGAAAAGTTAACGCCAGTCAATGCCAGTCAACGCCTCACCTGGTCATCCACGAGCCAGAAGTTTTCAGCTGCCCGATCCATGGCGGCTTTGCCCTGCCCGATCTGCGTAGCCATTGCCCTCCGCACAGCTGTCAGCACTCCTTCCGCTTCCCTGTAGGGAGGGGGTTCGAGGTGAGGGTTTAGGAAAACAAAAGAGAGCAGGAACCTTGAGGGGAGTGTTAGGTGCTGAAATGGGTGCTGCTGCCGTCTGCATTGCCGTGACCCGTCAGCACTCCATCTGCCGTCAGAACTTGAAGGGATTATTTTGATTGGTTTAAAAACACTACGAAATCTGCAAGGGGAGAAGCGTGATCAGCGGACATCGGACAGACAAAAGGGTTTGAAAGCAGTGAAAATTAATACAGGTGTTGAAAGACTGAAACGGATTTCCAGAAACTGAAGCGGCAATCCGAGGAAGATTAATGGTGTGTCGAAGCAACCATTCAAGTTTTTTTTGACACACCATTAATGTCCCTCGTATTGCCGCTTGGATTTTCAGCAGGTCTTTCAGCTCCTGCGTTAATTTCACTGGTTTATAAATAAAATCAGTGAAACTTTCGAGCGAAACTTTCTCAGCGAAACTTTTGCGTAGCGAAATTTACAACCTTGCTTCCCTCCTACCCCCTCGCTTTGCCACACCCGCCAGTGCCGGCAACCACCACTCTGGTGTCGGCAAGAGCTTTAGGGGGGAGGTGCTGCTCTCTCCGGACCTCTTACCTGCCATTGCCGGTCCCTCCCTCCCCTCCAACCCCATTGCCTTCCATCCCCCCCCCTCCCAGCCCGTACCTGCCAGTGCCAGCAACCACCACTCTGGTGTCGGCAAGAGCTTTAGGAGGGAGGTGCTGCGCCCGCAGCACGTTGAGAATGCCCGCCACTGCCACTCCGCCTGTGCCCTGTGGAATAGAAAAAGGGGGTTTACGGGAGGGCGAGGAGATTATGCACAGGGGAGGGGGGGAGGAGGGAGGTGCTATGCTCGTAGGACGTTGAGAGTGCCTGCTACTGCCACTCCGCCTGTGCCCTGTGTAGTGGAAAAGGGGGGGGGGACGGCAGGTGGAGGTAGGGAGAGAGGGGTTTAGTTGGAGGTGCTGTGCAGCAGAGGGGTTATGGGGGATTGGTACCATATTGTCCAGGTAAGTGTCTCAGTACCATTGGTAAGGGTGGGTGGTTACGTCCAATACCCTCGCATACGTTTACATCCTCCCGCCCATCGCATCCTCCCTCTCATTGCATCCTCCTTCCCAGCAGCACCGCACCTCGATATGATCAATGAAGATGCGGTACTGTGACTTGTAGCGATCCATGAGAGTGCTGCTGGCCACCCACCCACCTTGCCAGAACCACATGCACCACATGCCCCTTCAGTGCTCTCCCTCCCACCGCCTCTACCACTGGTCCCCGCATCTCACCTCGATATGATCAATGAAGATGCGGTACTGTGACTTGTAGCGATCCATGAGAGTGCTGCTGGCCACCCACCCACCTTGCCAGAACCACATGCACCACATGCCCCTTCAGTGCTCTCCCTCCCACCGCCTCTACCACTGGTCCCCGCATCTCACCTCGATATGATCAATGAAGATGCGGTACTGTGACTTGTAGCGATCCATGAGAGTGCTGCTGGCCACCCACCCACCTTGCCAGAACCACATGCACCACATGCCCCTTCAGTGCTCTCCCTCCCACCGCCTCTACCACTGGTCCCCGCATCTCACCTCGATATGATCAATGAAGATGCGGTACTGTGACTTGTAGCGATCCATGAGAGTGCTGCTGGCCACCCACCCACCTTGCCAGAACCACATGCACCACATGCCCCTTCAGTGCTCTCCCTCCCACCGCCTCTACCACTGGTCCCCGCATCTCACCTCGATATGATCAATGAAGATGCGGTACTGTGACTTGTAGCGATCCATGAGAGTGCTGCTGGCCACCCACCCACCTTGCCAGAACCACATGCACCACATGCCCCTTCAGTGCTCTCCCTCCCACCGCCTCTACCACTGGTCCCCGCATCTCACCTCGATATGATCACTGAAGATGCGGTACTGTGACTTGTAGCGCTCCATGAGGGTGTTGGTACACCCACCCACATGCACATACATCCATCCCCTCTGTCCCTCCTACCCTCTCATCTCACCTCGATATCATCACTGAAGATGCGGTACTGTGACTTGTGGCGCTCCATGAGGGTGTTGGCCCACCCACCCACATGCACATACATCCATCCCCTCTGTCCCTCCCTCCCTCCTAACTCACCTCGATATCATCGTTGAAGATGCGATAATGTGACTTGTAGCAATCCATGAGGCTATTGGCCCCTGCACCCCACCTTCCAACCTTCAACCACACCCCTCCACTCACTATGCCTCCCCTCCCTCTCTCACCTCGATATCATCGTTGAAGATGCGGCACTGTGAATTGTAGCGATCGATCCATGAGAGTGTTGGCCCACTGCACCTCTACGTGTCATGACACACAACCACACCCCACCCTGCAACCATACATCTTGCGAATACCAGTGCTCCCTTCGACCCCCCCATCTCACCTCGATATCATCATTGAAGATTCGATACTGCGACTTGTAGCGATCCATGAGCGTGTTGGCCCACCCACCCACCCACATGAACATACATCCATCACATCTGTCCCTCCTACCCTCCTATCTCACCTCGATATCATTGTTGAAGATGCGGTACTGTGACTTGTAGCGCTCCATGAGCGTGTTGGCCCTCCCACATGCACCACATGCCCCTTCAGTGCTCTCCCTCCCACCGCGTCTACCACTGGTCCCCGCATCTCACCTCGATATCATCATGAGCGTGTTGGCCCACACCCACCCATTCCTTGGTATCATCACACACAACCACACCCCAGACACAATCACCCATCTCATCTCACCTCGATATCATCGTTAAAGATTCGATACTGTGACTTGTAGCGCTCCATGAGCGTGTTGGCCCACCGCATCTCAAAGTCCTCAAACTGCCATGTGCAGGCACAATCACATGCACAGAGGCACATATGATGAACACACAAACACAAACAGAGAGGTAAAGGGAGTGTTAGAAGCAAGTGCACAGATGCACATATGAACACACACACAAAGCGACAGAGATACAGGGAGTTTTTTAAGAGTCCTCAAGACACCTTGTACCGATCTGCACCCATCCATGAGGGTGTTGGCCCACCTCATCTCAAAGTCCTCAAAACTGCTTGAATGTGCACAAACACGCACGAACAGCAGGGTGTTGCAAACCGCAATGCAGAAATGGAACAACTATGGAAATCACGAAGCACTCAAAACGGAACGAAACTAGCACCACCTGATCCTGACATTCCCACCTCCCACTACCACCCACTCCCGGTACCACCCACTCCCACTACCACCCACTCCCACTACCACCCACTCCCACTACCACCCACTCCCACTACCACCTGCTCTAGATATCACCTGCACGATCACATTAGGCCAGCGTGAAAAGACTGCCTCCATGAACTCGTCCATTAAGGACAGGTAGTGCGCTCCCCGTCCAGGTGACACCTGCACTGGATGCCACACACCCTAGGCCATCTGACTTCGGACAGTAACAACCTCCCCCATACGCTACCTGCACGATCACATTAGGCCAGCGTGAAAAGACTGCCTCCATAAACTCGTCCATTAAGGACAGGTAGTGCTCCCCGTCCAGACGAGGGTGGCGCAAGCCCAGGTCTGGGTGGGTTGAATTGGGTTGGCGTAGGTGGAAACGGGTGTGAATCGGTAGAAATGTGTTTGGATGGGTGGGGATTTCGATGAACACCGTCTCGCCGTGAAATCAGCCATGAAGGAGAGGTAGAGCTCTCCGTCCTGACGAGGGTGGCGCAACCCCAGGTCGGGGTGGGTGAATGGAGTGGGGGAATGGGTTGCAAAGGGTTATGACTTGTCCATAAGAAAAAGTGGAGGTGGAGGGGAGACTGTTGGGAAGAGAATTGTTACGAGAAAACACACACAAGTGGACGTCTGCTGCGTCATGAGATGGAGGTTGTGTGTTGTAAGGCTAATGCGAGTCTGCTTACAGAGGGGATTCTTTATGAGCGTCTCTTTGTTGGTGCCAACATCGAACATCACTGGAAGCACCTGGGAAAATGACAAAAAAAGAAAAAAAAAGAAAAGAAAAGAAAAGAAAAGAAAAGAAAAGAAAAGAAAAAACCATGAACAGTTTAGCTTGCTGGGAATGGAACACCAGCACTAACAATATTCACTGACACTAATGCCATTCGCACCACAGGGGGGAAATGCCGGCCGCAGCGACGTACATGTGGAGCTTGCCCATCGGGATGGCTCTTGCCTGTTGTACCCCCTAGCCAAGCTCACCGGCTCGAGACAGGGAGAGAAGGGCGTCAATAACAACGCTCACCCTGTTAGATAGAATGCCGGCCGCAGCGACGTACATCCCCACCGCCGGGATGACTATGGCCTGCACTCCCAGGTCTCCAAATCTAGGCAGGGAGAGAAGGGCGTTAGTACCTTCATTCACCCTGTTTGCCCACTCACCCTGTTGGGTGGAATGCCAGCCGCAGCGACATACATGTCGAGCTTGCCCACCGGGATAGCTATGGCCTGCACTCCCAAACCACTCGCTCTATAGTGGGAGAGGAGGAGCATGTGTGGCGCATGCTGTAGCAACACTCACCCTGTTGGGAGGAATGCCAGCAGCAGCGACATACATGTCGAGCTTGCCCACCGGAATGGCTATGGCCTGCTGTATGGTGTATCCCCTCTATACAGTGGAAGAGGAGAGCAGGAGTGTGTGCGTCAGTACCAACACTCACCCTGTTGGGAGGAATGCCCGCAGCAGCGACGTACATGTCGAGCTTGCCCACCGGGATGGCTATGGCCTGCACTCCCAGGTCGATCTTCCTGAACCAGTCCGTCACACCACTCTCACCCGGTGCACCACTCACCAGGCCTTCAGTACCCCCTAGCTCACCGGGCCTAGACAGGGCAAGACGGGCGGCAGTACCAGCACTCACCCTCTTTTCACACTCACCCGGTTGGGGGGGATGCCGGCTGCAGCGACATACATGTCGAGCTTGCCCACCGGAATGGCTATGGCCTGCACTCCCAGGTCTCCCAACCCCAGCACCTTGCTGCCATCCGTCATCACTATCACATCCACCTGGAATAGGTGGAGAGGGTAGGGAGAGGGGAAAGGGGGAATGGAGAGAAGGGGGAGAGCAGGGAGAGGAGAGAGAGCAGTGAGCCGCACCACCACTCCCAGGTCTCCCAACCCCAGCACCTTGCTTCCGTCTGTCATGACTATCACATCCACCTGAAGAATGGGAAAGAGGAGAGACGGGGGAGAGAAGAGAGTAGAGTGAGAGAAGAGAGAGCAGTAGGCAGACCATCAGTCACGGGTCGGCCAGCCTCCCAGCACGGGATGGGAATGGCCTGCACTCCCAGGTCTCCCAGGCCCAGCACCTTGCTGCCGTCTGTCATGACTATCACATCCACCTGGATGGGTGGAGAAGGGAGGGAGGAAGGAATGGAAGAGAAAACATGGCACAAACCAAAAAATAAAAAGAAAAAAGAAAAAACTACTACTACTATCCTGTCTTCCCACACATACAGTCCCAGCACATAACTCCAGCACGCACTCACAGCATGGAACCAGCACACCTTATCTCTCGCCACCCTACCTTGTCTGCCGGCCAGTTGTGCACCATACTCGCCATCTCGCCCCTGTCAGCTGCACTGAAGTACATGCCTCGGGGCCGCCGGAACAGACTGCTGTACTTCTGACACATTCTCTCTGCTTTCCCCCATGCATGCAGTCACAGCACCCCCTCATCCCTCACCTTGTCTGCCGGCCAGTTGTGCACCATACTCGCCATCTCGCCCCTGTCCGCCGCACTGAAGTACATGCCTCGGGGGCGCCGGAACAGGCTGCTGTACTTTTGACACACGGTGCCAACTGTTGGCACGTAGAGAATGCGACTCATCTCCTGAATGTGGTCTATCAAAACCTGATGGGGAAGGGAGTTAGAGCGAAGGGGGAGGAGGAGGCAGGAAGGGAGGAGGGGAGGGGGAGAAGAGAGCGAAGAAGAAGCTGCTGTGATTTCGACACACGGTGCCGACCGTGGGGACGTTTGGATGCGACTCATCTCCTGAATGTGATCTATCAGGACCTGATGTGTGTTTGGTGGGGGGAGGCAAGGGAAGGGAGGGACCGAGCAGGGGAGCAGGGGAGGAGGGGAGGGGAATGCGCAGGCTGCTGAACTTCTGACACACGGTGCCGACCGTGGGGACGTTTGGATGCGACTCATCTCCTGAATGTGGTCGATCAGGACATGATGGGGGAAGGATGAGGGGGGGGGGAAGGGAGACGGGTGGAGGGAGAGGAGAGGTGATTAAGAAGACGGGAGCCACATGATTGTATGCTTTTGAGGGGAGAGGGTGAAAGGTGAATGAGTCTCATAGCGGTGGTGCAGGCAGTTGAAAATGCGCCATTTTAGCACGTCATCGTGTCCCCTGTGATTCCTCAGCTCGTTATAGCCACACATCCGCTCATCACACCTTGTACTAGAGAGATAAATGCAGTCACATCATACCCGGTAATACAGCGTCTCGTTGCGGTCGTGCAGGCGGTTGAGAATGCGCCACTTCTGCAGGTCAACCGGGTCGTCCGGCATGAGGGGCTTCCGGGTCAACCGGGTCAACCAACATGGTGATAGTGCAGTGCGGTACAGTGCGGTGCAGCCACATCGTACCCGGTAGTAGAGTGTCTCGTTACGGTCGTGCAGGCGGTTGAGGATGCGCCACTTCTGCAGGTCAACCGGGTCGTCTGGCATGAGAGGCTTCTGGTCCATCTTCCTGTACTCCGACACTGGTGGGGGGGAAGTGCGGTTGGGGAACGGGAGGGGGGACAAGGGAGGAGAGGGACGATGCGCCACTTCTGCAGGTCGACCGGGTCGTCTGGCATGAGGGGCTTCTGATCCATCTTCCTCTACTCCGACACTGGTGGGGGGGGGGGGGGAGAGGGAAGGGGGGAAGGGACGAGGGAGGGGGGAGGGTTTAGGAGCGCGGACAAGGGAGGAGAGGGAGAGAGCAAGGAAGTGGGTGCACAATGTAGAGGCATGAGGGGCTTCTGATCCATCTTCCTGTACTCCGCCACTGGTGGGGGATGGAGTGGGGTTGGGGAACGGGAGGGGGGACAAGGAGCAGCACCCTCTACCTAACGAACCCTCGCTCGCTATAAGCAGCCTCGTTTTAAGCACGCAACCACTTACTGAATGTGCCACCAGCTCGTCCATCGTCTGGTACCCCGGCAGCAGCAGCCCCCTCAACCTGATGGACCCTTGCTCTCCCGCTATAAGCTGCCTCGTTTCAAGCACACGTAAAGACTTACTGAATTGCGCCACCTGGTCGTCCATTGTCTGGTACCCTGGCGGCAGCAGCCCCCTCAGTCCAATAACCAACCGCTCGCTATAAGCTGCCTCGTTTCAAGCACACGTAAAGACTTACTGAACTGCGCCACCTGCTCGTCCATTGTCTGGTACCCTGGCGGCAGCAGCCCCCTCAGCCCCAGCCGGTCCCTCTCAGGCGCTTCAAACGCCGTGTGCTGGTGTGGGATAAAGGAAGACGCAAAGGGGAGAGGGGGTGGGAGGGTGAAGGGGAGAGGGGGTGGGAGGGTGAAGGGGAGAGGGGGATTGGGGAGTAGAAGCAACGGCGGCAGCAGCCCCCTCAGTCCCAGCCGGTCCCTCTCGGGCGCTTCAAACGCCGTGTGCTGATGCCGGGACGCGGGGGGAGGGGGGCGAAGGTTGCGGAAAAAGGAAGAGGGAGGGACTTTTGAGTTGACTAGAAGGACAGGGAGGAATTGACCGGGCGGAGAAGAGATTGGGTGGCATTGGGGCGTACTACGGCTGCTAGCCGCAATGGCGGTAGCAGCCCCCTCAGTCCCAGACGGTCCCTCTCGGGCGCTTCAATCGCCGTGTGGTGGGGAGCAGTGGAGACAGTAAGGGTGGGAGGTTGCGAAGGGGGCAGTGGGGAGGATTGGGGAATAAGAGCAACGCTTCAGCAGCCCCCTCAATCCTAGCGGATCCCTCTAGTAGCTTCAAAGGCTCGCTTAGAGTCACAGATTTTTGTTGCACCGCCCTCTCTTACAGTCACACACCTTGTTGTATCACCCTCTCTTACTGTTACACCACGCCTCGTCCCGCCACATCTTTTCAGGCGCTTCAAAAGTCCTCGTTACAGCCACACACCTCCTTTGTACCACCCTCGCTATTAGTCACACACCTTGTTGTACCACGGGTCGTGCAGCAGGTCCGCGCCGCGCTTCGCCATGATTATCGGCTGCCCGCTATGCACCTCGCGGCACCCCCCGAGGCGCGCTACTGCCAGCGGACTCTGTCTCTGAGGCGCCTCGGAAACAGGCGGCCCGCTATGCACCTCGCGGCTCCCTCCGAGGCGCCCTACTAGCAGCGGTCGAGCCGCACTCGTCCAACCGTCCACGAGCCCGCCGGCGCGCGCGCTAAGGCCGGCGCGCGCGGGGAATCTCTCCGCTCCGCTCCTCTTGATGCCCTCCCGCGCGCATCGCGCAGCAGCGCGGAGCAGCGCCGACATTGGCAGTGCGTAAGAATATGACTTATGTGCTATTCGTACTGTCCCGGTCGCGAAAAAAGCAGAATCTGAATGTCAAGAACAGCAATGTGTCTCCGTCGAAGGGATTCGACGAGCACGTTTTTGCAGCGCACGTCGCGACGTGTAGGCCCTTAAAAAGGGCGAATCTAAGCGCGAGATTGGCGACCGGTGGCTCAAGTATCTATGATGCGTTAGCTTCAACAGTTATGGTGGCAACGGTTCCGGCGAATGTCGGATGGTGAAGGGGAAAAGACCTGCGGAGAAGAATGGAAGAAGCGAGTGGCGATGGAGGCGAGTAGGGTTGGCGAGATTCGCGAGAGGAGCAGCGACCGCGATAGAGAGGCAGCGCCAAGGTGACCAGCAGTGAAGCGGAAAGCTCGTAGCGCTACAACACGACTCAAGGCAGGGATACAAGCCCTAGTTACAGAATGCGAGCAGGTAGGTCTCCCCCATTGTTATTTTTTTGGAGCACAAGGCAACTAAGCAAGTCGCAGGGACGGATACACATACATGCAAGGATGCGGATGCGGGCACGGATAAAACATCTTTTTGTTCGGGGACTGGTGAAGGATGTGGGTGTCTCATTGGTGCTTGCGGGAAAGAAAAAATCTGTCGTTCTGGGTTGACCAATGGGCGAACGTTTCACAGCTGCCCACGGTCACATTCCGTTTGTGGTCTGACGCATCGCCTTTCACTTCGTCCAAGTCCCAGCTCGGTGCTCGGAGAAGTTTGCCAGGCAGTAAATTTGGGACACGTCGAATTGAAATGAGGTGATGACGTGGATAACCCCACTTGACGAGTCATTTTCCTGTCATTTTGGTTGACTCCAGCCAATGACTTGCCAGCGGTGCAGAAGAATGGCATGCAGAATATATGCCCAGAGCAATTCTCCATTGAAGCTGATCCGTTAGTGTGACAAACAGATGCAAGATTGACCCTTTCCTATCTTCCAGCGATATTCACTTTGGAAGTTATTCCAGCAAAACAACTTCCACACCCATGCGCATTTACTGTTTCCGCTGCCCGCCGATGATTCCTAGGAGCTCATTCAGTTAGTTCCCTCCGAAAACCTCCGCTCAACAGCAGCTAACACTAACTCCAAGGGTGTTGCGCTTCGGCATACAACGGTTCTCCCTAGGAAAGCCACGGATGCAGCAGCAGCAGCATCCCTCTCTTCTTACCATAAGCACTTACCCGCGAAGTCGTCGGGCCAATCACACCATGTCTCGCGACAGGACGTTACTCCTTATAATAGGCGATTCGACCGTCGTTGACGGACCAACACATGACCGACCAGATTCGCGTTCAGCGATCCCAGCCGACCGACATCCAGGTCGTCTGAGAGGCGCTAGCAACTTATTCTCAGGCCCCGGACCGCCTCCGAGAGTTGCAGCGCATCCTACTATTTAAGCTCCTCTCCTGCTCGCATTTATTTTGAGCAAAGGGTGGCAAGAGCAACAGCTTTACTGAGCGCCGGGTGAAAGGATCGTGTTTGCGGTCGTTACGAACCTCTCCTTCTTCTTTCCACCAGCAGCAGAGCGAGCGGGTCGGTGCAGTGCGTTCGAGATGCAGTTACATCTCGAAGCAACACACAGAACTGAATCACTATCCAGAATCTAGAGGGCTCTCCTAGCTGAAAGGCCGATTTCCTCCTCGTGTAGATGTCTCTACGAGATGGAGCATAGGAGCCCGTCCTTTTTCTCGTTTTGATGGCGGCACAAGGAGCTTAGACCACTCCGAAATCCACATCCGCTGTTTTTAGTCCTCTCCGCTGTCTACCAGAAAGAGGAAAGAAAGCCGAGTCTTGGGAAGATTCAGCTTCGGTTCACCCCTCCATTGATTGGAGTTTTTTTACAACCGTATCTCGCCTTTTGTTCAGTCGCTAACGCCGAACGTTTCAGAATGAAACCAACCCGCGTGGATTCTACCCTGCAGCCTTCTACTGTCGCCGCGACCCATCCTGCCGTGTCTCCCGCCGCCGATCCCGCCGCGCCGCCGCCGCAGCCGGTCCCTTTTCTCACCCCGTTGCGCCCGTTAATGGAACGTCTGCAGCGATGGAAGCGCATCTTCGGGCCGCGCCTCGTGCTGCTTCTCCTCCCCGACGGCTCTATGAAGATGTACGCGCCTGGCGGAAAGACTCCCGCGCATTCCGCCTCTAGCGGGGATCTCTTCGGCGGAACGACACCCTCGCATTCCGCCTCCAGCGCGGATCTCCGCGGCGGAAAAACGCCCGCCAGCGGCGGAGACGTGCCCGCGCCGGTCATCGCCGGACTTCCGCGCGTCCTTGACTCCGCGCACCTCTCGCGTTCCGCGCGACATCACGCGCGGAGTCGGGTTCCGCGCAGGCCCCGCGGAGGCGGCGGAAGGGCTTCGGCGCGGCAGCTGACGGTGGCTGACGTCATGCGCGAGCATCCCGGGTATTCCGTGGGATCCATGTCTTCGAAGCGCGCCGTGCTGCCGCGAGATAAGGTGCTGCACCCGGGAGGGACGTATTACCTCTCTAAACCGGCTACTGCGGCGCAGGGCGCGCAGGAAGCGCAGAACACGGAAGCGCAGAAGGCGGAAGGGAAGGCCGCGGACGGGGAGAGCGCGGAAACAGCAGCTGAATCAAGCGCCAGTTCTGCAACTAACTGGCTGGTGGGGGCAGGGGGAGGCAAAGAGACGGAGGAAGAACCAGGGGAAGCAGATGAGGGACTGCTGGTTGATATCCTGGGGGATACGTTGGTCAAGGCAGGTGATGATGGTCCCAGGCAGAATCAGCAGCAGCAGCAACGGTTGAACCAGCAGCGGTCGAACCAGCAGAACCCGAACCAGCGGAGAGGGATGCACATGGTGAAGGGCATTCTCACTCTTGACATCACCAGCGATGCTTCTGACAACGATGACAACGGGGACAACAACAACCAATACGACGATTACAATTGTCATGATGATGGTGATGGTGATCATTTCTATGGCTTCACCAGCAGTGCTTTCGAAGCGGGATCTGATGCTGAATCCGACGCAGATTCCTTCGCTACAACCGGGTGCACGGGCGGCTCGTGCGTCAGCACTCCCAGAAGGGAAGCTTCCAGGAAGCGGCCGCCGCCCGCCGCCGCCGGCCGGCCGCCGCGATTCGAGCGGCACGCGTCAGTGGGCTCCACGGCGTGCGAGTCAACCCGGTCAACCGAGTCAACCCAGACAATCCAGTCAACTCAGTCAATTCAGTCGATCCAGTCCATGCTCTCCCTGCAGTCAACGCAGTCAGTTCAGTCAACTCGGTCAACGCGGTCAACTCGAACAAGGCAGAGCGTGAGCACTCACAACACGCCCAGGGGGCCAACTCTCTCCCACTGGCAGCGGGAGGAGAAGTCCCCAAGAGGCTCTTTGCACGAGTGGAAGAGAGGGGGACTGCCCAAAGCAAGGCCCGGGATCTTCAAAACCCAGCAGTCTCCCACTGCGGAGAATATGCAATCGCCAAACCTGCCGTTTCCTGACCTGCACGGAAGCTTCGGTGGAGAATCAGGAGGTGAAGGGAGCACCAGGGAAGGGGGGGCTGGAGAGAGGGGGAAAAAGGGAGAGAAGGGAGGAGCGAGAGGGGAGAGGGGGCGGTTGAGGAGGCACGAGTCGAGTGAGAGCAGTAAGCTGGCATCGGCTCTGCAGCAGCTGTGGCGGCAGGGGTCTGGCGGGTGGGGCGTGGGCTGGCATGCCGGCTCCTCCCCTGCTGCCTCTACCTTATCTGCTGCTAGCCCCCCTTCTGGTACTGCTGATGGCGGTTGGTCTTCTGCTGCTTCCACTCCTGCTGGTGCTCATATCAATCCCGCTGCTTCTGCCGCTCCTGCTGGTGGCCGTAACAATCCCGCAACTGGAGACGGTTCTTCTGGTCCTGCTGCAGCCCACAAGCGAGCGCTGAGTGCGCTGTCTCTGCAAGCCCTGTCGGCTGAGGAAGAAGAATCGGGTGAGAGGAGGGCAGGAGGGGGAAGGAGGAGCAATGACGGAGGAGTGAAGGAGGGAAGAGGAGGCAAGCAGTCTATGGTGGCTGCAGCAGGTGCAGGGGTATCCAGGGTGTGGGTTCCCCCTGGGGGCGGACTTAGAAGGGATGGGGAAGGCAAAGAAGAGGATGGATGGGCTCATCCCGAGCTCGGGGCGGCCACCATCCATTCCTGGAAGCTTCCCCGGTCGCACACGGTGGGTTCCCGATCTGGTGTATCGAAATCCGCGGGCTACGGGGCGGATCTGAGGGCGCAGTATGGGATTGTGTCTAAGTCTGGTGAGCATGGGGCGGATATGAGAGCTCAGTATGTGGTGTCTAAGTCGGGTGGGCATGGCGCGGATATGAGGGCTAGATACCTGGAGCTCCGACAGAAGCATGGGTTTCCTGCTGGTGCAGAAGGGTTTTCCAATCAGCAGCAGCAGCAGCAGCAGTGGCTCTCGCACTTGGAGAAGCAGCAGCAGCAACTGCAGCAGCAGCAACTGCAGCAGCAGCAGCAGCAGCAGCAGCTGTCGCGGCTACAGCAGTGGCATCGGCAGCAGCAGCAGCAGAAGCAGCAGCAGCAGACCCAGCAGGGGAAGCAGCAGCAGCAGCAGCAGCCACAGCAGCAGCAGCAGCAGGTGTTTCATCCTCTCACACACCACTCTGCATGGTGGCATTCCATGGGAGGAGCAGGAGGAGGAAGTCAGATGGACCTTCATTCCCAACAGCAACACCACCACCACCCGTTCCCCCCTCGCTCCTTGTCACACACCCCCTCGATTCAGTCACACTCTCTGGAAAGAACCCACAGTGTTCCCTCGGATGCCTTCCTCCAATCAGCTCTCTTTCCCCCGTCTCTCAGCAGCCAATCAGAGCAGCCGAGCATGGTAACCAGCAGTGGCAGCAGCTACAGTGCTGCTGCCAGCCCGGGTTCTTTTTTCTTCCCCAAGTCTCCATCGGTTTGGACGGACGCTTCTGATTCGCCGGCTCCGCGGCTACATCTGAGCCACAGCCTTCCGTACAGTGCGATCCCCTATAGTGCGATTCCCTACAGTGCAATGCTGTTGCAAAAGGGAAGCGCTGTTACAGGTGGAACTGGTGCGAGGGTGGGACAAAAGGAGAAGAATCTGGGGAGTGTGACTGAGGGAGAGGATTTTTGGTTGAGCTACCATTTGCAAGGTGTACAACCTCCAAAGGAACAATCAGCTCATAAAGGGTACGATGGTGTAGACCTGACGCTTTTGCAGCAGTGGAGCCAGGGAATGGTTGATGATGATTCCCCTCCCCCGGGTCCCCTGAGGACTCTGTCTTGGTCGGAATTGGCTCGGCAATTGCAGGAGTGTCAGGCGAATGCTAATGGCTCGAGGCTGAGTCCTGGAGATGTGCTGAGAATGGTGGTGGCGAGGCAAGAGGTGAAGGGAAAGGTCTGAGCTGGTAGGGAATGGGTATTGTGATTGTGATGTTATGAATATGCTGTATATATATGCTATGGGAAACTTATCTGCCAACGAAGAAAGATATGCATGACAATTATCTGACAACGAAGAAATATATGTGTACGAGTGCAATTGAGTGAACGAACGAGAATTGCACTATCGAAGCAAGAGTACAATCAGCGAAGGCATGAGCGAAGAATATATAGCGAAACTACAGTGGTAACGGTAATATGTGAAAATGGGGTGCGCGACGGGCCTGGTGCCGAGGTTGGGAAAGTGTCGAGGCGGAGGTCCGGAGCGCGGGTTACCAACCGAACCGTGAGGTTGGGTCGCGTCGTGAATGGTGGCGGGAATGGTGTCGAAGCGAGTGTCGCGAGTGGTAACGGATTACTGTTGGGTGCTGTGGGTGGGAACAGTGGTGTACGCGCTGAGCAGGCACGCGAAGTAAGGAAAAGGAATTTTCCTTACACTACCCCCCTCCCCAAGGAGGCCCCTCTTACGAGAGCGCGTGTACATCTCGGAAGTTTCGGCTTCGCAGATACTCGGTGAGGACAGGGTGATTCTCAATTTTATCCAGGGGGACCCAGTTGTCTTCGGTGGGCGTGCGGTCCTTCCAACGGATCAGGAATTCGATTCGGCGGGCTCCCCGTGGGTCACGTACTCGATGGCTCAGTATTTTCTCAGTTGGTAATATCTCTGCGAACTGTTGTGCGCGTGGGACTGGGTTGTCGGGATTCGGGGTCATGGGTACTGTGGGGTCTTGTCCGTAGTTCAGGTAAAACGGTGACTGTTGGGTCGTGGCGGAGGGTGAGTTGTTGTATGCGAATTCGATGAGTGGCAGTTGCTGTTCCCACATGGTCGGGTCGTCGCATGTGGCCCGGATGAGCTGTTCCATGGTCTGATTTGTTCGTTCTGTCTGTCCGTCGGTTTCGGGGTGGTACGATGAACTGAATTGTAGTCGCGTGCCGAACTGCTGCCACAGGTTCCGCCAGAAGTTGCTGGTGAATTTCGTGCCTCTGTCGCTGATGATCGATGCTAGTATCCCGTGCAGTCGTACAACGGTGGAGATGAAGAGGCGGGCTGTTTCTTCGGCTATGATTGATTTCTTGCAGGCAGCGAAGTGTGCCATTTTCGTCAGCCGATCGACGACGACCAGGATCGCGTCATTCCCACTCGTTCCGGCCGGTAACCCCGTGACGAAGTCCATCGTCACCTGCTGCCAAGCACGCTCTGGGGGTGGAATCGGCTGCAACTGTCCTGCCGGCCGCTTCCGTGATGACTTCATGATCTGGCAAGTGGGACACGATGCCACGTGTCGTTGAACGTCGGTCAACATTTCAGGCCAGTAATAATACCGCTGCAGCTGCTGCCGTGTTTTCTCTACCCCGAAATGTCCTGAGGTAACTCCGTCGTGTGCCTCCTGAAATAGTAATTCCCGTAGCAGTGTGTACCCTGGTACCCAGATGCGATCGGTCCCGACTTTTACGTAATAGACTCCTTTTGCTGCTGCGAACTGCTGCGGATTTCCTCCTGTGAAGAATGGGTCCGTTTGGTATCCGTGGGTAAATAGTCCTGTCAGTAGCGGGCTGGTCTGGGCGAGTAGTATCGCGTGGATTTGGGTAGTGGGTCGGGTTAGTGCGTCGGCGATGTTCGAGGCTCCCTTTTTGTAGGTGACCGTGTAGTGGAAGTTGGACTCGAGGAAATCGAGCCAGCGAATCTGTCGTGGGTTGAGGTGGGGCTGTGCGCGGAGGTACTGTAGTGATCGGTGGTCTGTCCGTACTGTCACGTCTGCGCCGGTTAAGTAACAGCGCCACACTTTGAACGCATGCACGATCGCGAGCATTTCGCGGTCGTGTATCGGGTAGTTTTTTTCGGGCGGATGCAGTTTTCGTGACTCGTATGCGATAGGATGTAGGCCGTTGTCGAAATCCTGTAGCAGTACGGCTCCGATGGCGATGTCGCTTGCGTCTGTAATAACTTCGAAAGGGCGGTGTGGGTCAGCAATGCGCAGTACGGGCGGGGAGCAGAGGACGGTTTTCAGGGCAGAGAAGGCAGCCTGCTCTTTCTCCCCCCACGTAAAAGTGACCCCCTTGCGTAGCAGATCCGTCAGTGGGGCTGTTAATTGTGCCATGTCGGGGACGAACCGACGCACATAATTAACGAACCCTAAAAAACTCTGTAGCTCCGTGATGTTTGTCGGGGGATGCCACGCTTTTACCGTGTCCAACTTCTTCGGGTCGATTTCAACCCCAGCCTCCGAAATAACGTGCCCTAAAAACTCTAGCCTGTCTTGAAAGAACTCGCACTTGGAACCCTTGGTCAGTAGTCTGTGCTCGGCTAAAACTTTAAATACTGCTTCCAGATCTGCTAAGTGCTGCTGCTTATCCCGACTGTAAACTAGGATGTCGTCGAGGTAAACTATCACGCATTTATCTAAGAGCGGCCTAAACGCCTCATTCATGGTCATCTGGAAAGTTGCCGGTGCGTTGGTCAGCCCGAATGGCATCACGGTGTATTCGAATGACCCATACCTAGTTCTAAATGCTGTTTTTACGCAGTCCGATGGTTCGACCCGAATCTGGTGGTAACCTCCCCGTAAATCTATTTTCGAAAAAACCCGTGCTGGTCGCAGCTGGTCGATCAGTTCGTCAGCGCGGGGAATGGGGTATCGTGACTTGACTGTTACCCGGTTCAGTGCTCTGTAATCGATGCACATGCGAAACCCCCCGTCTTTTTTCGGTATGAACAGTATCGGTGCGGCGAACGGTGACGAGCTCGGTCAGATGAATTTTTTCTCTAACAAGTAGTCTAACTGCTTCCTCAGCTCATCGAGCTCGGGCTGTGTCAGTCGGAACTGTCGCTGTACGGTTGGCTGTGCCCCGGGTTCTAACTCTATGCGGTGGTCGTGTGCTCGCTGAGGTGACAGTCCTTCTGGTAAATCGTCCGGAAAAATCCCCGGGTACCGTTTCAACAGTTCCTGTAGTTCGGACGGTACCGCTGCCAACAGTTTCTGAAAATCGCTCGGCTGCTCTGCTTCTCCTACCAACGCTATATCCACTGCGTACACGTCAGCTCCAGCGGCGACAGCCCGTTTCATCGTGATGGCGTTGACGTGGACCGTTGAAGACTCGGGCGACTGCCAGCGAGGTAGCACGACCCAGTTACCACTACTTCGCACAGTACAGCTACCCGTCGTCCAGTCAATTCGCGGGTTATACCGTCGCAGGCAATCACGTCCCAGTAAAATGTCGTGCCCATCCAATGTCGTCGCGAGCATTTCCTGTGTAAACCCAAAGTTCCCCCCGCAGCGGACTTTTACTCTCTCCACCTTTTCCCGTATGGCCAGCGGCGTTCCGTCTACTAAGCGTGCATCTATTTCTGGTAAACACCGACTAAGTGTCAGTCGCAGCTTCCGTGCAGTTGCGGTATTAACTAAGCTGTGGCTTGCTCCTCCGTCTATAAAGATCTTTACTGCTGCTCCCTGTACTTTCCCGTGAATCAGTACTGGGCAATCCGTCGCTGTACCCTCCTCATTCATCCGAGCCCGATCGATAGCGTGAATCGGTACTGTGACTCGGTGAGGGTCGGTGTGGTTGGGCGAGCAGGCAGTCTCGTCAGTAGTTGGCCCAACTTCTACTGGCTGCTGGCGTTTCCTTGCCTCTGAGACTCCCTCCCCTGCTCTGCTCCGCGGCGCCTCAGCTCCTCTGGGCATTCGCTCTTGCGATGGCCCGGCCTGTTGCAAGCAAAGCAGCGCCCCTTAAACGGCGCAGCAGCTGCATTCGTCGCAACGGCGTGTACAGTGGCGTGCTCGGTCGGTCCCCGAGGGCGATGTCCGTAGTAGGACCCCGGTCTCGGTCGGCGTAGGATGTCGATTTTCTCGGCGAGCGCGAGAATCTCGTTGAAGTTCGAGAGTCCGCGCAGCATGATCTCGTGCGAGATATCCGGCTTCAGCCCTCCGACGTAACGGTCCACCCGCTCCGCTTCGTGCATGTAGCCGACTTGCTCGCAAAGTGCGAGAAAACCGCTCGTGTAATCTTGAACCGACCCGAGCTGCCGCCAAGTGCGCAACCTCTGACGCGCCGAAATAGAAGCCGCGATTGGCTCGAAGCGCGCCCGAAGCCCTGCGCACCACGCATCCCACGTGCTGTATTGGGCGGTATCGCAAAACGAACTCCAGGTGACAGCTGGACCCGTGGGCCCTTCCTCTTGCGACGGTGGCTCGTAGGCGCGTGGCGACGTCACGATGACTCGCCACCAGTCCATGGCGGGGCCCCTTAGCAGCGAAACGGCATACCGAATCTTCGCTGCGTCCGACTCGACGTAATTTGCGTCGAAGAAGACGTTCATCGTGAAGACCCACGATTGAACCGTCGGACCTCCACGCTGGCTCGGGTCGAAGCAGGGCGGGCGTTGCGGCTTGAGTGGCATTGGTGCCATAATGGCCTGTCCGCCACTTGTCGCTGCAAACTCCACGTGCCGACGGGCTTCGCGAGGCTCCCGCGGGCTTGGCGCAACCCTGTTTCCTCCCATGCCAGGCATTGGTTGGGCGGCGCTATCACTGGCTGCACCTGAGCGCTGTCCCACGCTGTCGTGTTGTGTTGGTGTACCGGACGAGATGATGATTGGCTCGTCCGATTGTGCAGGTGCGTTTGTTGGTGCGTGTGGTGCTGCTGGAGTGTTCACCGAGGATTGCTGACGCGCGGAGTCACGTTCCGCCGTGAGCGTCGCGATTTCGAGTGCCGAATCTTCAACTTGGCGCACCAGACGGTCGAGCTGCTCCTGCGTCAAGGTCGCGAGATTGAATTCGGCCATGGTGGGGGTGTCGGGCAAGCTCAGCGAGAGCCTCGGTCGTGGCCGTGCGTGCTTACGAGAGAGCACTACGAGCGGCGGTGCTGTGTCGCTGAGAGACGTCTACCCCCCCCAAAAATTGAGATAGTGGGGAAAACGAAGGTGTGGGTGCGGTCCGAGAAGAGATCGTAGGCTCTGAATACCAAGTGTTACGAGTGCAATTGAGTGAACGAACGAGAATTGCACTATCGAAGCAAGAGTACAATCAGCGAAGGCATGAGCGAAGAATATATAGCGAAACTACAGTGGTAACGGTAATATGTGAAAATGGGGTGCGCGACGGGCCTGGTGCCGAGGTTGGGAAAGTGTCGAGGCGGAGGTCCGGAGCGCGGGTTACCAACCGAACCGTGAGGTTGGGTCGCGTCGTGAATGGTGGCGGGAATGGTGTCGAAGCGAGTGTCGCGAGTGGTAACGGATTACTGTTGGGTGCTGTGGGTGGGAACAGTGGTGTACGCGCTGAGCAGGGACGCGAAGTAAGGAAAAGGAATTTTCCTTACAATATGCATGACACAGGTCACATCATGCCGCCTCATAGCTGCCGAATTGGTCACTCTGATCACCTTCAGTGGTCGGTCGGCAATCCCAGGGTTCATTTCTTCATTCCTGCTTGCGCAGACTTCAGCCGATCTCATGAAACGGATTCCGTGCGATCCCTGACAGACGAGTAGGGACGCGCTGAGCATCTAGCTGGCTCTGATTGAACAATGTCACACGAAATTCAACAGCTGGTAGACCAAATGGTCTGGTTATTATAGAGCCGCCTCGTTACCACTGAATCAATCCTGTCCTTCTGCGTCTGTTTCCGCATGCTTCGTAGAGTAGGTAGGGGCACGCTAAGCATCTAGCTGGCCAGGAAAAATTCAATAGCTAGTCGACAAAGGGTTTGTTGATAATAGATCCGTCTCTTTATTCCTCTCATTCCGCGTCAAAATTCGCCTCCGCGATGTCGCGGCTTCGCAGAGTTGTTGGCGTCGCCGGCCTGCTAGCCGTCATGATAGTCGGTTACATCCTCGGCCGGCCGGTATACTGGAGCTTGGAAAGCCGGTGGAATGATTTCCTAGAGTCGCAGGTTGATGAAGCGACGAACGTTGACGGGCAAGGTATAGATTGTGCATCCTTTTCCAGTTAAGCTTGGAACTGATTAGTTTTTGTCAGAAATTTTCCTGCGCGTAGTCAGATTATTGCTGCAACGACTCGTCCGTGTGTCAAGTTTTTGTGTCGCACCAGCAGCACATGCAGGATGTCGCATTCGCTGCTGATTCGACCACTTGATTATTTGTGTTCGGTTTGATTCCTCCAAAGCTAGTTTTGCCTCTGAATCTCGTACCTCTCCTTTACCTAATGATACTTTATTTCATTATTCAGAGTTGACACCAGCTGTCAGCAGCGGCGGCAGCAGCAGCCATGCGGTCTTTGCTTCTAACAAGCTGTGGCCTTTTCGCAGCAATCCAGCATCCAAATCGTCGGCAGAAACATCAGGATCTTCAGAACCATCAACAGCAGCATCAGGGGAAGAAGCAGGGGAAGGGAACGCTGAGGCGCGGCCTCAAATGGGAACGGGAGGGGAGGGTGGAGGGGCGCAGAGTGAGGAGGATGGAGAGCGGAACAACTTTCTCGCAGCACAGAACCTGGGTGGGAGCAGTAAAGCCCTGAGCAAGAACAACACGGATACTGATGGAGGTGGGGATTTCAGCAGTAGCAGGAAAGGGATCGTAAATGATGCCTCTGCTGCTCTTGCTGCTGCTTCTGACAATGCGATAAAAGCCACTGGAGATGAAGGGGAGAATAATACAACCAGCAATGGCCGGGCAGGTGAAACTTTCGCTCGGGGTGTCCGGCCAATCATACACGAGGGCCGGCCGTTGATTCCGGAGCTGAAGCGACCCATCTGGGAGAAACCGCCGCCCGGCGGGAAGGTTCCTGGAAAGGAGGAGTTTGCACTGCGGAGGGAGATGGTGGAATTCAGAGCGGAAAAGAATGTGGTGGTGGTAACTTTCGCCAACCATGCTTTTCTGGAATTTGTGCTCAACTGGGTGAAGCACCTCACAGAGCTGGGGGTTACCAACATCCTCATAGGTGAGAAGAAGGGATTATGCCGATACCTTTGTCATGCATTCTCGGACCATATTGGTTTTTGGGTGCTTGACGCTGGGAGAGGAATGTGGTGGTGGTGACTTTCGCCAACCATGCGTTTTTGGATTTCGTGCTCAACTGGGTGAAGCATCTCACAGAATTGGGAGTGACCAACATCCTTATAGGTGAGAAGGGCTGCTGACGATAGCCGGCCAGGCATTCTCGGACTATATGGGTTTTGATGCGCTTGAAGCTGGGAGAGGGATGTGGTGGTGGTGACTTTTGCCAACCATGCGTTTTTGGACTTGGTGCGCAACTGGGTGAAGCACCTCACGGAACGGGCGGTTACCAACATTCTTATAGGTGAGGAGAAGGGATTCTGATGATAGGTAATCTCTCAGTCACGGTCTTTATGGGTTTTGAGGGGTTTGAATCTGGGCCATGGCCCCTACTATCTTGGCAGCATTCTACTTTGAAGGTGTGCCAGTGTTCCCATCAAAGTAGAGCGGCATGAGCCAAGAGGACAGTGGGTGGGGTGGGGAAGGCGTGTATGCAATAGCCTCTGTCAGTGTGCCCCCGTCCTCCCTTCGTCTCTTCCTTCCTTTCCCCAGGTGCCATGGACCCTACCATCCTGGAAGCACTCTACTTTGAAGGTGTGTCGGTGTTTGACCTGGAGAGCGGGATGAGCCCAGAGGGCAGCAGGCGAAGGGTGGGACACGCCGGTGTTCCCAGGTGTTCATTCCCCTCTCCTTCTCGTTTCTCTCTATTCCCAGGTGCCATGGACAATGAAATTCTCACAGCACTCTACTTTGAAGGCGTGCCAGTGTTCGACCTGGAGAGTGGCATGAGCCCGGAGGACAGCGGGTGGGGCACGCCAGTGTTCCATGCCATGGGGCGGGAGAAGGTGACTCTGGTGAACGTGTTCCTCTCCATGGGCTTTGAACTGCTCATATGCGACACCGACACTGTTTGGCTTAAGGTGAGAGTAGCCGTAGTAAGAGCGTTCAGTCAGTAGGCAATGGGTGGTGCGACCAGGGTGGGTGTGGAGGATGGGGTGGGGCACGCCGGTCTTCCATGCCATGGGGCGCGAGAATGTGACTTTGGTGAAGTGTTCCTATCCATGGGCGTGGAATTGCTTATATGCGACACCGACACTGTTCGGCTACGGGTAAGAATAGCTGTAGTAAGAGCAATCAGTCAGTAGGTAGTGAGTGGTGCGACTGGTGTGGGTGGGGAGGGTGGGGCACGCCGGTGTGCCATGCCATGGGGCGCGAGAAGGTCACTGTGGTCAACGTGTTCCTATCCATGGGGGTGGAGCTTCTTATCTGTGACACCGACACCGTGTGGCTCAAGGTATGCTGTCAGATCGATCAAATACCAGGTAGTGAGTGGGGTGAGTGGGGTGGGGAGGGTGGGGTACACCGGTGTTCCATGCCATGGGGCGCGAGAAGGTCACTCTGGTCAACGTGTTTCTCTCCATGGGGGTGGAGCTTCTTATCTGTGACACCGACACTGTTTGGCTAAGGGTATGCTGAGTGCAAGAGCAGCAGTAAGAGTTGTTCTCCTGGTAAATAGTGGGTGGTGCAAGGGGGGTGGGGAGGGGAGCGAGAAGGGCACGCCGGTGTTCCATGCCATGGGGCGGAGAAGGTCACTCTGGCAAATGTGTTTCTTTCTATGGGGGTTGAACTGCTTATATGCGACGCCGACACTGTGTGGCTCAGGGTATGCTATGCGGCTGTCCAGTGAGGGCGTGCTGTGCTGGCTGCAAGTGCAGTGAGTTATAAGGCACTGAGAGTGGTCAACGAGCTTCTTCATCTCCATGGGCGTGGAGCTGCTCATCTGCTCATCCAGCGACCACCTTGTCCTTAAAGCCCTTGTTGACCTGCCCCCCATATCCTCCCCTCTCTTCCCCTCCTCCCTTGGCAGAACCCTCTACCCTTCATCGCTCGCTACCCAACAGCTGACGTCCTCACATCCAGCGACCACCTGGTCCGCTCAGTTGATGATGAGTCCCTGGAGAAGTGGCAGCAAGGTAAGAGAGGGATGAGTAGGTGTGAGCGGCATGAGCAGGTGTGCAAAGGAGTGAGCAGGCGTGAAGTGGTGTGAGGAGGTGTGAGCAGGCGTGAAGAGGTGTGAGGAGGTGTGAGCAGGCGTCCCTGCATACGTGTTGCTAGGGTGTGTTCCCCTTCCCCAGCACAGAAGCTGGTTTGAGACGTTTTCAGACTTCAACCCATATTCTGAACCACCACCTTCCTTCCCCCCCACCCACCCCAGCACAGAGCGCATACAACATAGGCATTCTGCACTTCCGCCCCAGCGACCCTGCCAACCGCCTTTCTGTCTTCCTCTTCGACTATCCCCCATGTGCCCTCTCCCCTCCCTTCCTCTCCCAACATCTCCCCCTTCCTCTTCCACCCCCCCAGCACAGAGGGCGTACAACATCGGCATTCTGCACTTCCGCCCCACCGACCCGACCAAGTGCCTAGCTCGTGCATGGGCAGAGCTGCTCGCCAGTGACGCCAAGATATGGGACCAGAACGGTTTCAACGAGCTCATGCGCAAGCAAGCAGACACAGCTTCCTCAAGTGGCAACCTCTGCTCCCTCTCTCCTCTACCCTTGCCTCCTCCTCCTCCCTCCCTCCCGTCCCTTTCCCCACCCCCCCAGCACAGAGCGCGTACAACATCGGAATTCTGCACTTCCGCCCCACCGACCCGGCCAAGCACCTTCTCTTCCTTGTCATTTGTCCTCCTATGCGCCCTCTCTCCTCCCTTCTCCTTTCCACATCCCCTCCTTCCCCACCCCCCAGCACAGAGCGCGTACAACATCGGAATTCTGCACTTCCGCCCCACCGACCCGGCCAAGCGACTAGCTCGAGCATGGGCAGAGCTGCTCGCCAGTGACGCCAAGATATGGGACCAGAACGGTTTCAACGAGCTCATGAGGAAACAGATGGGGCCAGATGTTGACCCTGCTGCTGCCGACCACCTGTTCTGGGCGTTCGACGGCAGCCTGAAGCTGGGAATTCTACCCGTCTCCGTCTTTTGTTCAGGCCACACCTTCTTTGTTCAGGTGCGTTGAGCTGCTACCCGGGGCTTTGGCTCCTCGCATCTGACGCCAAGATATGGGACCAGAGCTGGTTCAACGAGCTCATGAAGAAGCACATGGGGCCGGAGGTTGACCCTGCTGCTGCCGACCGTGTGTTCTGGGCTTTTGACGGCAGTTTGAAGCTGGCAATCCTCCCTGTCTCTGTCTTCTGCTCAGGCCACACTTACTTCGTCCAGGTGTGTTGAGCACTCCTAGCCACTGGCGCCAAGATATGGGACCAGAACGGGCTCAACAAGCTCATGAGGAAACAGATGGGGCCGGACATGGACCCTGGAGCACACGACCATCTGTTTGGGCGTTTGATGGCATTCTCAAGCTAAGGATTCCCCCTGTTTCCCTCTTCTGCTCAGGCCACACCTTATTTGTTCAGGTGCCTGTAGTGCTTGCAGGTATCTCCCTTTACAGGCACTAGCAGTATTAGTCCTGATCTGTCTATGTTTTTTCCTTCGCGTCCTCCCTTCAGCAACTTCACTAGGACGTGGTTTGGAAGCCTTATGCTCTGCACAGACAAAATCCCTAGCAGCTCTCCTCCCTCACCTCCTCATTCTCCTCTTCATCCCTCTTCTCCGTTTGTTCCATGCTTCCTCCCTGCAGCATCTGCACAAGGTGGTGGGACTTGAACCATATGCTCTGCACGCCACTTTCCAGTTTGCTGGCACTCCAGGTATGCATTCAATTCAATGCAAGCATGTTCAACTTGAATCTTTTACAGCTTACATTTGACACTACAATGGTCAAGAGGAGTTTTGACTTGGTTTTACACGTTGATCTTCTTTCTGCTTGTGGTGATTATGCTTCCACTCCACCCAAATTGCTCTTCTTCTTTCTGCTCGGGTTGATTATGCATCAAGTGATTACTACCTGCCCCAAAGTTATTAACCATCCACCATCTACCGTTACCCCCACCTCACCCCCACCAGGCAAGCGCCACCGCTTTCGAGAGGCCATGGCCTTCTATGACCCTCCAGAGTACTACGACCCGCCAGGTGGCATCGTCTCATTTGTCAACGACATGCCTGAGGAGCTCCTGACGGGCGGCAATCACAGCCTCTCAACGCACTTCCATCTGGTCAATTATCAGCTGAAGAGCATTCGAGCCGCTCTGGCCATTGCTCTCATCCTCAACCGAACCTTAGTAAGTCAACCAAAGCCAACGGTGTGTCTGATGGTGCTAGATGTGCGGCAATCACTCTCTCTCAAGCTCAACGCACTTCCACGTGGTCAATTATCAACTGAAGAGCATCCGAGCTGCTCTGGCCATTGCTCTCATCCTCAACCGAACCCTCGTGAGTCAACTCGAGTCAAACCAAGTCAATGGCAGAGTCAATCCAAGTCACGGTCTGTTTGGAGCACTTGCGGCAATCACTCCCTCTCGACTTACTTCCACCTGGTCAACCACCAGTTGAAGAGCATTCGAGCTGCTCTAGCCATTGCTCTCATGTTCAATTGAAGCCTCGTGGGTCAAAGCAAGTCCAAGGCAAGTCAACGCATGTCAAGGGGAGACATGGTCACATGGGTGTACCTGGTCCTGCTAGCCATCGGCAATCATTCTTCTCCCCATGCACTTCCGCCTGCCTGGGCAATCACCTGCTTACGCGCATCCAGAACGGCATTGAGATACTTCAGCAGAAGTGATCTGGCCATTGCGACCATTCTTGTCCCAAATCGTTGTGATCAATGAATCAAGTTACGTGCATCCAAATGAAAGCAAGTACCACGTATGTGGGCTCGATTTGATTGCATCTGGTATTGAGTATTCCCATGAAGGCAGTCTAGACATATGTGTAAGCATCTGCTTCCATCCCCCCACATTCATCAGGTCATGCCAAGCACATGGGCTCGGTTCGATCGCATCTGGTACCCCCATAAAGGCATCCTCGATAACACTGCAACGCCACAGCCATTCCTCTGCCCCCTCGACCATATCCTCAATGTAAATTCTCTCTACACTTACTTGAATATGTACAGTCTGGATAGTCTCTCTTCACTTGTCTTAATGCTCAAGCAATCTGAAGTCCCATCTGTCGCTATTCTACTGTTAAGTCTCTTCCATCCCTACTATCCCATATCATACCATTCCAAACCGTCCCATACCATCCATACCGTACCGTCCCATACCATATTACATTACACCACATTGAACCATACCATACCATTCCATACCATGCCACGCCTCCACTATCCACTTCTACCCACCAACACCTTTCCACCCTTCAATTTTCTCCTCCCTCTTCCCATTCAGGTGGACAGGATGCTTCCGGGGAAGCTTCCAGAAGAGGAGTTTGGCCGAGCGATACCCTTTCGGGAGTACTCTTTCCTCGACAACCCTCGTGTCCCTAAAGAGGTGAGTTGTGAATATTGAAACGTTGGCTAGATTCAATAGACAATGATGTTTTGGAGTACTCTTTCCTGGACAACCCTCGTGTCCCTAAGGAGGTAAGCTGGAAATTGTTGGAACGTTGGCTAGATTCAATAGGCACTTATATGTTTGGGGTACTCTTTCCTTGACAACCCTCGTGTCCCTAAAGTGGTCAGCTGTTTATTATTTGACTAATTGGCTGGATCTACTAGGGATTTTTTTTTAGAAATCCCTTCTCACATTTCCAATGAGGTAAACTTGCAAAAACTATACATGTACCAGGCATTTGCCACTAAAGTAAGGTGTAGCAAATATATCAGCAGCTTTCCAAACCAAGCACACCCAACAACCTCCTCCCCCTTCCATTGCTGTCCTCCCATCTGCAAGCCTCGAATTTCTGTATGCTCCTCTGCACTAGTACCTCTCCCAGCTGCCCTTTCCACTGCCCTTTCGGCTTTCGTTTTGACTACCCCTTCAACTGCCGTTTCAACTGCCCTTTCAGATGCCCTTTCTATTGCCATTTCAACTGCACTTTCGACTGCCCTCTAGATGCCTGCTGATATTTTTTTTTGCTAAGTGCCGGCCCACCCTCCAAATCCTCTCCTCCGCCCCTTCCCCCAACCCTTCATGTCTCCCCAGCTCCGAGCCTCCAAGCTTTCTGTGCGCATCTGCAACGACACTGCTCCCGATTGCCCCCCTGGTTGCCCTGCTGACTGCCCTTCGGCTGAAAATCTCTGCCTTCCTCCTCCCAACCGTTCTTGTCCCCCCAGCTCCGAGCCTCCAAGCTCTCTGTGCGCATTTGCAACGACAGCTCCCCTGATTGCCCCACAGAAACGGACGGTCAGGATCTTCCCAGAGCTCACACACTCGATCTGGTGCTGAGGAGAGGCGTGCGAGAGAAGCAGGTGCGATGGACTCCTGGATGGCGCATTGCACACAGAATATGTCACTGTATTTGTTTGCTACCTTTCACTCTAGTACGCCCCTGCTGCTTCCGTCTCTGACCTTTCCCTTCCTCCAGTGTAATTCCTTGTTTCTTTCCCCTTGCCTGTTCCTGTTCCCGTGGCCTGATCCCTCCATTCTTGGATTCCAGTTGAGGGAGGCATTATCGCGGTTTTCAGATGTGAAATGGATCGAGTTCAGCTCTCCGCACGATGTGTTTGGTGGATGGGATGATAAGGTGGGTGCTGGTGGAATGAGATCGGGGAGAGGGGGGTGGGTGGATGGTTTTCCCTGTTGATCCTGTGCCCGTGGCCCGGTCGCTCCTTTCTTGGGTTCCAGTTAAGGGAGGCACTTCCCAGATATCAAGTCGATGGGATGATAAGGTGAGTGCTGGTGGAATGACATGGTGGAGACCTGGAAAATTAATTCGGGATGAGATGGACTGGAAGATAGTGCAAGAGTGAGCCAGACGATGAAACAAAAGTAGCTTGATTTTTTGCCGCCCCGTCATAAATTTTCATGTATTATCGGTGCAGGAGCTTGAGAAGAAATTTAGATGGAGACTGCGGCATTACACTGGCATCTGGTGCTGCGTGCATGCCCATCCAGGTAAGATTAGACTACAGCATTTGGAACTGTTTTCTGTCCACATTTGGAACCGTTTTGTCTCCATGTGCGTTACTTCTAGTTGGTTGGTATTTAATGTCTGTCTTACCACAGGTGGTTGGTATGTTTGCATTTCCTCTTGCCTTGATTTGTTTTCAGGCCATATTTACTACAACTTCTTCTGGGATGAAGTGCCAAACTGGAAACCAAGGCCCCCTAGAAACTCAACTGAAGACCACCCTGCATGGGAATAGTGATGCTATCAAAATAGCACACATATTGAAATAGAAAGCTGTGTACCTGTCTCAATTCTGTAATGACGTATCCATTTTCCGCACTCTCGTCACTATCGAGAATATGATAGTACCTGTCAGACCAGTTTGGCGCCAAAAGCTGCAGCTTCCAATCACGGAAATCCAAAGGCGAAGATCTCACCTCGAAAATGCCGCGCTGAACACACAAAAAAAACCACGTCACACCACCTCAACACAAACCAGGACCATAATTCTCTCGATATTCCTCCTTATCCTTCCTCACCTCTCTCAATCTCTTTCGAACGCTCGCTATCACATTCTTTCTCATCCTGTTTTGATTTCCCTCGTAATTCTTTCGTCACCTCACCCACGGTTGTTTCCACCTAGAGCTACCATATCTGAATCTCTTCAAACAATTATTCTAGTTTCCAGCTATCGCACTTCCTGTGCTGTGTGTCAGCCTTTTTCAGGGTCCACGCATTTCTGTGCCGTACTCCGAGGAGTGCACGAAGGATCTACTTAGTCACGGTAGATCGGCACCCCTCAGCATGAAGGTCAACGTGTTTTCCCGATCTGGGAAAGAGATCGTCAAAGGCGGCCTCCAGCTTCCCGATGAGGTACCTTCCCCATTGCGTTCTACGATTACTCAAGCATCTGTTCGCGTGGCTTTTTTTATTGAGAGAATTGATCCGGATTGCGTAATGCATTTCCACAGCTCGAGCAGCTCGCGTATTGCATTTCCACATGCCCTCTGATCCTCACAAACACTCTCTTGTTCCCTTTCTCCAGTCGTGTAAATGCCATAGAAGCTTAACTGGTTACTATCCGTGTCGTCTCTGTGCAGGCCTCCGTAGCAGATCTCCAAAAAGCCCTTCACAAAACGAGTAAGTCGCAGCATTTGGAGTTTACAGACCATGACAAGCCGTACCCCTTATAACAATCCATTTTAACCTTTTCACTTATCTCCGAGGTGACCTCTTCATGCAGATAAAAAATGGTACCCTGCAAGGCAGAGATTCACTCTCCCAGCGCCGGCATCAGGAGCCAAGCCCGTCGTTCTGGACGCCAAAAAGAGGCTCGCGGAGTACTCTACAGGAACCACATTGGACGTCGTCTTTAAGGATCTCGGCCCTCAGATCGGCTTTAAGACGGTCTTCTTCTGGGAATACTTCGGCCCTCTGGTCCTCTACTCGCTCTTTTACTTCTTTCCGCAAGTGTTCTATGTGGACGGTGCCAACAGGGTAAGCGCTTCCGCCCAATCTCCAGCACATTCCCGATTTCTTGCACTTTCACTCTGTAATCGCCTCCCGATTTCGCGGATCCCGCAATTCTCACATTAGCGGGAATCTTGTGCTGTTTTCCTGACAGATCCTCCATTCCTTTTCTCGTACCACCATGTCTTCCTGCAGAAACTTAAAGATGTCCAGACCTACGCACTTATCTACTGGACGTTCCACTACACGAAGCGCATTCTCGAGACCTTTTTCGTCCACCGGTTCAGCCACGGCACGATGCCGCTTCAGAACCTGTTCCGTAACTGCGGTTACTACTGGTCTTTCGCAGCGTTCGTGTCGTTCTTCGTGAACCACCCGATGTACACGCCTGTCAGCGAGACCCAGATCGCGATCGGATTCGGCATCGCTATAGTCAACCAGCTCTCCAACCTCTACTGTCACATCATTTTGAGGAACTTGAGGTGGGTACAAGTAACCTCTGAGTGAACCAGCACAGCGTGAAGATTTTTTTTTATTCTCTGTAAGGCTCATTCTTTTCCGCCCACTCTGATCGCATAAAGTCGTTCGCACCTATAAGCAGCGTGAACGTTCCCCCCCCTCCCTCTCTTCCCACTTCCCCCTTTTTTTAACTCTCTTGTATTTCTCCGCCCTGCAGGTCCGGCTCGAGCTCGGGGTACCAGATCCCGTCGGGTTTCCTCTTCAACTTCATCACGTGCGCCAACTACACGACGGAGATCACGGCGTGGCTGGGCTTCAATGTCGCCACGCAGTCCGTCGCCGGCTACCTCTTCATGCTCGCCGGCGCCATGCAGATGGCCGAGTGGGCGCTCGCCAAGCACAAGCGCCTCGTCAAGGTAAGAGCAGACATTCGAATTTGAGTCAACTCATAAAGTCACCCCGCCGGGCTGAATGAACCCTCGCCAAGCATAAACGCTTCGTCAGGGTGAGAGTAGGGTAGGGACCTACCCTCGCTTGTAGAGAAATGACTTTTGAGGCGTCTCAGAAGGAACCATGCAGATGCCTGTGGGGGACCCCGCCGAGCACCAGCGCCTCGTCAAGGTGAGAGCAGACAACTCTCTCTCTATCCATGATTCCCCCCACCACAATTTCCCTCCACCTTTCCCACCGCCACTCCGCCTCTCCGCGCCCTCCTCCTTTTTCATAAGCACTCACATTGCTGAGTCGACATCAGGGTTCCGGGTTTATGGCCTTTGCCAAGCACGCGCACTGCAAGCGATTGCTCATCTGGCCTCTTAAAACCGCGCTAAGCTTGAATGACACAGGAAGGTAGGAATCCTCGTTCAGTGAAACGGCGTTCCCATACCCCCGATATCATAAAGCCTGTTATGTCCTCGTTGAGCTCCTCTTGAAGGTCCGTACCCTTTCGTCCTCGCCCCTTTCGTCCTCGTAGTGCGAGGATGGGGGGCGGAGGGAGAGAGTGGGAGAGCATGACTAAGGTCCTTCGCTCCCGTTTCCTGCAGTCCCGCATCCACCCGTTTTCGACTAGCTGCGTTGCTTTTAATCGAGCCATAGCAGACACACCCTTCTATCGGCTGAGCCAAGCCGGAACAGGCTAACGGGACAGACGAGCGTGAATGGATGATGTCAGACAAACGCAATGCTTCGTCCTGAACCGTCGCCCTGGTGTTTTCTCCCGGGTGGTATGAAGTCATCACATCTGTTGTCGCTGACATGCACTAAATGAAGATGCTCTCTACCCTAGCGTTGCATGATGGGGATGCAGCACAGTGCCGCTCTTCCTTCAGCAGATGGAGTGAATCTGTCTTTTTAGAATTCTCAAAAAGCAGATTCTAAATGAAGATGCTCTTTACCCTAGCGTTGCATGGCGGGGATGTAGCACAGTGCCGCTCTTCCTTCAGCAGATGGAGTGAGCGGCTGTAGCACAGTCGCCTCCGTGACTCGTTTGGTTCCAACCTGCGGACTTTCAGTAACCATGCACTCACGGGTTGCGATTGGAGACTGGGCAGGAAACGGGAAGGGCTTGATGCACTTACTGGTCTAGGGCAGAGATTGGTCCGGCACGGACAGCCCAGGGATAGACTGCATGGATGATGTCAGACAATGCAATGCTTTGTCCTGAGTCTGCCACGGGTAAAACCTGCTGGTCAGAGTGAAGCCATCCTATTAATGTCCCTGACATGCAGTTCCTTAGGGAAGGGGAAAATACTGAGAGCCTTGACTACGTTCCTGTTTCTCTAGATGGTTTGGTTTGTCCTGCCATGGTCTACATGCCTTCTGAGGTGATGTTTGAAGTCGAAGGGGGGAAACTGACTGGGGCCCCCACAAGGCTGCATGGATGATGTCAGACAATGCAATGCTTTGTCCTGAGTCTGCCACGGGTACCACCCGTTGGTCAGAGTGAAGCCATCCTATTACTGTCCCTGACATGCAATCCTTTGGTGGGGGGATGTACTGAGAGCTTTGAATACTGTTCTGTTTCTCTGTCTGCTCCTTCTTTTCGTAGACACCTTCCGAGGTAAGGTATCTGCTCCTGAATTCGACGTGCATGCTCTCCCTAGCGTGCTTACTTGTTGAGGGGGGAGGGGGGAACAGGCAGATGACCCTTTCAGGGCTGCATGGATGATGTCAGACAATGCAATGCTTTGTCCTGAGTCTGCCACGGGTACCACCTGTTGGTCAGAGTGAAGCCATCCTTTTAATGTCCCTGACATGCAGTTTTTTGGGGGAACATAGATTAAAGCTCAAGGCCCAAATTGTTCAACCTTACTAAGGTTGCCCGCTGGGCTGTAGGGAAGGCACTCACAAAACTGGGCGGGGGTGTTGAGCGAGGGGTGTTACACTTTCGCCCAACCCTTCGCTACACTTTCAAGGGGTGGGGGCTTCGTCTTTGGTTTCCGAAGTCCCAAGTTGCAACGTGCTGGTTCACAAGTTTCCTATTAGCAAACCATCAAGATTACTAAACCCTTGGTTTGATCTCCTGGGTGTCTGCATGGAGAGGTCTTCCCCTGGCTTCATTGCAGGTGTTCTTTATCGTTCTCGTTTAAGGTGCCTTTTGAGGTGATTTTTGTTTCTATCATTCTCGTTGTTAAAATGCATTAATTGGGGTGGGGAGCTCTTCCCTGTCCTATGTGTACTCAGTCTTTCCATGGTTTGAAGGTTGTCTATGCTTTACACTTCCTACCCCTCGACGACCAAATGCCATGCATGCTCTTATGAGCGGCCTGGTAGCTCAAGGTGAGGAAACTGGCTGGTGAACTCGTTAAGGGCTGCATGGATGATGCTTTGACAATGCAATGCTTTGTCCTGAATCTACCACGGGTACCACCTGTTGGTCAGAGTGAAGCCATCCTATTAATATCCCTGACATGCATCCCTCACCTTCCAAAACAACACCAGTTGGAGAGCTGGCAAGTAGGGTCCCGAGGCTTTTTCTATGCTATATACATCATGTTTCTCTCCTGACTCCAGCCTCCTGGGAATTCTCTGCTCATCAAGCGTTCCCTTGTGTGTGTACCCTTCAATCTTCCATCCTCGCCATGTGTTCAGCTCTTCGACGGCAAGGAAGGTCGTCCCAAGTACCCTCGGCGGTGGATCATGCTCCCTCCTTTCTTCTAAACACACCCGTTCAAGTACCCTGATATGTGCGAGGTGTTTGTGCGAACAATACGGTACTAGTACCTTCGGCCATGAATCATGGTCTCCCATTTCTTCCACGTTTGAGACTTAGCTTTAATGCACAGCTCAGGTCGGGTTTCAGCTAAATCGTAGCTAGTTACAGCACACCATTGGCTGAAGTGAAATATTTAAGTGTATGGGTCGTGAACTCTACTCAAAATCGGAAATGGATAGTACCATACCATCACTGCTCTCCCTGACCATCTTTATGCAGTTCATAGTTCTCATCTGCGGGCACATGCCCAAAACGCTATGGAAAGCCAACAGCCAAGCAAACCTTCCAGAAGCAGATTCTGTGTAAGCCACCCTTTCACTGACTATCATGATGATTGAAGGTTTGCTTGGAACATCATAAGAATCAAGAAATTGCATTTCGCAAAAATGATACTAATAAGAGTAATTAGGCTTCAGAAATGTGCTATTAGAGTTTCCTATTCGTTGTGAGGCCCGTCCAAAAACAATCAGGTGACTATGGCAGGAGGTGTTGACGGAGCTCCAGCAGCAGAAAGAGGCGGAGGGGGTAGAGCAAAGGCGGCCGTTGACTGGCTAATGCTGGACCACCATCTCGGGATATTTACATTTAGGTGCTGCCCGGAAAAAGTAGTGCGAGCAGAAGCGTGGCTCGAACGAAATTGCTTTCTCGTCTCAAGCGCAGGGTTTCCGTTTCCGTCAGCCCTGACGTCCTCCGACAGCACTTCGTCAGCGAAACGGACACGCCGACCTTGTAAACGGGCCGATGGGTTCTCCGAAGACGTTGCTGTGCCGTAATATGCGGACGGTCGGGATCCGTTCCTTGCGTCGGCAGGATGCGCAGAGAAACTTATGGGCCCAGATTGAATGGAATCGGGAGTGAGAAAGGATCGCGAAATCGACGCTGATGCTGAGGGGTTGATGGGTCCAGACATGGATTTACGGGATTCGTCAAGATCGCTGTCAATAGGATTTGAAACCGCGACTGGCGATCTGCGGTACAGCGATCTGTGGGCTTCGGTAAACGGCTGCGACACAGGACCGCTTCGCTGAGTCGCTGGACGACGACTGACAGTCGCATGCGCGACAGAACTAGCGCCGGTATCGCGCGACGCAGTCGCACGGGGGCTCGCGGCTGCAGGATGTGCGCTCGTCGTGCGGAACGATGCGGGAAGCGACGCGGAAGGCTCCAGCGGGCTGGGTAACACGTTGCTGCGGGAGAAAGAGAACGGGATGCACGCCGGAGATCTCTCGATCGGTCCCGACATGGCTCGTCGACTCAGGACGTCCAACGTGTTGCGACGAGGCGAGAAACCCATCGAAGAGTAGTAATCAGAGGAACGGATAGGTGTGTCAGAAGAGGTCGCAGGAGTCGCAGATTCGGTATACGCGCGGAACGCGGCTGTGGAGTCTGCTTGAATGAATGACCACGACTTTGGCTGTGCGGCCGAAGGTTGCGTGATTGGATGCCTTGGGCCCATGCTGTTCCGAACAAACTTCTATCGCGAGAGAAAGCTGTCTGTGCTGTGTGCAAGATAACGCTAGGATGCGTGGATTAGAAAGAAGAGGAACATAAAGTACTTGGGTCGCACAATGAACTCCCTCTAATAAAGGTCGAATGAGGTGGAAATGCACTGCAAAAGCAAGCGCCTTGGACAATCGAAAACCCGAAGAAGCTGAGGGCACAGAAGAAGATGACAGTCGACGTGCACAAGAAGGCGCTCAACCGAAGCATTTCTTGCTCCGCATCAACAAACATTCAGCTCAGATATGCGTTTTGAGGGTGGGTGGGGCAACCGGCTGGCATGAGGAGGAAGGAGCGATGGCAGAAAAGTTGTTGCGCTGTAGAGTGGAGGTTGGGACAACAGCAAGATCAAAACAAATCATGCAGTTGCTGCCGTTGACTCGTGCTTCGAATTTCCGAACATAGGGGGGCGAGGGCACGCAGATACGAAACACCGGAGTAGACTAGCTAGACCAAACCTGCCGGACCAACTGCAACAGGTGCGTGGCGGAACCCAGTGGTTTGGCAATCAAGCTTGGTGACGGTTTGTGGGTGTTTGGCTCAGCTATGGCTGGTCTGGCAAGGCTACGTCGGTTCGATTTGTCCACGCCAATGAGAAACGGTTTGTTACATGCCATACCACCCAAGACCCTTCATGTCTGGGCTGGGCCAGCGCACAAACGTCAAATGATTTCATTGGCGCCGCAATCAATCTTGGCCCGATTCAAACTTCAAATGACATCAAGTTTCAAGAATCCAGGTGCATCACCGTTCAAGTGCTGCCGCTCTGACAGTCGACCGGAGTCAGTGTTTCCGTTTCTGCTGAACCCAGCCCTCAACTTTGGGACATGAAAGACCTGGTCGGGTTGCTTCATGTCCGTCTGCAAGCAAGCCCTGATGTCACTCCATTGTTTCAGCATTCTGTCACCTACAAGCCCTGATGTCACTTGACTGTCATTTCGAGTTCCGTATCAGGAACGAATTGTGAACCCGGACCGGAACCCTAAACGAAGAATACAGTAACTTGTTCTTTGACCAGCTAGCATAGCACTGCTCGTTGACTCGGTTGGGGGACACAGACCACTGCAAGTGCCGGGACAGACAAAATGTGCCAGCATGGAGCCCGTTTGGTTTCGACGCAACAGGCAAAACCGCCAGCTCATATTGGCCGGGACGGAAGAGGAACCGTTATCAAACCGCTGAACCAAGACCAACGGCTGCACTACAAACGTGATATACCTCGTCGTTTCCTTCTTCCATCTCAGGATCCCGGAGAGGGTTTTAAAGCGTATGGATGGGTGACTCATGATTTGTGCGTGCCACGTGTGCTGAAGAAGGTGGCATCCAGGACATCGTCATCACACGCCTCATCCACCATCCGCATTAACACGTCAGCATTTCAAGCCAAATTCCCTTGCGGTGCCACGGTTCGATGGTTCGCGTGGGACCTGATATTCCTCCTGCTGAACTAGACCTGACGTATGACATTTGAAGTTCCCTCATCACCACAAAAACGGGCTGAGCTTTCGGACGTTTTGCAGATAATCAAGAATCTAAGTTGACGAGCTTCCATAGTTGGACACGGACTAGAGTCAGTAGCACGTAGCACGAGACTTCAGCGACACGATTCGTGTATGTAGTTCAAGTTACGACCGCACAGTTAAACTTACCACCGCGATTCGTTCAAATTAAGGGCTCCGGCGTGATTTCGTCGTTAGTTGGATTTTCCGCCGTCACTATTCCAGTCAAAGTAAGCTCTTTGTTCCTCCGCCGTTTTTCATCCAATTCGGACGAGCTGCCGCGCATCATTCACCCCGCGTCGTGCTCACTGGATAATAAAAAGCTACGTCAGGATATGTTTTTTCTTTGCCAATCGTCCTCTTTTAATGGTGAGCCTTTTTTGTAACCCTGACAGTTAAACGCCATGGAAGAAGCAAAGGTTGTTACGAAATCACAGAATCAGCAGCATCATCATCAGTGCACCTGCGCCATCCATGCGCCTAACCTCTCATCCAACCCAGCGTCTCTATCCGGCTATGGCGTGTCCCCAGGGGAGGCTGCTAGCGTGAGTGTTGATTCTTGCAAGTGCCGGGACATTCCGGCTTGTGTGGTCTGCTCACCAGGAACACGGACTGCAGGAAAGGAATTTGCAGAGCCTGTCTTTGGAACAGAGTCTTGCTGCGAGGATGATGGGTCTAAGGCTGTTTGAGGAATAATGTGTGAAGTTGCCGAGGAGGACTTACTTAGTCTGTACATATGATGGGCCTGAGCGATGCCTCTGATTTTGTGGATTTGTAGGGTTGTACAGTGGTAGAATGTAGAGAATTCACCAAAGAGGTTGCTGATTGCACCTCAATTCAGTAGCATGTTGTTGCGAGTGGTCAGCAAATTGATTTGATATGCCAACTAGTGCTCAACAATGGGGTTCTGGTACAGTGGTGGAGGGAATCAGCCTATGTACGACCAGTTCACCAACTCGATGGAGGGAATCAAACTCGATTCGCCATTATTCATTCTCTATTTTCGAAACATCATACCTAATATCGAGGCTTAGCACCCTTTATACAAAATGTTCATAACACTGCTATATGTTCAAAACTCTCCCTTTTTAGCGAAAGTGCTCCAATCGGGATATGCTCTTTATAGAATTGCCTGTACAGAATCTCAATCAAGTGCCACGTCCACATTGCCTTGTAGCGCAGGATTTCGCGCAATCTGAAACTCCTATGCGAGAATTCATTTGTGCGCGGTAACCACTCGTTGACTATTCCGTGCTCGTCCATCTCACACGCTCTTTCCTAAACCCCGCTGCATCCCTCCAAACCTTGACATATTCTCTTGCTCGCCATTCCCACTTACAAACCCTCTCCCCTCACCTCTTGCAATCGTCTTATCTCCACAAATCCTTGAAAAAATTGTGCGTATCTCTTTAGGTCAGGGCTGGTTCAGCCATCAAGCGAAATCACTCGTTTCGCAGTTAGGGAGCCTGCGGCCTTGGGTGATAGAAGCGTACACGACGGAACGTAAGGTTAAGTATCTTAGTCGATCGGTTTCCTCGTGTCGACTCCTCGATCTGTGAGTCCACTCGAAAGCACAAGCGTGGGCGACAGTGGGAGGGGTCTGCTCCCACGATGGCGTTTCTTCCGCCAGTCGCCGCCATTCCGCCACAGCTTTGCGCATCCATTCCCGCTCTTCCGACTGCGATTTCCATTCGTCATCCACATTCCAGCCACTCACTCCCCTCTGCTGCCGCCGCGTCGTCGTCACGCTTCTTACACCATAGTACCGCGTTGCCGTTATCTCCGCTTTTAACAGCCACCACTTCTTATCGCGGACAGAGCCAGTCTTCCTCCACCGCAGCCACCACCGCCGCCGCCGCCGTTGCAGACGGGGACGCGATCGCTCCCACGTTTTCCGGCGCTTCCGGTGCCGTGATCCCCGCGGTTGAAGCCGCCGGGGCTAGTTCCTTCGCAGCAGTTTCGCCGTTGAGTCCTGGCTCGCATGATCGCCAGAGCGGCTCGATTAGCGACGGTACTGCGGCTGCTGCTGCGACTGCGCTATTGTTTCGGTCGCGGAAACCGTCGCTGCTGCGACCCAATGCGACGAATCGGCTGGAATGCGCGAGCGACTCGTCGCCAGTCTTCGCGCAGAATGTCGGTGTAGGAGCGAAACGGGGCGCCCGTGTCACCACGCAGACCGCGGGGGCGATTTCCAGCGTCCTCCGCCTGGCGCCTTCCGCCGACGCCACGCGCGGAGGAAAAGGGGACGACAGCGGGCGGAGCGGAGAAGCGCAGAGGCGCAAAAGCGGGCAGGCGGAGCAGCGGCGGGGGGAGGGGGTATCCCGGGCGGAAGATGAGGGGAGTTTGACTGACGAGGAGGAGGAGGAGGGGCATCGGCGGAGGGTGCGTCTGGGGAAGGAGCGGCGGTTGGGGCAGCCGTGGAACTTGGGGATTTCCCCCGCCGGCCAGCGCGCGTTCCGCCGGCTGCTGCTCGGCGCGGACGGGGAGCGGGGGAAAGCGGAACGGGTGCTCGGCGCATCTGCGGGAGCGGAGGCGGAGAGGCAGCAGGGGAGGGCAGGGAACTTCGGGAGAGTGGATCGGTGGTCGCGACGTGCGCAGGGGCGGGCGGGCGATGGGCGCGCGGATGGTCTGGAATGCGGAAAGGACGGGGAAGAGCTGGGGAAAGGGGAAGGGGATTTTTCGGGGGAGATATCGGCGAGTGATATTATGGCGATACTCAAGGGGTTGGGGAACAAGGGGCGGTGGCGGGATGCGGTTGCGGTGTTTCACTGGGCGCGCGGGTGCGGAAAGATCGGCGGAAGCTGCGCGGAGGGGGAAGAGGCTTGGCGGGAGCGCGGGAATCCGATGGTGTCGCTGGTGCTGCGCATACTGAGCCGATGCGACCGCCCGAATGTGAGTGTAACGAGGGAGGGGACCAGCCGAATGTGATTGCAACTAAAGATGCGACCAGGAGCGCGCCGGACGTTACGCGTACACCGCATCACAAGCGCGCTCTCGCTCCTCCTCCCCCTCCCCTGCTGTCCGCCGATCCCTCCAGTGCCCTTCCCCTCACCCCCCACCCCCATCCCCTTCCCCCCCTTCTCTCCCCGCGCAGGAGGCGGACGATTTGTTCCGCGCGCTACTGGCGGACGGGTGCGCGCTCGACGTGTACGCATACACCGCCATGATGAGCGCGCTCTCGCGCGCGGGGCGCTTCAACGACGCGATCGCGCTCTTCCACTCGATGCGCGCCGATGCGGGCGTGGCGCCCTCTATAGTCACATTCAACGTGGTCCTCGCCGCGTACGCGCGCAAGCGCGGGTGCTTTCACCACATGGCGTCGCTTCTGCAGGAGATCCGGACCGTTGGATTGACTCCGGATGAGTATACGTATAACACGATGATCTCGGCGTGTGCTGATGCGATTGCGAATGAGGATTTCGGGGATGTGCCTTGTACTGCTGCTGCCGTGACAGGACCGGCGGCGGGAACAGCAGCAGCAGCGGCAGGAACAGTGACAGCAGCAGCAACAACGGTAACAGCTGCTGCAACGGCTATAGCTACGCCAGCAGCAGCAGCGGCAGAAGCTGGAGCAGGACTACGATCAGTAATGGCAACACAGGAGGGAGGGAAGGGAGTGTTACTAGCACAGGAAGGATTACCAGCAGCAGCAGTTTCAGCATCTCTGGCACCAGAAGCAGCAGCAGCGGTAGCGGATAGCAGCAGTGACAGTAGCGATAGTGTCACTGCCCACAGTACCACTCACTACACGACAAACAACAGCCACAGCTCCAGCAGCAGCAGCAGCAGCTACAGTGTCAGTAGTAGTGCCGCCCAGTATATCCAAGAAGCGGAGCGAATCTTTGCTGAGATGCGGGCGGCAGGGCTGAAACCGACACGTGTCACGTACAACGCGCTGCTGGACGTGTACGGGAAGGCAGGCCACGTGGCACTCGCCCATTCGGTGCTGGAGTCCATGCTGGAGGCGGGCGTGCGGCCGAATCTGGTGACTTATAACGAGATGATCAGCGCGTGCGCGCGCAAGGGGCTGTGGCGGGAGGCGCGCGGGATTGTGGAGTCCATGCTGCGCGGAGGGGAGGCTGAGGGGGAGGGGGAGGGGAAGGGGGAAGGGGAGGCGGAGGGCAAGAGTGAGGCGGAGGGTGAGAAGAAGGGCGAGGGGAAAGCGTTGGGTAGGGCGGAGGAGATGGAGGGAGGATTACTAGTGGGGAAGGGGGTGGCGGAAAGGAGGAAGGAAGGGGTGAGTAGTGTAGGTGAGAGTGGGAGTGAGGAGGGGGAGGAGGGAGGAAACGAGAGACCAGGGGTAGGGGTTGGGAGATCAAAGCAAGAAGCTTCTAGGAAGAAGGAAAGTAAGGAGGATCTTCTTCTCCCGCCCAAACCGGATGTTTTTTCCTACACTGCCCTTATTGCAGCGTACGGGAAGGGCGGGCAGGTTGAAAAAGTGCGGGAAACTTACGAGATTATGCAGCAGCAGGGCTGTTTCCCAAACCTTTTCACCTTCAACATTCTCCTGGACATTTACGGGAAAAACAAGCTCTTTGCTGACGTGGCATGGGTCATGGATGAGCTGGCAGCGAGCGGGATCAAGCCCGACGTGGTGACGTGGAACACCCTGATTCGCTGCTACGGCCAGGCGCAGATGCTGCCGAAAGTCGAAGCTACAGTAGAGGCGATGCGGCGATCCGGCTGCCGCCCGAATCGGCGCACCTACAACGGTCTGATTGACGCGTTTGGACGGTGTGGATCTGCCGCTGACGCAGCAGCGGTCTTCGAAGCGATGAAGTGTGCCGGGCACACGCCAAACACAGCCACCTATATCGCCCTTCTTGCCGCCCAGTCCCGAGAAGGCCTGTGGGAAGAAGCCGAAAACACCATTGAGACAATGAGACGAACCGGTTACGCTCCCGACGCCCTCGCTTACTCTTGTCTTATTCACGCTTACGCTACAGCCGGGGATGCGAGCCGGCTTCTAGACGCGGTTTCCCGGCTGGAAGCTACCGGGAAGATTCCCAGGTCTACCTCCCCCAGGTGCCCCTGGGAGGTGCACAAGTCGCTGGTTTTGGCGTTTTGCAAGTGTGGGTGTGTGGGGGAGGCGGAGGAGGCTTTAGAGAGGATGAGGGGGATGGGGCATGTTCCCGATCTGGTGGTGTGGAATGCGGTGCTGGGGATGTATGGGCGGTTGGGGAGGGTGGAGAGGGCGGAGAGAGTGAGGGGGGAGATGAGGAGGGAGGGATTGGGAGGGGATGTGGTGACTCATAATGTGATGATGAGTGTGTATGGGCGGGAGGGCATGAGTGAGAGTGTGGAGAGGGAATTTGAAGGCATGAAGACCAGGGGTGTTGCGCCCGATGCTGTCTCATACTCCTCGGTGGTTCTCACCCTCTGGTGAGTTAATGGCTGTGGTAGAAAGTTCTAGTAAGTAGTTTAGGTAAGTAGCTTCGAAAAATAGCTCCCGATGTTTAGGTAAGTAGCTTGGGTACGGTGAGTGTGTGCTTAGTGCAACGAGCAACTGACCTCCTGAATCCTGATGCTGTCTCCTACTCCTCGGTGGTCCTCACCCTCTGATGGGGGCTGCATTCAGTGATCTCTAAGGCCGCGATTATGCTAGATTTTTAAACCTCCAAAGGCGTCTAGTTTTGAGGCGCCTCAAAACTAAACTGCTGCATTCAGCGATCTCAAGGCTGCGATTATTTTAGATTTTTAAACCTCCAAAGGCGTACTTTCCTTTACAGAAGATGAAGAATCGAGCTCATGTTTTCGGTGCAGCTAGTTGGGAAAGAGTGGAAGCGGAGTGTCGCTACATTGTAGAGTGCCAGGCAGCTGCCCTCTCTACCTCTCCGCGTGTAATGAGTCGTGTTTTGAGTCGACTCAAAACACGACTCAGTGTCGCTACATTGTAGAGTGCCAGAAAGCTTCCCTCTACCTCTCCCCGGCGGCACTCAAGGCCTTGCCACTGATTCTCTTTCACTCCCAAAACTCTTTCTCTTCTTATTGCAGCAAGGTGGGAAGGGTGGAGGCGGCGAGTCGATACGTGGCAGAGTGTGAGGCAGCTGCTCTCGCCCTCTCTCCTGCTGCGCTGAACGCCTTTGCTCATTCATTCCCCATATGACGTGCAATGCCCACGTGTTCCTCTTGCAGCAAGGTGGGAAGAGTGGAGGCAGCGACTCGCTACGTGGCAGAGTGTGAAGCAGCTGCTCTCGCCCTCTCCCCTGCTGCGCTCAACGCCTTTGCATCGGGCTGCATTTCTGCTGGGCGCCCCACTGATGCCGTCAGGGCAATGGAAGCAGCAGAGAGACGGGCGGGCAGGTGAGGAAGTGAGCGGGTGAGAGATTGAGCGCCACGAACAGGACTGCAGGAAAGAGTTTAGAGTGGATGGTGTGTGTCTCGGGCTGCATTTCTGCTGGGTGGCCCACTGATGCCGTCAGGGCAATGGAGGCAGCAGAGAGAAGGGCTGGCAGGTGAGCAAGCCAAGCCAGGTGTTCTGTGACTTCCTTCCCCTGCTGCCTGTAGCACTCAACGCCTTTGCCTCGGGCTGCATTTCTGCTGGGCGGCCCACTGATGCCGTTAGGGCAATGGAGGCAGCAGAGAGACGCGCTGGCAGGTGAGCAATTCTTGAAACACAGGAAGGCGATAAAGGCATAAACTCAAACTCGGGCCACTGGTAGTGTGGTAGCAGTGAACGCCTTTGCCTCGGGCTGCATTTCTGCTGGGGGACCCACTGATGCCGTGAAGGCGATGGAGACAGCAGAGAGAAGGGCTGGCAGGTGAGCAAGCAATTTGATTTCTATTCCCTCCCCCTGCTGCCTGTAGCCCTCAATGCCTTTGCTGCGGGCTGCCTGGCTGCTGGGCGGCCCACTGATGCGGTGAGGGCGATGGAGACAGCAGAGAGAAGGGCTGGCAGGTGAGCAGGCAATTTGTTTTCCATTCCCTCCCCCTGCTGCCTGTAGCCCTCAATGCCTTTGCTGCTTGCTGCCTGGCTGCTGGGCGGCCCACTGATGCGGTCAGGGCTCTGGAGGCGGCAGAAAGGAGAGTTGGCAGGAGAGCAGCAAGGGTGCATGTGGACACACACACTCCCTGCAGCCTCTGATTGCCTTGCCTTGGCCTCTTTGGCTGCTGGGCTGCTGAGCTGCTGGGATTTGAATGCAAGCACTGCAGATGCTGCTGCTGCTGCCGCTGCCGCTGCCTTGGCCACTGCCACTGCCACTGCCGCTGCCACTGCCTCTCACTCCCCGTTCCTCCTTTCTTCTTCCACTTCCATCCTTTGCAGGCTTGACCGTGACTCCTATTCTCTCTGGATGCAAGCACTTCACATGGCTGCTGCTGCTGCTGATACTGCCATGCCATTGCCCCTCATTTTCTCCCCTTATTTCACTTTTACATCCACTCATTCCCCTCGCCTCACTCCGTCAATCCCATCCAGGCTTGACCGTGACTCCTATTCTCTCTGGATGCAAGCTCTTCAGATGGCCGCGGCTGCTGCTGCCAGCAGTCCCAAGAGCAGTACCAGCAGCAACGGCAGCAGCAAGAGCAGCAGTGGCAACAACCGGAACAGCAGCAGCAGCAGCAGCGGGAGCAAGATCAGGAGCAGCAGTAAGAGCAGGAGCACCTCATCTGAAGCAGCTGCAATCAGCCCATCCGGTGAGGGAGAGGATACAGGCGACAAAGCAACGGCAGGGGATATGGCACGGGCGACAGCAGGAGGAGCGGCAGGGGCTGAGCATGTGTCTGTGTCCCCTCAGGATCACTACAGCTCCCAGCTGGCAGTGCTGGCTGCCCGGATGGAGGCAATGGAGATGAGAGGGGCAGGGGGGGCTGGCAAGTATGGTTTCAGCAGCGGGAAGAGCAGCAGGAGAAGAAGCGGAAAGCAAGGATTTTAACCAGTGGTTCCTATCAAGATGAGATGAGGTGGTGAAGAGAGCTGGGTTTGCTGGAAACAAGGTGCAAGGGAGATTTGCTGGTAGTTGTAGAATAGGTGGCAGAGGGAACAGGTGGTAGATGCTGTGAAATGGGTGTGCAGGTGCATGCAGGTGCCCTTACCAAAAGGTAAGAAACACATGTGAAAGCATGTACGTGGTGCAAGGGTGGAGGCTTGCTGCACATGTAGAATCGGTGGTAAATGGAACAGTATTGTTTTGTTATTTTCTTACACATACGGTACGGTACCATAAGCGCAAATACTTCAACATACGGGTGTTGCCTCCAGTATGCTAGTAAGGGTGAACTGGAAATTAACTTTGCATGTATTTGAAGAGTTTAGGCTTTTGGGAACCATTGCATAAACAAGCAAGCAAAGGCAAACAAACAAACAATCAAACAATTTTGACAACTCTTGATGTTTTTTTCCAAATGTGTAGCAAACTGTCAAATGTTGTTATAGTTTCTTAGGCTACAGTGAGTAGCACTCTAGGGAGTACAACACTTTTAGGGTTGCTATTTGTATCCCTTGTCTTACTAGTTCATCCATTCCGTTGTGCGCGTTTCTTGAGATGGTATCAGTTATGTTCGTTTCCTAGCCTAGCCTAGCCCGTGTTCGCGCCCTCCGCGCCCTAGCGCCCTCCGCGCCCTCCATGCCCTCCGCGCCTTCCGCGCCCTAGCGCCCTCCACACCCTCCGCGCCCTATATCCCTCCGCGCCCTCCGCGCTCTCGCGCCCTCCGCGCCCTCAGCGCCCTAGCGCCCTCCGCGCCCTCCGCGCTTAGCCTGCTCCTTCGCCAGCGCCCGAGCCCTAGCCCGTCGCCCCAGCCCGCGCCCTAGCCCGTCGCCCCAGCCCGCGCCCTAGCCCGTCGCCCCAGCCCGCGCCCTAGCCCGTCGCCCCAGCCCGCGCCCCAGCCCGTCACCCCAGCCCACGCCCCAGCCCGTCGCCCCAGCGCGACCTAACCCGTCGCCCTCGCCCGCGACCTAACCCGCGCCCTCGCCCTAGCCCCAGCCCGCGCCCTAGACCGCGCCCTCGCCCTAGGCCGCGCCCTCGCCCTCAGCAGCACCCTAGACCTAGGCCGCGCCTTGCCCTGAGCCGCGCTCTGCCCTAGGCCGCGCCTTAGCCCTAGGCCGCGCCCTGCCCTAGCTCGCACCGTCCGCGCCTAGCCCGCACACGCGCCCTACCCGCGCCCTCGCCCTTAGCTCGCGCCCCTGCTCTAACCCTAACCCTAGCCCGAGTTGATCACGTGCCCTCACCCTCGCTACCCGAGTGCGGCCCACTCTGCCCAACCGTTGGCCCCTCCTCTTCACCTGTTCCCCGGCCCCACGCCATTCCTATGTTTCCTCCTCCGGACTCGACTTCGGCTGTTTTCTCTCCTCCTCAGTCACGGTCGTCTCCTCCTGTTGTCCCGCACGACTGGACCAGTCGTTGTCCTCCGCGTGCTCGGCCCTCGTCTCCTCTTGCCGACCTCCGCACTGTCTTGTTTCGTTCTCCTCCTCGTCGTTCTCTGCCTGTGTCTGTTCTCCCCTCACCTCCTGAGTCGTCTCTCACCGTTTCCTCTCACCCTATCACTGACTACTACCGTGCTGCTCGCCCTGTTGTCTCCCGTGTTCTCGCCTCTCTTGTCACCGACCCTCGTGCTCCTCCGTCGTCTGTCTCGACTCTTAATCCCGTTGTCGCTGACTTTGCTTCCACCCGCTGTCTTGACTACGCCACGCGTGTGGTGGCTGCTCCACCTCCCCGTCCTCTGTCCGTCGGGGGTGAGTCTGCTCTTGGCTGTGACGTCCTAGAGGACACGCAGTTTCAGCTGGAGTTCTTAGCAGCCGCTTCCTCCTCTCTCTGCGCCATGCTGCTTTCCCTTGAGGGAGACCCCGACGCCCTTGACATACCGACACCTCGCACGTACCGTGAGGCAGTGTCAGGGAAGTGGGCCTCTCAGTGGAAAGCGGCTATGGATGCAGAGTTAGCGTCTTGGAGATCTACAGGCACGTACGTCGACGCAGTTCCCCCTCCCAAGGTGAACGTTGTCGATGACATGTGGCCCTTTAAGGTGAAGCGGCCGCCTGGTTCACCGCCTGTGTTCAAGGCGCGCTACGTGGCTAGGGGTTTCAGTCAGCGTGAGGGAGTTGACTTCTTCCAGACCTTCGCCCCGACCACGAAGATGACTACTCTTCGGGTGTTACTGCACGTAGCAGCACAGCGAGACTACAAGCTGCACTACCTTGACTTCTCCACTGCGTTTCTCCAGGGCCGTCTGCACGAGGAGATCTGGGTGCGCCGTCCTCCTGGATTCACTGACATCTTCCCATCTGGGACCCAGTGGAGCCTAAGGCGGCCAGTCTACGGTCTCCTCCAGTCGCCCCGTGAGTGGAAGGACACTCTTCGCTCCACGCTTCGTGACCTTGGGTTTAGTCTGTCGTCTGCCGACCTGTCGCTGTTTGTTCGCACTAGTTCCACTCCTTTCTTTATACTAGTGTACGTCGATGACTTGGTCTTTGCTACAGCGGACAGGGCAGCTCTGACTGAGGTGAAATTCGAACTGCAGAAGAGACACAACTGCACTGACCTCGGTGAACTGCAGCGCTACCTTGGCCTGCAGATCACCAGGGACAGAGTCGCTTGCAACATCACACTGACTCAGTCACACATGGTGCAGCAGGTCCTTCGGCGGTTCGGGTTTCAGTTCTCCACCACACAGCCCACTCCTCTTGCCGTTGACCACCGACTCACTGGCCTTTTTCCCGACGAGCCCTTTGAGTCTAGTGGCCCCTACGCAGAGCTTGTGGGCTGCCTCATGTACCTGATGACTTGTACTCGGCCGGACCTCGCCTTTCCCCTCAGCGTCCTCTCTCGCTTTGTTGCGACTGAGAGACACCGTCCAGTTCACTGGACAGCGGTTGTGAGGGTGGCGAAGTACCTAGCGACTACATCAGGCATGGGGCTTCTGCTTGGAGGGACACAGCCAGTTGTGTTGACCGGTCACTGCGACTCTTCCTACGCTGAGGACGTGGAGACTCAGCGCTCGACTCAGGGTTACTGCTTCAGTCTGAGTGCTGGTGTTGTGTCGTGGAGGTCTACTCGGTCGTCGTCTGTGGCTTCGTCCAGTGCAAAGGCAGAGATCTGCGCTGGTGCCATGGCGACACAGGAGCTTCGCTGGTTGATCTTCTTGCTCGCCAACCTTGGTGAGCGGCCTCGCTCTGCACCGACCTTGTACACTGACAACAAGGTCAAGATCCTCATGTGTCGTGAGCCTCGACTTGAGGGCAGAGTGAAGCATATTGACGTGAAGTACTTCCTCCTGCGAGAGTTGCAGCGACGCGGCCAGACACGCTTGGACTTTGTGGCCTCAGAGGCCAACACTGTCGATGTCTTCACCAAGTCAAACTATCATGTTGTGTGTGTTGTGTAGGCTGTAGTGGGGTAGCCCATATGGGGTACAACCCAATTAGGGTTAGCACTTGTACCACATTTCTGTTCAATGCAATCATTCGTGTTCGTTAGTTTCTGACACACCAAGGCCTTGGCGCCTAGTGACCACCACAGGTTCTGTGATCAGTTGGGGCTTGTTGAGGTAGGCCCTCGGTTGCTCTAGACTTGTTGTTTGCTCTGCTTGTTGTGCTTTGCTATATATATCCTAGTGAACTCTTGAACTGGCCTTGTGGCCGCTTGTTTGTGCTCGGAATTTGTGTGGTGTCCTTGAGATCCATCCTGAGCTTGCTTTGCTTCTTGCATTGATTGGTCTTGTGACCGTTTGTTCACCTTGCGTGCTTTGATGCTCCCCTCACTTAGCCTATGGGGGTGTGTCAAATATTATTATAGTTTCTTAGGCTACAGTGAGTAGCACTCTATGGAGTACAACACTTTTAGGGTTGCTATTTGTATCCCTTGCCTTACTAGTTCATCCATTCCGCTTTGCACGTTTCTTGAGACAAACTTACTTGGGCTCCATGTCCTTAGCAGGCTTTACCCAGGATATATCTATAGGCACTTCAATCATAGACCTCCTGTTCATTTCCATTTCACGGCAGTGCACGTCAAATGCGAGTTGAATTTTGTCAACCAGGTTACAATCTTGATATATTATGGCATAAGCGTTAGCATTTGCTGGGGAGCATGTGGTACAAATACGGTAGTTATCATATCATTCACATAATTGGCTTAATGTCATAACCAACTGATATTCACCTCATACGATATATGGTACATAGTGTACATATGTACATCGTCTAGATCATCACAGCGTATCGTCGCCCGCCCATCATGTGTGCTTCTATGCATGTACCCAATCCCATGCTTGTTTAGAACGAGAGTGACACACAGACATGTGCATGCAGCATGTGAAAGGCGAAACACAGGCACAGGTTGCCCTTTCAATGGCAATTTTTACGCTGGAGGCAGCAGCTGCTCCTCTATCTCCTCTAAAGAGCGACCCACTGTTTCCACAAGAGACGTGGCGGTGAAGAGTGCACCGGCGAAGCATACGCAGGCGAAGAATGAGAAGAGGGTGGTTTGGCCAAAGCGAGCCATAAGAGGGAGGAAGGAGAAACCGACCATGAAATTGAAGACCTGGAGAAAAGGGGAAGAGGCGGTAGAGAGGCAGGATCAGAAGAAAATGAGATGTGTTTCCTATCATAGATGATAGAAATGTATACTTGCAACCAACCATGCCCACCAACCATGCCCAGCATCATCATCAGAGTGCAACGATAAAGTATCCCCCATCACATACCTGAGGCAAAATTGTCACATGCACCATGGATAATGCCCAAACACCATCCACTATACATCTTTCACTCACCCAGTGCACACACATGGCGAAGGCCATGCCCTTGGCTCGGATGTGGTTCGGCAGCATCTCAGGTAGCATCAGGCCCGGCACAGGCCCGGCTCCCATGGTGAAGCAGGCCACATAACTGTAAGGTGGGGGTGGAGAAAAAGGAGAAGGGTGTGAGGTGTGAAACATCTCAGGCAGACCAGGCCCGGCACAGACCGGCTCTCACTCAACCCTTCTCAGCCGCACTCGACCGCACTCGACCTAACCGCAGCAGAGGTACTCACACGAGGGTGGCAGTGAGCTTGATGAACGGATCCATAGGGGCCATCCAAGGTGCCTGCCCTGCTGCTATCACCGCCATGCACAACCGCACTCAACCTCACACAACTGCGTTCAACCGAACACGACCACAGTACGCAATACTCACACGAGGGTGGCAGTGAGCGTGACAAGCGGAGCCATGGGGGCCATCCACGGTAGCACCTGTGCTGCTGCTTGCACCGCCATGCACAGCTGCATTCAGCCGCACTCAACCGCACTCAACCGCGTTCAACCCCACTTAACCGTGTTCAACCGCACTACACCATACTCACACGAGGGTGGCAGTGAGCGTGACAAGCGGAGCCATGGGCGCCATCCAGGGTAGCACCTGCGCTGCTGCTTGCACTGCCATGCAGAGGCCCTGGTGAGGCGACAAGGAGAGGAGTTCAAAGGGAGAGAAGGAGATAAAGGTTGGGCATTGGGTGATAAGCACGACCATTGGCGCCATCCACGGTAGCACCTGCGCTGCTGCCTGCACTGCCATGCACAGACCCTGACAAGAGAGAGGAGAGTGGAATAGAGAGATGAGTCCATGGGGAGAGGGAGCAAGGCAAGGGGCATTGGTTGATGAGCGGCTTCTTGTGTTTCAACAGCATACGGTGGGATAAGAGGGTGATATGCACTCACCATGCCAATGAAGCTTCCTGTGATGAGGGCCTTTCTCCCAACACGGTCGATGAGAGCAGAACACACCAGAGAAGCTGAAGCACAGGGGGAGGGGGGAACGGGGCAAGAGAAGAAGAAAAGAGAAAAACAAAAGTGGATGAGGAAACGATAACGGATTGGATTGAATGTGCCCATTACAATGCTAGCTATTGCACCGGATAGGATGCCGGCTGGCTTGATGAGGTGCGAGGAGAAGAAGAACAACTGGGTGGGGTAGACCTTCCTTCATACATGTGAGAGCGCATGAACACTCACCCACGAGGTTCAGTGTGCCCATGGCAACGCTAGCCATGGCGCCGGACTGAATTCCGGCCGACTTGAAGAGGTGCGAGGAGAAGAAGAATACTGCGTTGATGCCGCTCAGCTGCTGCAGGGCAAATAGAGTCGCTCCAATGGTGACAACTGGGGGGGAAGAAAGGGGGTTTTGGGAAAGGGGAGGGAACGGGTGGGTTGACAAGGAGGAAGAGGTACGAGGAGAAGAAGAAGACGGCGTTGATGCCCAAGTCACCTTCTCAACCGGACCCCATTCCTTTCCCCACCAGCCCCTTCCCCTTCTCTCCTTCCCCCAACACTGCGTACAACATCCCTCCTCCTACTCACCGCGCACGTATCGCTTGGAGAAGAGGCTTCGCCAAGTCACCTTCTCACCCGGACCCCATTCCTTCACCAAACCTTCCTCCTCCCCTTTCCCCGCCACAGCCACCCCCTTCCCCTTCTCCCCTTCCCCCAACACTGCATACACCCTCCCCTGCTGCTCCCCCTTCCCCTCCTTGCTTTCCCCCTTAGCCCCGCTCTCCCACCCTGCGCCATGCCCCCTGCTGCCTCCTCCGCCGAAGGAGTGATGCAGATCGTCCATGGTCTCTTTCACCTTCGCCTCTCCTAATAGTTGGGTTACTGCTGCTTCCGCTTCTGCCCACTTCCCATGCTGGAGGGTGGGCAAGGGAGGAGAAGAAAGGAAGGGAGAAAGAGGATCGTCCATGGGAAAGAGAGGGTTGACTGGCCAAATGAGTGATGCAGATCGTCCAGGGTTTCTTTCATCTTCGCCTCTCCCAGTAGCTGGGTTATTGCTACTGCTACTTCTGACCACTTGCCATGCTGAGGGTGGGGGTAGAGGAGTAGGGAAGGTGGGGTATTGGGGTGGGGGGGGTATAGAAGGAGATGAGGGGGGGTGACTGCCTGTGCCAAAGGAGTGAAGCAGATCGCCCATGGTAGGTTTCACCTTCGCCTCTCCTAATAGCTGGGTCACCGCTGCTGCTGTTTCTGCCCACTTGCCGTGCTGGGGGAAGCGGCAGGGCAGCGGGTTGGGGGAGAGTGGGGGAGAAGAAAGAAAGAGATGAGAGGAGGTAACCGCCATGCTCGAAAGAGGGGTACATGGGTGGAAGGGAGATTGTCCATGGTGGGTTTCACCTTGCCATGCTGGTTGGGAAGAGTGGGGGAGAAAGAGGGTAAAGGGAGACTGGCACTGCTGCTGGCACTGCTGCTGGCACTGCTGCTGGCACTGCTGCTGGCACTGCTGCTGGCACTGCTGCTGGCACTGCTGCTGGCACTGCTGCTGGCACTGCTGCTGGCACTGCTGCTGGCACTGCTGCTGGCTGCTGCTGGCACTGCTGCTGGCACTGCTGCTGGCACTGCTGCTGGCACTCTTGCTGGCACTGCTGCTGGCACTGCTGCTGGCACTGCTGCTGGCACTGCTGCTGGCACTGCTGCTGGCACTGCTGCTGGCACTGCTGCTGGCACTGCTGCTGGCACTGCTGCAGCCACCTTGGGCTGTCCACCTTGTGAATTCACACGCCATGCAGAACAGCGCAGCTGCTATTCCAACGCACCCTCACAGAACCACACAGAACCCCTCCCCATGCCTTATTTGACCCTCTCCTCACCTGCGCAAGCCACCTGGGGCTGTCCACCAGGAATTCACACGCCATGCAGAACAGCGCTGCGCCAGCTGACAAAGCTGTATCTGAATCATTACGACCACCCCTTCACCTTCCATTCCCGGATCCTCCCGTGCCCCATATCTCACCTGCGCAAGCCACCTGGGGCTGTCCACCAGGAATTCACACGCCATGCAGAACAGCGCTGCGCCAGCTGACAAAGCTGTATCTGAATCATTACGACCACCCCTTCACCTTCCATTCCCGGATCCTCCCGTGCCCCATATCTCACCTGCGCCAGCCACCTGGGGCTGTCCACCAGCAATTCACACGCCATGCAGAATAGCGCTGCAGGCGCTGCAGCGATCCAGAAGCACATGCGCCAGCTGGGTGAGAGGAGAGGCAACACGCGGGAAGAGGTGAGAAGAGGAAGTGAGAAAGAGGTGAGAAATGAGAACATGTGAAATTCAGGGAGAACAGCGCTGCTGGCGCTGCAGCGATCCAGAAGCACATGCGCCACCTGCACGTGAGAGGAGGTGAGAAGACACCGAAAGAGGTGAGAAAGATGTGAGAAAGAGGTGAGAAAAAGAAAGAGGTGAGAAAGAGGTGAGAAAGATGCGAGAAAGATGTGAGAAAGAGAGGACGAGTGAGTTCAGAAGCACATGCGCCTCGAGGAGCAAAGGCCAGGGGGGAGAAGCGACAGGCCGGGAAGCAAGCAAGCAGCGGCACTTATCGCATGAGTAAGATTAGGGTAGCAAGCGTAGTGCAGAAAGATCAGTGCATCAAGCAGCAAGAGCCAAGCAGCAAGAGACAAGCAGCAAGAGACAAGCAGCAAGCGCCAAGCAGCAAGCGCCAAGCGGCAAGCACCAAGCAGCAAGAGCCAAGCGGCAGGAGTGGGGAGGTAACTTACGATGAGGCTGGCAGGAGAGCGGCAGCTAGCAGGGCGGCCAGAATGCCGGAGCATGTGAGGACTTGAGGGATGGCGCCGAACGTGCCTCTCTGCTGCGGTGGAGAGATCTGGAAAAGAGGAGAGACGATGGGGGAGAGAGGCGACAAGGGGTTGAAAGAGATTCAGTTTCAGGCCCGGTAATGAAGTATCGGAGCAGCAAGCAGTTGGGCCAGAATGCCGGTGCATTGAGGACTTGGGGGATGGCGCCGAACGTGCCTCTCTGCTGCGGTCGAGAGACCTGCAGAGAGGAGAGAGGGGGCGACTAAGCCAAGGATGCATCCCGCTGTAACGCAACACACAGGTAGCCAAAGATGCATACGGAGGTTCACCAACCATTTAGGACACGAATTCACACCAACCGGAAGAGGACACTTAATGCCTTTAAAATCTCCAACTTGGAAAGAAAGAAAGAAAGAAAGAAAAAAAAAACACACACACACACACACACACACAAAAAAACATCTGACAATTGCGTGCATTAACATGGAAAGACGCAAGGTATGTATACACACGCACACACATACACACCTCGGGAATGTAGAGGGCCATGATGGGGATGGCCATGCCCAGACCAAAGCCCAAGAGGAATCGGCCGGTGACGACCAGAGAGAGTGATGATGCCATGGCACTGGTGGGTTACACACACACAATTATATTAAATAAAGAAGAGATGAAAATTTTACGTGAGCGAAAAATGATCACACAAAAACATCCACAGGCACGTGAGGCATGAAACCCAACAAGAAGATAAATCTGGTATTTAAGAAACACACGCACCAGAGAATGGAGCCAATCAGGATGGGCACGCTGCAGATCTGGAATCCCTTTTTCCTGCCAGCGCTGTCAGCCACCGTGCTGCTGGCAGAACAACCGAGGAACGCTCCGAGTAGGAACAGACTGACAACCGAAGCTGAACAAGGTACGGAAGAGGGGAGGAAGGGGGGAAGGAAGAAATTTGTTACTGTGTGCTCTAGAGGTTGTACCTCAAATGCTCCTGGCAGAAAGACATTGACTACTCAAGCGGCATAGGTTAGAAATTAAAATGCTTGTCATTACCTTTGGCGAGGGCATTATCCGCAAATAACAGCTCGACAGCCATGGATTCCAGTGGTCCATTCACCACTCTGCACAACGTACAGGGAGGGTAGATAGCAGAAAGTACCATAAAGGGTTAACATGGTACAAATATAATAAGCACATTTCGCTGAGTAGGCATAGAAAAGAATCTCATTTTCAAAATGCGAATGTTACTTACGACATGTGGTAACCGAACAGGAGCGCAATTATTGACGAAGTGAGCACATGAGGCAAAACGCCTCGCCACGCCAGCGCCTTTCGCGGCGCTGCGCTTCCCACAGCCTTCCGTCGTCCTCCGCGCTTCTCCTTCTTGCTTAGTAGACCTGCCAATAATTCAGCACGGAATGTGGATAGTGGCATAGTGTGTCGAGATTGTGGAACCCGAACGAACCGAACGAACGATCTAGCTATTAGTAGGATAGAACGCCTGGGAAGACAGTCACGCCATTTCACATAGCCTCGCGAATAAATTGTTTTTGTTTTTCCCGGTGCTCATTGAAAGCAAGAAAAAACTACAGGCACGCGCACTCACCTTGCGACAGCAACGGTCGCCCAAGATCGTTCTCCGTCGCACCCGGCTCCATCGTCTCCGTCGCCTGTTCGCCTCGCTCCTCGTCGCGTCCCTCGCGGCCCTCGCATCCCTCCTTGCGCCACAAGCACTCACCTTGCGACAGCAGCGGCCTCCCAAGATCGTTCTCCGTCGCACCCGGCTCCATCATCTCCGTCGCCTGTTCGCCTCGCTCCTCGTCGCGTCCCTCGCGGCCCTCGCATCCCTCCTTGCGCCACAAGCACTCACCTTGCGACAGCAGCGGCCTCCCAAGATCGTTCTCCGTCGCACCCGGTTCCATCGCCTCCGTCGCCTGTTCGCCTCGCTCCTCGTCACGTCCCTCGCGGCCCTCGCGCCCCTCCTCGGCCGACTCGGAAACCAACCCCGCGCGAGCCTTGCTGCTCCTAGCCTCGCGGTTCCTACTAGGGCTGCTCTTAGCCGCGGAAGCACCGGAGGCGGCGCGATCCGCGCGATGGCCGTCGCGATCCGTGCAGCCTCGCTCCCCGGCAGGAGTTGATGGCGACGACAGCTTGCGACGCGGTGGCGGCGATTGTTGCGACCGGCCTGCGAAAAACGGCGTCGCAGACAAGAAGGTGAGACGATTGCAGGATTCGCGGTTGAAGAGCAAAATGCATCTACATCACTTCAAATCTCTTCGTTAAATGAATCAACAGCACAAAAAAGACACACACACACAGAAAACAAAAAAAACCAAAACAACCAATCCTGGTCGCCTTTGAATTACGTTGGCTGGCGTGACGGCTTACAGAACTTTCATCACCTGTCGCGTCGTTCGGACCAAAAATTGCAGCGGTCACCGCAGCTCCCCTCCGCGATTTTCCAGTGAATCCGCGCCGCAAAAAAAAACCTCCGCTCGTGCCCTGAGATACACGAACAATGCAGCTACGGGTGAGGCGCTGAATACATCACAGTGCATCAGCTCGATCGCCGGATTTATCGCATCGAAGACGAAATTTTCCGGCGCACTCTTAACGAAGTCGAAGCCAGACCACGGCCGCACTTTCTACTAAACGCTCTTCCAGAAATAATATGCTATTCCCCTGGCGCCGTAGGCCGCGGCCGACGCTGCGGATGGCGGGGCGATCCGAGCTCCCAGTTCCGGCGCACCTAACTGCCAACTAACGTACCTGGCTTCCTCTCTCGTTCGGCACGCCCGTCAGTCCCTTGGCGCCGTAGGCCGTGCCGGACGCTGCGGACGGCGGCGCGAGAAGGACCGACGCTGGCACGTGGAGAGCGCGACGGCCGAATGCAGCCTCCGGGTTGGTTGTCGGAATCGCACGCGCCGCGCCGGAGTGTATGGAACCGCTCCCAAGTGAGCGAAGAGTGTTGACAGTGGCGGTGTGCGGCATGCGATCCAAGCTCCCGTTTCCCAGCGCCGACGAACCTGTCACACAAATTAAAAAAATTCCATGTATTTTCTGTCAAATAGTAATAATTAAAAAAACCGCCAATGAACCTGTGCCTCGATAGAAAGGAGGACGATTCGCGCGCATAGCACAATTCTGGGTGAGGGAGGGAGACTTTTACGGACTGATAATTCGTGACGAGAAAGAGAAAAACAGACGGCGCTAAGGGGTTCCGTTCAACTGCCGCGTTCGCTAAGGGATCTATATTGACTCATGATTTCAGCTGGCCCTGGGAGCTTACTACGAGAAGCCAGCAAAGCGCGGTGAACGCCCAGACCCAGATAGGCCTGGCCCAAGCTCAACGCGGAATTTGACATCGTCATCATCGTACGTCGACTGACTCGACTCTGCTCAGTGCTGATTGCCGACGTCTAAGCAAATTACTCGTGTCAATAATCCGACTCGGCTCTGAAAAGAATGTTTCTGTTCTCCCAGAAGAATTGAACTTGGGAAACTAATACCAGAGCGACCTATTTTAGGACGCGAAATGGTCCGATCTGATCTAATTATAATCGAAAAGCCTAGACTCGTCGCCTAAAAAGCTAAGAACCCCACCTCGTAGACGTAATTTTACTCGCAGCGTGACGGTCCACTTAGAAAGCACGCTCCGACAGTCGGTCCCCACTTCTGGGAGGGGCTTCACAGATCCTTGGCGGATCCGCAAGGCGTAGTCACCTCGCCAGCAGCAAACCGGCCAAGGCTGTTGTCCCTTGTGCGGGACGGAGTGTGCGCGACTCCGGCTTGGAAAGGATGGAGTAAAGGAAACAGGGATGGTGGACGGTGGTGTCATGGGTTTGCGACATGGAGAGAAGAACCGAGTTACGAGAAAAGAGTAGCGAAGGGGGGAGGAGGGGTTGCGGGAGGGACTGGAGGAGGGGCAAATTCGCTACGGAAGGACGAAGACAGGAGCATTGACTGGGGAAGGAGGGAGGTAACGGCAAGGGTGAATTTCGCGAAATTGCAGCGAGACGAAGAATCCTCTTGAATCTGTCGTACACGTGTCGTGGACGGGCTGCATGAGCGGCATGTCGGACTAATCGAACGGCACACGAGGAGAGTTACGAAGGAGAGGCGACACCTGGAGAAATGTGCGGCTTGTCCAGGCGCTCCAAGTCGAGGTGCGAGAGCTTCCCCGCTATTGGATGGCACCACGAGATATTTCCGCAAAGGAAGCAGGCATGGAGGAGGTGTATGTTCGCGACAAAGAGTTCATGGTTACTTGTTATGAGTTCTGGTCACTTCTGAGAATTCTCAAAAGTGATTTCATTCTTTTACATTTCATACCGAAAGGGGGTGTAACTGTACCATTACGCAACAAATTATGACTTCACTATCGTATTCCTTGTCACACTTCAACTTAGTCCTTGATATTCGTTGGTGTATAGTTTTCCACGTGTCGACTTACAACGAGCGGGTGTGATGCAACCCCAATGTGAAAGCCACTCCACGTACCGCATTTTCTCCAAGCTGGCAGGTAGAATGTCCACGTTGGAGAAGTTTCACCTTTGGGTTCTTACCAGATCACAGAACCTTCACTCAGTCAAGCTGGCGCAACCCTTCCATCGCGGAAGCACACGGTCGCGCGCGCGCACTCTCTCAGCGCACACCAGTCCAAGCCACAGACCGCAGTACATGACATCGCCATTCCGCAACCGCAGGCGAAAATCTGCGACGTCTCACCAATCGCCCCATTACCTCGCTCTCGCATTCAACCTGTTCAGCCACAGCTGAAGCATGGTTGTGACCCAGATATTCCCGGTTACGCCTAGAATTCCAAACGACGTTGCGCGAATTCTGGCGAAGTCGCGGTTCACTTCCCGAATTCGCCCCTTCAATCTCGCCCCTTCCAGACTCTTCCAGCCCCTTCCATCCCCCACATCCGCCAATTTCGAGAACATTCGGCATCCTCACCTCTTTGCAAAAGCAAGTGCTGTCAAATCACTCAACTATAAATAGCTCTTGCAGGAGAAGGAAAGGCATCTAAAATTCTCTTCACAAGCTTCTCAGCAAATTACCTGCTATTTACTACTTCTCTGAGTTGTGCTCACTCTGTCATATTGTTACCTATTTTCAACTCTTCAAAGTCACTGTTTCTTAACGTTCTGAATCGCCATGGATCCAAACTCCTTTACCCACAAGACCAACGAAATCCTCGTCGCCGCGCGCGAGCTCGCCGAGTCCAACGGCCACGCGGAAATCACGCCAGCGCACGTGGCGCTCGCGCTCCTGCAGGACGAGGACGGCATTTTCCGCCACGCCGTCGCGCATTCCAGCGTCATTAACTACAACGCGACCGCGCCCGGCCATTCCCCGAGGGGCGATGGCGACACGATTCAAGCCTTTCAACGAGCGATTAAACGCCTCCTGCAGAAGATCCCCTCGCAGCAACCTCCGCCGGATGAGATACACGCGAATCCCGCGCTCGTTAAGGCGCTTCGGAAGGCGCAGCAGATCCAGAAGAAGGCGGGAGACTCGCATCTGGCCGTCGATTCTCTCGTGCTCGCGTTGATGGAAGATTCGCAAATCTCCGAGGCAATGAAGGACGCGGGAGTGAATGCGGGGAAGGTGCAAGCCGCGCTGGCGCAGGCGCGCGGGGAGCGGAAGGTGGATAGCGCTACGGCGGAGGGGGCTTTCCAAGCGCTGAAGAAATACGGCCGGGATCTGGTGGAGGTTGCGGCGAAACTTGACCCCGTGATCGGCCGCGACGACGAAATCCGGCGAGTTGTGCGAATTCTTTCGCGAAGGACGAAGAATAACCCCGTGCTGATCGGCGAACCCGGCGTCGGCAAAACCGCCGTCGCGGAGGGGCTCGCGCAGCGCATCGCGCGCGGCGACGTCCCGAGCAACCTGCAGAATGTGCGGCTCGTCGCGCTCGACATGGGCGCGTTGGTCGCGGGGGCGAAATACCGCGGCGAGTTCGAGGAGCGCGTTAAAGCCGTCCTTAAAGAGGTGGAGGAAGGCGAAGGCCGGGTCATTCTCTTCATCGACGAGATGCATTTGATCCTCGGCGCGGGTCGCACGGAGGGCGCCATGGACGCGGCGAATCTCTTCAAGCCGATGCTCGCGCGCGGGCAGCTGCGCTGCATCGGCGCGACAACGCTCGAGGAATACCGCAAGTACATCGAAAAGGACGCGGCGTTCGAGCGGCGCTTCCAGCAAGTGCTTGTAGCGGAGCCGTCTGTAGCGGATACGATCAGCATCCTCCGCGGGCTGCGCGAGCGCTACGAGGGGCACCACGGCGTGCGCATCCAGGACCGCGCGCTCGTCGTCGCGGCGCAACTCAGCGGAAGGTACATCACGGGGAGGCGCCTTCCCGACAAGGCGATCGACCTCGTCGACGAAGCGTGCGCGAACGTTCGGGTTACCCTAGACAGCCAACCGGAGGAGATCGATGCGCTCGAGCGGAAGCGCATCCAGCTCGAAGTGGAGTTACACGCGCTGGAGAAGGAAAAGGACAAGGCGAGCGCGGTGCGCGCGGGGGAGGTGCGCGCGCAGCTTGGCGAGCTGCGCGACAAGCTGCAGCCGCTGCAGATGCGGTACCGGCGGGAGAAGGAGCGCGTCGACGAGCTGCGGCGGCTCCAGCGGAAGCGCGAGGAGGTACTCGTCGCGGTGCAGGAAGCCGAGGCGCGCATGGACCTCGCGCGCGTCGCGGATCTGAAGTACGGAGCGCTCACCGAGCTCGACGCCGCCATTGCGCGCTACGAGAAGGAGGCGGAGGCCGCCGCGGCCGCGCTGGGAGCCGACGCGGCAGGCCTGGGGAAACCGATGCTGACGGAAACCGTCGGTCCGGATCAAATCGCGGAGGTCGTGAGCCGCTGGACTGGTATCCCGGTTACCAGACTTGGGCAGAACGATCGCGAGCGGCTGTTACACCTGGCGCAGCGGTTACACGAGCGGGTGGTTGGGCAGGACGAGGCGGTCCAAGCCGTCGCCGAGGCTGTGCTTCGGTCCCGAGCCGGGCTCAGCAGGCCCGGGCAGCCCACCGGTTCGTTCCTGTTCCTCGGCCCGACCGGCGTGGGGAAAACGGAGCTGGCGAAAGCTCTCGCCGAGCAGCTATTCGACGACGAAAACCAGCTGGTTCGCATTGACATGAGCGAATACATGGAGCAGCACAGCGTCGCGAGGCTGATCGGTGCACCCCCGGGCTACGTAGGGCACGAGGAGGGGGGTCAGTTGACGGAAGCGGTGCGAAGGCGGCCGTATTCTGTCGTGTTGTTCGATGAGGTGGAGAAAGCGCATACTTCCGTGTGGAACACGCTTCTGCAGGTTTTGGACGACGGGCGGCTGACTGACGGAAGAGGCCGCACCGTCGATTTCAGCAACACGGTGATTATCATGACTTCGAATTTGGGAGCGCAGCATTTGTTGGCTGGTTTGTCCGGAGAGGTTGGGATGGACGTGGCGAAGAAGGAGGTTCTCGCGGAGGTTCGGAAGCACTTCCGCCCGGAGCTGCTGAACAGGCTCGACGAAATGGTGGTGTTTGAGCCGCTGTCGCTGACGGAGTTGAGGAAAATCGCGCGGCTGCAGATGCGCCAGGTGGCGGCCAGGCTGGCAGATCGGGGGATCGCCCTTGGAGTTTCAGATGGGGCCCTGGATGTTGTTTTGAAGGAGGCATATGATCCGGTGTATGGGGCGCGCCCGTTGAGGAGATGGCTCGAGAGGAAGGTGGTTACTCAGCTGTCTAAGATGCTGGTGGAAGGGAAGATAGATGACAACTGCACTGTGTTTATTGACGCACAGGGCGAGGCTGGCGCTGCTGCTGCTGTGGCTGCTGGTGTGGTAGAGAATGGGAGTGGAGAGGAGGTGGTGGTGACAAGTGGGTTGGCCTATCGGGTGGAGAAGACAGGGGGGATAGCGGCTGAGAAGGCAAAGGGGAGGCTTGGGGAGTTCCTGGTACAGCCTGCTGATGATGCTGATGGTGGGGGGAAAAAGGCCAAGGTTGATGATGAGGATGATGATGTGGATGAGATGGAGGATTGAAGGAGAGAGGGGAGATGGTAAGGGTGGAAGTTATCATGTGGAGTGTTATGGTTGAAGCATAGCAGTTGAAGAGGCTAAGGGGAGTTTAGGGACTTTCTAGTGCAGCCTGGTGGTGGTGATGGCGTGGGGAAGAGGGTTCTGCGGTCGATGATGGGGATGATATGATGTGATGGAAGATTGGAGGATTGAGAGAGATGGCGGATGGAACGGAAGATATGATGTGATGGGGGCCACACATGGTATGGTGGAAGTAGGTACTGCCACTGAGAAGGCTAAGCGAGGCTGGGAATTTCTGGTGCAGCCTGCTTGCTGATGGTGACGGTGGGGGGAGGCAAGGGTAGACGATGATGATGATGTGGAGGATTGAGGTTAGGGTGTGTGTGTGTGTGGTGATGCAAATCAACGATGGGGATGTATCTCTTGAGTTTCTCTTTGTAATCTGTTGCCATCTAGTTGATGCTGGTTTGTCGCTTCCGTAACATTCCAAAGGGCACACACATAGAGAAAAAAACACCCAGTTCTCCTGTCAACATGTCAGCACATTTAAAACTCTTATGTATCTGCATTTACAGAGTAAATTGTACACCATGTATCAACAGCACATATACACTCAATTGTACACCATGTATTTGGGTGTAGCACTGAACTTCTGGTACCCCTTGATGACCTTGTTGACCGCTTCCAGGAAATCCTTCTCAGTCACTGTCTTGCGCCGCGCCCTGATGGCATACATGCCCGCCTCCGTGCACACACTGCGGATGTCAGCTCCTGTAAGGAAGGGGCGGGGGGGGGGGGGGGGGTGGGTGGGAAGAAACACCATCATGCACCCGTGTGTGCATCGTGCCCTGATGGCATACATGCCCGCCTCCGTGCACACACTGCGGATGTCAGCTCCTGTAAGGAAGGGGCGGGGCGGGGGGTGGGTGGGTGGGAAGAAACACCATCATGCACCCGTGTGTGCATCGTGCCCTGATGGCATACATGCCCGCCTCCGTGCACACACTGCGGATGTCAGCTCCTGTAAGGAAGGGGCGGGGGGGGGGGGGGAGTGGGTGGGAAGAAACACCATCATGCACCCGTGTGTGCATCGTGCCCTGATGGCATACATGCCCGCCTCCGTGCACACACTGCGGATGTCAGCTCCTGTAAGGAAGGGGCGGGGGTGGGGGGGGTGGGTGGGAAGAAACACCATCATGCACCTGTGTGTGCATCGTGCCCTGATGGCATACATGCCCGCCTCCGTGCACACACTGCGTATGTCAGCTCCTGTCAGGCGGGGGGGTTGTGGTGGGAAGGTGCGGGGGGCACATACACAGATACACACATACACGAATTGGCACATGATTATGCACTTGTGTGTGCCTGATGGCATACATGCCTGCCTCCGTGCACACACTGCAAATGTCGGCTCCTGTCAGTTCATTCATGTTGCGAATGTGAACACGTGAGTGCTTTCAGTGGTGTGCAAGGTCCCTAGAGGCATGAGGGGCGTGACAAGCAACCACCAGTGGAGTTGGGGGCGGAGTTGATGGCCAGCAGCTCGAACAAATGTCCTGTTCACAGTCCAATCGTGGTGCACGTGTGCATCTTGAAAGTGCGAGACGTGAGGGGCGTGACAAGCAACCACCGGTGGAATTGGGGGCAGAGCTCGGCCAGCAGCTCGAATCGAATGTCCCTCTCGCAGTTCACTCATTGTGCGCGTGAGTATCTTGAAGACGTGCGTGCTTTCACGCGCACAATGAATGAACCGGTGCTTTCACTAGTGCAAGAGGTCCCTGGAGAGACGTGCGAAGCGATGCCTTGAATCCTGTGACCTGTGTCATGGGACGTGAGAGGGACGTGAGTAGAACGCACCAGTGGAATTCGGGCAGAGCCGGGCCAGTAGCTCGAATCGAATGTCGCGTTCACAGTTCATGGTGCGAGTGTGGATCTTGAATATGTGAGTGCGCCCCTCCAGGTCCGGCAGTCCGAACTCCACCTTGCGATCAAGACGACCCGGGCGCAGAAGAGCAGGATCAAGAGTATCGGGCCTGGGGGACGGAACAGTGTGCAGGACAGGGAGGGAGGCGAGGGGCAGAACGGAAGAAAGGAAGGCAGAGGGGAGAGAGACGGGGTGAGTGCGCCCTGTTAGAAATAGTCAGTCAACACTTTGTACTATATTCTATATCGGTTAGGTTACTTTGTAGGTTGGGTGTAGATTTGTAATCCCAACCCTATCTGGTTGGGATTCCCTCGTAATCCTGCAAATCTGCCAACTCACCAATTGGAGATTTGCTAGGATTCCCATCCCATCCTTTCCCTAGCTTTGCTCAACCCAACCGTGTTTGTACTTAAGGCCTCGTGCCTTCCTTATCAATCAATCAGTTAAGTTCCAATTCTATCATGGTATCGAGCTAGTAAATTCCGCTCACGCGGAATCCGATCCTTGGCGTCCCGATGGTTCTCTCCTTCTAGGCTATGCCTATTTCGGCTCCCGGCTCCTACGCTTAGCGTATTTCAGAAACTTCACATCGTCGCTCCGGTCAAGCACGCATTCGGCTTCCTTCATCGCGCTTCTCGTTTTTCAACGGCGACATTTTCAGCTTTCGACTTCCTTCATCGTAAGCCTCTGGTTTTTCAAATCTCGGTCGAAATTTTCGCATCTTCTTAACTTCGAACAGGTTTTCAGCGGCGCAGCGGAACAGGTCCAGCGGCGCAGCGGAACAGGTTTTCAGCGGCGCAGCGGAACAGGTCCAGCGGCGCAGCGGAACAGGTTTTCAGCGGCGCAGCGGAACAGGTCCAGCGGCGCAGCGGAACAGGTTTTCAGCGGCGCAGCGGAACAGGTCCAGCGGCGCAGCGGAACAGGTTTTCAGCGGCGCAGCGGAACAGGTTCAGCGGCGCAGCAGAACAGGTTCAGCGGCGCAGCAGAACAGGTTCAGCGGCGCAGCAGAACAGGTTCAGCGGCGCAGCAGAACAGGTTCAGCGGCGCAGCAGAACAGATTCAGCGGCGCAGCAGAACAGGTCAGCGGCGCAGCAGAACAGATCAGCGGCGCAGCAGAACAGGTCAGCGGCGCAGCAGAACAGGTCAGCGGCGCAGCAGAGAAGCGGAACAGGGGCAGCAGCGAAGCAGAACAGGGGGCATCGGCGAAGCAGTATAACAGGGTATTTTACGGGCATTCTATTGCCGAAATCACGTTTCGGACTTCCTCAATTTCGCTCCGCTACGTATCGGAGACTTTAGCGCTGCGCTCCGCGCGAAATGGCAACTTCTACTTCCACTCTCGTCGGAAACCTCATCATCCTTAACCTCGCTCCCAACGGCACGAGCACCAATTTCGGGGAGTGGTGCTATGGAGTGGAGAAGCACCTCCTTAGCTCGGAGCTCAAGGGGGTTTGCCTCAAGGACATCCTCCTCAACCGCGGCAAGGGGAAGATGCCTCTCCCTCCCGATCCTCTCGGTGAAGGCGCCACTCCCACAGCCAAGAGCGCTTTCGATGCTAAGACCACCAAGTATGAGACGGACTTCAGTCTCTGGGAGCAGGCGGATGCGGCAGTGATTAGGGTTTTCATCACCACCACCCCAGTTGAGTTAGTCAAGTCCTACCGCACCTTCCGCTCTGCGCATGACATTTGGAAGTACCTCCAGGATCGTTTTCATGACAAAACTGCCGTGGGAGTTGCAATCCTCATTCCTCGCATGTTCCAAATCCGCCTTGAGGAATGCCCGGGCATGGCAGATTACATCTCTGAAATCCGCAACATCCATGAGGAGCTCAAGGACATTGGGATCACCTTCCCCGAACAGGCACCTGCTGCTGGGCTTCTCGTCGGACTCACCCCGGCCTACAACGTCACCAGTTCCATGCTCAAGCAGCTCCCCACCAAGGAACTCACCTTCGAGAAAGTCGCTTCGGCCCTTCTCTCTGCGGAAAAAGACCTTGCAGCTCAGGCATCAGTCAATGCTGTGCGCTACTCCCCTGGCATTCCATTCCGTTCCCAGCAGGGCCAGAGGCGCAACTCCTTTCCCCCATGCCAGTACCTCATTAGGAAGGGTCCACGTGCGGGGCAGAAATGCAACGGCACCAACCACCCTGAGGCCACTTGCTTCAAGAAGCGAGATGACGAGTGGTATGACGTCCATGGTGTCTCCAAGGACAAGCGCCCTCCCAACTGGGCACCACCCCGTCGCGTGAACCAGGTCGAGGCAGTGGAGGAACCTGCTCAGGCATTTGCTAGCGCCCCATCTGATGTTCGCCTTAATCTGTTGTTCTCTGGTGCTGGTCTTATTAATGAGAAGGGGTCGCAGTACATCGGTGTTTCAACCACACAGGGAATCGAGTTCATACTAGACAGTGGTGCCACCCACACAGTGCTTAAAGACCAAACCGCCTTCGTTCCCTACCAGGCTCCCACCTCACTCCTTGGAGCAGATTCTAGCTTCTCCATCCAATGCCATGGCTCCTCCACAGTTTCCTGTCCAGCATTCCCATCTGGCACCGTCACTGGCATCTGTGCCCCAACCCTCCGCTACAACCTTCTTGCACAGCGGGAAATCCAACACGCAGGCGTGATCACCATCTTTCCCAATGATGTTGACTACTGTGACATGTTTGACGCCAAAACCGGACTCCATCTTGCCCGCTTCACCCTCAACTCCAACAACCTGTACACACTAGTTGTACCTCCCGTTCAAACATGCTCCCTCACCAACCTTCCGCTTCCATCCTCAGACTCCCCCTCATGTCACTGCCGCCTCCTCACTGACAAGACTATGCTATTTCATAACCGCCTCGGCCACATCAACTTCCGCGCACTTTCCGACCTTGCCACCAAGCAACTCCTACATGGACTGCCCGCCACACTTCCACAACCCCCCTCTCTTTCTGGACCGCCTTGCCTTGACTGTGCACAGAGCAAGCTTCGGGAACAGCCCCATCCTCCCACTGAGTCCATCTCTACCGCACCTCTCGATCGCGTACACATGGACCTTTGGGGTCCAGCTCCTGTTCGTTCCCGTGGCGGACACTTCTACTTCCTTGTCATCGTTGATGACTATTCCCGCTATGTGTCCATTCACCTTCTCACCGCCAAGTCTGAAGCCCCAGCCATCATCATGGAATGGGCCAGGCAGGCTCATTCACACTTCAAAACCAAAATCAAGTTTCTTCACTCTGACGGTGGCGGTGAATTCCGCAACAACACTCTCAAAGCTTTCTGCTCTACTGAGGGTATCCAACAGACCTTCACTCTCCCAGACAGCCCTCAACAGAACGGTGTTGCTGAAAGCCGAAACCGCATCCTGGTGCAGATTGCTCGCTGCCTCCTCACTCATGCTTCCGCCCCTCCCTCTCTTTGAGGATACGCCATGCTCCATGCTGCCGCCCTCCACAATCTCCATCCTCATCCTCACCACACCCACACCACCCCCGCAGAGCTGTGGACGGGTCAAAAGCCGTCCGTCCGCCCTCTCCGTGTATGGGGGTGCACTTCCTATGTCCTCAACTCCCAAGCCCGTCGTGCAGCTGGCGGCAAGCTTGCTCCGAAAACAATCACGTGCGTGTACCTCGGGCACAACTTGGACTCACCAGACTACCTCTTCCTCCATCCTACCACCAACAAACTCTATCGCAGCCGAGATGTTTTCTTCGATGAATCCCACCCATTCTACCCCTCCTCCACAGTTTCTCCTTCTCCTCCTCCTCTTTCTCTAACATGGGCTGACTTTGACATCCTTCCTCCTGCCACCACTCCATCTCTTCCTCTTCCCGCTCCCTCCACAGTTTCCGACCCCCCGTCACCCGCTTCCCCATCCAGCACCACGCAGTCTCCCCCGCTCCTTCCCGCCCCCGAGCCCATTCCTCTCAAAACCTACCAACGCCGTCCTCCTGCTCCTGCTCCTGATCCACCTCCTGCTCCTGATCTGGCTCCTGCTCCTGATTCAGCTGCTGCTCCTGATGCTGCCACTACACCTCCTGCTTCTCCTCCTCCAGCTCCGCCTCCCTCCCCCATCGCTGGTCGCACCCGCTCGCACAAAGCTCCCAAGCCTCTTTCCCTTTCCATTCGTGTCTCTCTCAATCCTCCTCCTGTCGGGGGTGATTATTCGCTCATGCCCTCCCTTCTTGAGGACAGACATGAGGAGTTGATTGACATTGACTCAGCCATACACGCGCTCTGCTCTCTCTTTCCAGATATCGCAGAATCTCCCACCCCCAACTTCTCAGACAACCCCTCCATCCCCACACCTCTCACCTATGCTGAAGCAGTTTCTGGTCCTAACTCCGCTCAGTGGATAGGGGCCATTATCGCAGAGTGTGAGGCCTTCATTCACACAGGGACTTTCACAGATATCATTCCTCCCTCCGGCGTCAACATTGTGAAGGGAAAATGGGTTTTCCGGGTGAAACAACTTCCAGGCGAATTTCCTGTCTTCAAAGCCCGGTACTGTGCCAAGGGATTTACCCAAAAGCGTGGACTGGACTTCTTTGAGACATTCTCTCCCACTGCCAAACCTCCCACACTGCGCACCCTTCTCGATGTGGCCGCTCGAGATGACATGGAGGTTGACTGCATGGATGTGTCTTCTGCGTTTCTGCAAGGGATCCTTCGAGAGGAAATCTACATGGAGCGGCCCGAAGGATTTCCAGCTCCTTTTCCACCAGGCACTGTATGGAAGCTGAATCGACCAGTATATGGCCTCAAGCAAGCACCCCGGGAATGGCACAACAAGCTCAAGAGCACCTTAGGGTCCCTCGACTTTCACCCATCCACCTCTGACCCCAGCCTCTTCATTCGAGCAACACCATCCCGCTTCTTCATCTTGGTTTATGTCGATGACATGATCCTTGTCACCAAGGATCAGACTGAGCTGGCAGCAGTCAAAGCCGCACTTGGTGAGAAGCTGGCCATGAAGGATCTTGGGAAGCTGACGAACTATCTGGGCATGGAAATCACACGTGATCGCACGGCCCGCACCATCACCCTCTCGCAGAAGTTCTACATCAACAACGTTCTGACAAGGTTCAAGATGCAGGAAGCAGCTTCAATGCCCACCCCACTCTCTCTGCAGCACCAACTCACTGCACCCTCTGTTCCCTCACCTGAGCCCTGCGATGAGGCTTACCCCGAGCTCGTTGGTTCCCTCATGTACGCGATGATGTGCACTCGACCAGACTTGGCCTATCCAGTCAGTGTCCTGTCTCGCTACGTTGCACCTGGTCGCTTCACGAGCCACCATTGGTCTGCCGCCAAGCGGGTCCTCCGCTATCTCAAAGGCACACAGGACTATGTGCTCACTCTTGGCGGCTCTTCCCCTATTCGCCTTGAGGGGTACAGTGACTCGTCCTATGCTGATGACCAGAGTGATCGGCGCTCTTCCCAAGGGTATTGCTTTACCCTTGGCAGTGGGGTTGTCAGTTGGCGCTCCACTCGGTCGTCTTCCGTCTCACTGTCGACCTGTGAGGCAGAGCTGTATGCAGGGACCATGGCTGCCCAGGAGGCCCGTTGGCTCTCCTTCTTGCTGGCAGAACTTGGGTATCCTCAACCAGCCCCAACGCTTTGGTGTGACAACGAGAGCACCATTCATCTCACCAAGGACCCCGTCTTCCACGGCCGCACCAAGCACATTGAAGTCCGTCACTACTTTCTTCGTGAGCTGGTGCAGCGCGAGCAGCTGAAGGCAGAACACATTGCCTCCGACTGCAACCTTGCTGACTTGTTTACCAAGTCTCTTGTTCGTCAAGACCACTACCGCCTCCTCTCGTCCATGGGTGTTGGACCGCCATGTGGCTGAAGTGTTGTCAGCCTAGGGGGTGTGTTAGAAATAGTCAGTCAACACTTTGTACTATATTCTATATCGGTTAGGTTACTTTGTAGGTTGGGTGTAGATTTGTAATCCCAACCCTATCTGGTTGGGATTCCCTCGTAATCCTGCAAATCTGCCAACTCACCAATTGGAGATTTGCTAGGATTCCCATCCCATCCTTTCCCTAGCTTTGCTCAACCCAACCGTGTTTGTACTTAAGGCCTCGTGCCTTCCTTATCAATCAATCAGTTAAGTTCCAATTCTATCACGCCCCTCCAAGTCCGGCAGACCGAATTCCACCTTGCGGTCAAACGACCCGGGCGCAGGAGAGCAGGATCAAGGGTGTCAGGCCTAGGGGGGGGGGGGAGAGGGGGGAGAGGGATTGAGGAGAGACGAGAGAAGAGGGTTAGAGGTGCGAGAGTGAATCTTGAAGATGTGCGTTCGCCCCTCCAGGTCCGGCAGCCCGAATTCCACTTTGCGGTCCAAGCGACCCGGGCGCAGGAGAGCAGGATCAAGGGTATCAGGCCTGCGGGGAAAGGGGAGAGAGTGTGGTTATCAGGGAGGGAGACGAGGAGAAAAGTGAGAGGGGATGGAGATAAGGGAAAGAGTCATGTCAGTATGCCCCTCCCTCCAGGTATGCAAGTCCCGAGTTCCACCTTGCGGTCGAGACGACCCGGGCGCAGGAGAGCGGGATCGAGTGTGTCGGGCCTGGTAGGAGGATAAAGGGAGAGGGGAGGAGTTAGGGAGGAGAGTTGGGAGGAGGGGGATAGTGAGAAGAGAGATTTCACCATGTCTGTTGGTAGCAACGTGAACAAAAACGCTTGCATCAAACCCGTCCAGCTGATTCACTATCTCCAGCATCGTGCGCTGCACCTCTGGTTGTCACCACCCGCCCCGAGGGGAGCAACACAGGTCACTAATCCTGCTGCCGGCAGCACACCTGCACGAACATGTTCACACCTGTACACACCTGTTGGTAGCCATGAGGACTTTGATGTTCCCGCGGGCATCGAACCCATCCAGCTGATTCACAATCTCCAGCATCGTGCGCTGCACCTCGTTGTCACCACCCGCTCCATCGTCGAACCGCGCCCCTCCGATGGCGTCGACTTCATCGAAGAAAATAATGCACGCCTTCTTGGAACGCGCCATCTGGGAGAGAGAATACAGGCAGAATGGTGGAACGGGGGTGGGATGAGGGAGTTTATCTTCCAATGGCGTCGACTTCATCGAAGAAAATAATGCACGCCTTCTTGGAGCGAGCCATCTGCGAGAGAAGGGACGGACAGAGAGGATACAGGGAGGGTATAGGGCAGGCAGGTAGGGATGGGGGTTCAGAAAAGTGGGTTGTGCCCTGCAATGGTGTTGACTTCGTAAAAAAAGAAATGATGCACGCCTTCTTGGAGCGCGCCATCTGTGAGGGAAGATACGGGAAGGCATAAACAGGTGACAGGGGAGAGGTGCGGGAAGAGAGAGATGGGTAAGGGACGCCCCTCCAATGGCGTCCACCTCATCGAAGAAAATGATGCACGCCTTCTTGGAGCGCGCCATCTGTGAGGGAGGGCGGATACAGGTCGGGTACAGGGCAGGCAGGGAAGTGGGTTCCATCCTCCAATAGCATTCACCTCGTCAACGAATATAATGCATGCCTTCTTGGAGCGCACCATCTGGATGGGAGAATATATGGGGGGGCAGGGCAGAGGGAAGCGAAAGGGAGGATATAGGGAGAAAAGGGCTGCGCCCCGCCCCGTCGTCGAACCGCGCCCCTCCAATGGCGTCTACTTCATCAAAGAATATGATGCACGCCTTCTTGGAGCACGCCATCTGAATGGCTCGCCCCGTCGTCAAACCTCGCCCATGTATTTCTGCACCACCTCGCCCATGTATTTCTGCACCACCTCGCCCATGTATTTCTGCACCACCTCGCCCATGTATTTCTGCACCACCTCGCCCATGTATTTCTGCACCACCTCGCCCATGTATTTCTGCACCACCTCGCCCATGTATTTCTGCACCACCTCGCCCATGTATTTCTGCACCAGCTTTCTGCCTGCCTACAACACGGATGCATGCACTGCACTCTCACCTGGAGCATCACCAGTTGTCACCCGCCCCAATTTTCACCTGAAAAAGCTATCACTTGGAACAACTCTCACATGCACCAGCTTTTACCTGTGGCACCAGTTATCACCTGCACCAGCTCTCACCTGGAACAGCTCTCGAACCATCCTGGCCCCCTCGCCCACGTATTTCTGCACCAGTCATCACCTGCACGCGCATGCCTGCACTCTCACCAGCAGCACCAGCCTCCACCTGGAGCACCAGTTATCACCTAGACCGAATCTCACCTGGAACAGCTCGCGGACCATCCTGGCCCCCTCGCCCACGTATTTCTGCACCAGCTCGCTGCCTATAACGCGGATGAAGCAGGCATCCGTGCGGTTGGCCACAGCACGCGCCAGCAGGGTCTTGCCGGTGCCGGGCGGGCCGTAGCACAGCACGCCCTTGGGGGGGTCGATGCCCAGCTTCACAAACTTCTCCGGGTGCAGCATGGGGAGCTCCACAACCTGAGAGTGTGTGCACAAAGGGAGAGGGAACGGAGACATGATTGCAGCACAGCACGCCCTTGGGGGGGTCGATTCCCAGCTTCACAAACTTCTCCGGGTGCAGCATGGGGAGCTCCACCACCTGAGAGAGTATGTGGCGAAGAAAGGAGATAAGGGATGGGGGTGAGGGAGGGAGAGTAGGCCGTAGCAGAGCACGCCCTTGGGAGGGTCGATTCCCAGCTTCACGAACTTCTCAAGATGCAGCATGGGCAGCTCCACCACCTGGGAGAGCACGTGGAGAAGAAAGTGGGAGAAGGAATGGAGATGAGGGAGGGAGGGAGGGCCGTAGCAGAGCACGCCCTAGCTTTACGAACTTCTCAAGATACACCCCATAACAAAATAAGCCACGCCTTCCTCCACCCACTGACTAAACTCCCACAATCCACTCACACTCCACTCTCTCACCCACCTCTCGCATTTTCTCTATCTGCTCTTTGCACCCGCCCACATCCCCGTAAGTCACATCCGGCGTCTCCTCCACTGTCATCATTGTCACACTCTCCCTCAAACAAACTCCCTCAAAGTCCAACTCATCAGGCATTCGCTCTTCTCACGCACCTCTCGCATCTTCTCGATCTGTTCCTTGCATCCGCCCACGTCCCCATAGGTCACATCCGGTTTCTCCTCCACTGTCATCATCGTCACTCCCTCCCTCCTATCACACACTCCCCCTTCTGTTTCACGCCCTGACTCACTCGTGCACACCATTCCCTCTCCCCATCCACCCACCTCGCGCATCTTCTCAATCTGTTCCTTGCATCCGCCCACGTCCCCATAGGTCACATCTGGTTTCTCCTCCACTGTCATCATCGTCACACTCGGGTCGATCTTGGGCGGCAGGGGGATCTGGATTTGATACTTGTTGCGATCCACTCTGCACAATGGACGAATACGCAGGCATAGGGAAAACCAGGTCCATATTGAGGCAGCAGGGGGGTCTGGATTTGATACTATGCCCAAAGAGATCATGACACATGGATACGGAGATTCATGAGTAAATAACGACAATTGAGAAACAAAAACAGGAACGACTCTTTATGGCGACCTATACCTCATTCTGGTGCGAACATCTCAGGAAAAAGCATAAGAACGGATCCAGATCCAGATGGCATGGCCGCTGGCACGCGTGGCATTGGCGGATGGCATGGCGTTGGCGAATGGTATGGCATGGCGGATGGCATGGATGGCAAAGATTGCGGATGGCATGGATCGCGTGGATGGCATGGATGGCATGGATGACACGGATGGCATGGATGACACGGATGGCATGGATGACACGGATGGCATGGATGACACGGATGGCATGGATGGCGGATGCATGGCATGCGTGCACTCACCCCACTCGCATTCCCTCCTCTATGTCAGTCGGTGAGACGCGGTCCCCCAACCCCAGCACAACTATTGAGGCACCTCAAACCTCGCACACACACACTCACCCCGCTCGCACAGACGTACTCACCCCGCTCGCACAGACGTACTCACCCCACTCGCATGCCTTCCTCAATGTCAGTCGGTGAGACGCGGTCCCCCAACCCCACCACGAACTGCCACAGCAAAGACGCATAGGGGGAAAGGAAACAGTAAGAATGTTACAACAGATATTCTGGAGCTGTATACAGAAAGGAACCACAAGACTAACTAACAGAAAGGAACCACAAGGAAAAAAAACGGCTAAGATACTCTAGAGGAATCTTGACATTGTACATGGAATAATGGAGAGATTCAAACGTTGAGATGCGTGTGCATGGGGTGGGGGGGGGGGGGGGGAGGGAGGTGCGCGGGGGTACAGGTAGAGAAAAGCAAGCACGTTCGGGGAGTATTCGCTAGCATAGAGAGGGAGGGAGAGCCCACCTTGGCGATCTGCTTCACGTTGATGACGTATTTGGCGTCGTCTGTGTTGGGGTTGATGATCTTGGTGCAGCGCGCCACCTGGCAGAGAGATGTGAGAGAGGAGAGAGCATCGCGCGTTAATGGGAACAGATTAATTCAGGTGATCATGTTTCGCGCCGTCCGTGTTGGGGTTGATGATCTTGGTGCAGCGAGCCACCTGGCAGGGCGAGAGCAGAGAGAAGGGAGGAGAGAGCATCGAGAGTTGGTGGGAACAATGTAATTTTAACCAGAGGTGATCATGCTTTGTAACGTCAATGTTGGGGTTGATAACCTTGGTGCAGCGCGCCACCTGGCAGGGCGAGGGGAGAGAGCGTTGCACTCACCTGCTTGGTACATGTATGTACCTATCTGCGCACTAATACAATGACCGATGGAGAGAGAAAAGAGCGTTGGATACTGGAGAAAGAGATGGAGCTGGGTTGGGGCGACAAATGACCTTGCCGCTAGGCAGCGTCCCTTCAAGGTGTTCAGTCGGGAGTGTGCACAATCAGGCTCAGTCAGTCAAGCATGCTCAGTCAGTCAAGCATGTTCCGTCAGTAAAGCATGCACAGTCAGTCAAGCATGCTCAGTCAGTCAAGCATGCTCAGTCTGTCAAGCATGCTCAGTCAGTCAAGCATGCTCAGTCAGTCAAGCATGCTCAGTCAGTCAAGCATGCTCAGTCAGTCCGGCGTGCTCCGTCAGTCAGGCGTGCTCGGTCAGTCATGAGAAAGCAAGAAGGGTGTGTGTCGTGGGGGTGTGCTTGCCTGCAACGGCTGCTCCTCCTGCATCATCTGTTTGTCCGACACCAAATCCCACTGGCTCGGTGCAGCCAAACCCGTGTCCGACTCCTTGATGCCTGCCACGGACACAACAACACAGCACAGCCATTTGTTTGTGTTTTGAGTCGACTTAACATCAACCTAGATCCCACTGGCTCGGTGCAGCCAAACCCGTGTCCGACTCCTTGATGCTTGCTATGGATATTTCACAGCCAGTCAGGCGATGCGACATAAGGTGGCATCAGGAGATGCCATGCGACCGAGCGCGAAATTCGATAACATTACGTGGCATCGGTCAGCATCAGCTTACAGCAGGCAACATCGGGCGACATCAATTAGTCCGATGTCCAACTTCTTTATGGAACAGATTAAGTAGACTTTGCGGTATAATCTGGGTCACTAGGCTGGACAATTCCCGAGAACGAGCTGGAGCTAACGTGCTTGAGGCATTAGGAGGAAAAAATCGTAGTCTATACGAAACCAACTCGTCGCGGATCAGGCAGCGTTTGCTCCTTGTCGACCATTGGACAAGTCAATCAGAAATGCGTTCAATTCGTAACGGAGGTTGACGGAAAGCTGACGGAGAACTGACGGACAACTGACGGACAGCTGACGGACAACTGACGGACAACTGACGGACCGCAGATGGACCGTTACCAGCGTCACGACTCTGAGGACGCAGTAAATCATCGTCAGCAGCATAATCAAACACCCAAGTGCCTACGACTTACCACATAGGTCGTTGACCTTCTTGGCCATGTCCTTAATATCCTTCTCAACCTTCTTGATAGACGTTGAGTACGGGCCAAGACCCTTTGAGACGTCTCAAACCACGTCTTTAATCAAGGGGCCTACGACTTACCACATAGGTCGTTGACCTTCTTGGCCATGTCCTTGATATCCTTCTCAACCTTCTTGATAGACGTTGAGTACGGGCCAAGACCCTACACGTTGAAATAAAGCGGGGAAAAGGAAAGAGGAAACAATCGAAACTATTCAAGGGTGGAAGCTTGGACGTCGGACGACTGAATTACGTAACGATCTGGACACAAGGTTGACGAATCAGCTCCAAACATCTGCATAGAATCTGAACGGCAATGAAGCCTCCGCAATAGTCTCCTCTCCTAAGGTCCCAGCGAAACGCACATATGTCTTTAAAAGAGCGATATCGTCCTCATCGAGGGCGGGAGGGTTCTTCTCGTCGAGATCGGGATCGATTTCCGGCATGATGGCGGCTCTCGCTCTCGCGCACGGAAATTATCAGTTTTTGCAATACTAGGGCCGCCGACCCGTCGGCCGAGTCTAGGAACAGAGGATGCGAGCGTGAGATCTAAGAGAAAAAGCGAGTGGACGACCGAAGAAATTACAATTAGGAGGCGAGCCTTCGGAATCTACCGCTTCGCTTTGACTTGTTTCGGAAAGGGAGGGAGCGAAGGGAAGCGAATCTCTAGGCTTCGTCTGCCGAGTGCCGCGCTTATAGTACAGTGCGTGCTCCACTGTACCCATTTATGTAGCATGTTAGTGCGCACGTTTGTAGCTCTTGTTACAAACTCCATAGCTTGTTGCACCCTCCCCATTCTTACTGGTAGCTTCAATTCATGCTATGAGGATTGGCAGCGTTTGTGAACTTAAGTCATCAAAATTACCATGTACAATCAGGTCTCATATACGGTATTGAGTTTCGTCCTTTTACATTGAACACTAGCACTGAAATGGTGTCAAATGTTGAACATTGATATGATAGGCTGTAGTGAGTTGCACTCTAGGGGGTACAGTTTCTAGGGTTGCTTATTTGTACCCCATTCGTTTCTATTCCAACCATTCCGTTGCTAACCACTCTTGAGATGGTATCACGAGCAGGACCGTTCCTAGCCCGTTCCTAGCCTAGTGTTCACCCTCCGCACCCTCCGCGCCTAGCTCGCGCCCTCCGCGCCCTCCGCGCCCTCCGCGCTTAGCTCGCACCTCCGCACCCATTGTGCCTCCGCGCCTAAACCGCGCCACTCCACCCTCCGTGCCTAGCCCGCGCCCTGCCGCTAGCCCGCGCGACGCCCGTAGGCTCTGCCCCAGCCCGTCGCGACGCCCGTAGGCTCTGCCCCAGCCCGTCGCGACGCCCGTAGGCTCTGCCCCAGCCCGTCGCGACGCCCGTAGGCTCTGCCCCAGCCCGTCGCGACGCCCGTAGGCTCTGCCCCAGCCCGTCGCGACGCCCGTAGGCTCTGCCCCAGCCCGTCGCGACGCCCGTAGGCTCTGCCCCAGCCCGTCGCGACGCCCGTAGGCTCTGCCCCAGCCCGTCGCGACGCCCGTAGGCTCTGCCCCAGCCCGTCGCGACGCCCGTAGGCTCTGCCCCAGCCCGTCGCGACGCCCGTAGGCTCTGCCCCAGCCCGTCGCGACGCCCGTAGGCTCTGCCCCAGCCCGTCACGACGCCCGTAGGCTCTGCCCCAGCCCGTCGCGACGCCCGTAGGCTCTGCCCCAGCCCGTCGCGGCGCCCGTGCGCCCTGCCCGTTGCCCACGCGCGGCCCGTACACCCTAGCCCGTCGCCCCAGCCTTCGACCTAGCCCGTATTCCCACCGTCAAACCGCCCTCCCCGCCCATTCCCACCGTCAAAACCGCCCTCCCGCCCATTCCCACCGTCAAAACCGCCCTCCCGCCCATTCCCACCGTCAAAACCGCCCTACCCGCCCATTCCCACCGTCAAAACCGCCCTCCCCGCCCATTTCCACCGTCGCAAACTCCCCCCCCGCCCCTCTCTTCCTGTTACCCACCCTTGGCACGCGCCCTAGCCCCGCCACCGCCTTGTGCGCGGGGCCCTCCCCAGCTCTACTGACACTGGTCTATCACCTAGCGGCTGGCAGCCACTCTCTCTTGCCGCCCGCCTAGGTTCGAGCCGTTTAGCCGCTAGTATCGCGCCCCTAGCCGTTGTAGCTGGAGATCCTCCGTTTCACGCCTAGCCTAGGTCACTCAGTGCTCCTAGCCTCTCACTCCGCCGTTCTCCCTCCTGGCGCTCCGTAGGTTTCCTCCTCGTTCTTAGCTCAGCCTCTGCCGAGCTCCAGCCGCCTCTAGCATGGCATCAGTCATGGAGTCTCGTCGCCTCCGTTTCGACGCGGAGGGACGCCCGATAGAGTTTAGCACCTGGCAGCGCCAGACCACGCGCTTCCTCACCAGCCAGCGGCAGGACGGCGCCACTCTGTGGGCTCACGCGTCTGGTGCCCTACAGGCCCCCCCGTCCCCCGCCGCCCTGCCGACCGCCCCGGAGCCGACCCCTACGGCCCAGGCGGACTACGACCGTCGGGTCCTGGCCAGCGACGTGTGGCTCTCGCGTGACGCAGCCGCCGCTCTCACTCTGTCGGAGCTTCTCCCCCCGACTGAGGCCGCCCACTTTGACCAGGTGGAGACTGCACAGGGGGTTTGGGAGGCTATTGTTGCTCGCTACTCCACCCCCTCCTCTGCCTCCCTCAGTCGCCTCCTCATGCCGTTTGTGTTTCCCGACCTAGGCTCGTTTGCGACTGTTTCCGACCTAGTGACTCACCTCCGCTCGCTTGACGCCGGTTTCCGCGCTGCCTGTACCGACGCACAGCTTCTTGTTGCTCCCCCCCCCATGTGGCTCACTGTTCACTGGTTAGTCACCCGCCTCCCTGACCGCCTTGCCACTGCCCGCGACGCGCTTCTTCAGAAGCACCCCACTGAGCTCACTATCGACCTCCTAGCGACTGCTCTAGGGACCATCGAGAGCAGTCTCCTCACCGTTGCCTCCGCCACTGATGCGGTGGCCCCCCGTCTCTTTGCGGGGTGTGCCGCCCCTCAGCTTCCCACTTTCACCGCTACCCGCGCTTCTGCTGCTGTGTCGGTCTCTGAGGACACTGCTGCCGTTTCTGCCGCAGACTGGCAGAAACGGGGCAAGAGTGGCAAGAAGGGCGGGAAGGGGGGAGGTGGGGGCGGTGGAGGCGGCGGTGGAGGTGGCGGTGGAGGTGGGAGCGGCGGTGGTGGCGGAGGCGGCGGCGGCGGCGGCGGCGGTGGTGCACCAGGGGGAGGGGGCCTTGGAGGAGGTGCAGGACAGACAGGCCCACCCACAGGTGGTGGCCCGACCGGTGGGGGCGTTGCCCCCCAGCAGCAGCCGCCACAGCAGCACCAGCCACAGCAGGGACAGCAGCAGCAGCTGGGACAGCAGCAGCAGCAGGCACCGCAGCAGTTCCAGCAGTGGGGGCCCCCGCTGCAGTGGGGTCCGCCGCAGCACTGGGGTCCCCCGCCGCAGTGGGGTCCGGGAGGCCCTGGGAGCACCGGCCGCAGCAGCAGCTCTTCCAGCTGGGCCCCTCGCCCCCCTCGCCATGACGCTGGCCCCTGCACCCACTGGTGCGTCACCGGGCCGGGCAACCCCTGTCTCTGTGGTCGCGACGACCACTCTGCCGCGCGGTGCTTCCGCCGCCTCGACGACCTCTACCGGGCTCGTTGGGGCCCTCTGGCGGTCACGCCTCGCTGGTCTCGTCTGTTAGCCCGTAAGATTGATGTGTTTGATCTGTCCATGGACGATGCGCGTCAGCATGCTTTGTATGTTGATGCTGACTTTAGTGCTGATGGATCTGTGTGCTCGCGTGTTCGTAGGTTAGCCTGCTTGCCTCCTGCTAGTGTAGCCTTGTGCCTGTCTAGCTTAGGTGCTTGTGTTGCTGCTCTAGGTGCTTGTGTAGCGACTGGGTCTGGTGACCCTCAGGCTGAGGCCTCTCTGTCGTTCACGCTGGACTCGGGCGCGCCTCAGTGCTTCTTCCGCGACCACACGACCCTTACGCCACTCCTCACACCTGTGTCGGTGGCTCTGGCTGATCCTACCTCTGGACCAGCCGTTGCGCGTAGCTCCACCACCCTCCCGTGCCCTGTGGTCCCCTCTGGTGTCCTGCGCGGCCTCCACATCCCCTCGTTCACTCGGAACTTGGTGGGTGTTGGATACCTCCAAGACAGGGGGATCACGGTTACCTTCGTGGGGGGTGGGCGGACTGCAGTCTGTACAGACGCTACCACAGGTGCTGTTCTGGCCACGTTCACCAGGGAGCCCCACTCCGGTCTCTACGTCCTCCACACCGAGCGCTCCCCGGTCGCGTCCTCCCCTCAGGTCGTTGCGTCCCCTCCGGCCCAGGTCCCCAGTCCAGTTGTTGTGTCTAGCCAGGTAGTAGTGTCCGGTCCGGTCGCTGTGTCCAGTCCAGTCGCTGCGTCTTGCTCCTGTCGCTCTCTCACCCACCGCACCGTCCTGTGGCACCACCGCCTTGGCCACCCGTCGCTCCCTCGACTACGTGGCATGCTCAGTCAGGGACTTGTCTCAGGTCTCCCACGCACCTTCCCGTCGCTCCCTCTCTCGCCTGCCCCTCCTTGCTCTCCGTGCGTCGCCGGTCGCTTACGCGCCCCTCCCCACTCCTCCTCCCTTCGTCCGGCCACCGCTCCCTTCGAGACTCTCCACTTGGACGTCTGGGGCCCTGCCCCGACGCAGGGGTCTGGGAGGGAGCGTTACTTTCTGGTGGTCGTCGACGACTTCTCCAGGTACACCACAGTGTTCCCTCTTGCGAAGAAGTCCGAGGTGACTGCTACGCTGATCAGGTGGCTTCTAGCCACTGAGGGCACTCGTGGTCGTCGAGTCAGTTGTCTCCACTCCGACCGTGGGGGCGAGTTTCGCTACGGCATTCTCGGCGGATTCTGCGGCGAACAGGGCATCACCCAGTCCTGGACGCTGCCAGAGTCCCCACAGCAGAATGGGGTTGCTGAGCGCCGCATAGGCTTGGTCATGGACATCGCCCGCACGTCCATGATCCATGCCCGTGCGCCCCATTTTCTGTGGCCCCACGCGGTTCGCTACGCCGCACACCAGCTGAACCTCCAGCCGCGTGTCTCGCGGCCCGAGGTTTCACCGACCAGTCTTTGGACTGGTTCCCCTGGTGTCGGGTCGGCCTTTCGAGTCTGGGGCTGCCTTGCCCTTGTTCGCGACACCTCCGCGGACAAGCTCTCGGCACGCGCCGTCCCCTGTGTCTTCCTTGGTTTCCCAGTGGACTCTGCCGACTGGTCCTTTTACCACCCTCCCCTCCACCAGTTCCTCGACTCCCGTGACGTCCGGTTTGACGAGTCCGTGTCCTACTACACCCGGTACCCCTGTCGAGGTCTCCCGGTACCCCCTCCCCCTCTTTTCCTCGCACCCTCTCCTCCTCCTGCTCCCGCTCCTCCGGTACCCCCGCCCCCCCCTGGTCCTGCCCCGTCTGGTGTGTCCCACGTTACCCCTCTACCCTCGGTCGCGCGTCAGGTAGCGTCTCCCTCCCCGCAGTCCTCCTCACAGTCCCCTCAGCAGCCTTCGGCACTTCCGCGACAGGTTGCTGTGGACTCGGTTGGTGTTGGAGCTGGAGGTGCAGCCACTGGCGGTGCTCGGTCTGGGGGTACTCGGTCGCGGGGTGCTGGAGCTGGAGGTGCTGGCGCAGGTGGCGCTAGCTGTGGGGGTGCTGGAGCTGGAGGTGCTGGCACTGGTGGTGCTAGTTCTGGGGGTGCAGGAGCTGGAGGTGCTGGCACTGGCGGTGCTAGTTCTGGGGGTGCTGGAGTTGGAGGTCCGGGCACTGGAGGTGCTGGTTCTGGGGGTGCTGAGTCTGAGGAGTCTGACCCTGGTTCTGCGGAGTCCACTCCGCCTCCCCACCGCCACGACACACGACTCCAGGCTGCCCGCCGGCGTGAGCGTGAGGAGCAGGAGCGGTTGGAGAGGGAGCGGCAGGAGCTGCGGGTGCTGGACCTTCTGGAGCAGCAGCGGCAGCAGCAGCAGCAGCAGCAGCAGCAGCAGCAGCAGCAGCAGCAGCAGCAGCAGCAGCAGCAGCAGCGGCAGCCGCAGCAGCAGCCGCAGCAGCAGCAGCAGCAGCGGCAGCCGCAGCAGCAGCCGCAGCAGCAGCAGCCGCAGCAGCAGCAGCCGCAGCCGCAGCCCCCGCCGCAGCAGCAGCAGCCGCAGCCGCCACCGCAGCTTCCTCTGGAGCGGCGGTTGTTCCCACCTGTGAGTGGCCTGCGGGCCCTTGTTTTTTCCTCCTCTCCTCCTGTCCGCTCCCAGTCTCCTCCTGTTTTTGTTCCTCCGTTGCCTCCTCCTGACGACCGTCCGGCGGTCTGGTCTTCTCCTCCTCCCCAGTCTCCTCCTCCTTCGGTCCGTCGCGACTTGGTCACTCGTTGTCCTCCGCGTGCTCGTCACTCGTCCCCTGTTACTGACCTCCACACTGCCCTCCTTTGTACGTCTCGTCATCGTTCTCCTTCTCCTGTGTCCGTTCTCCCGTCTCCTCCTCCGTCCTCTCTCCCAGCCCTCCCCACTCTTATCACTGACTACTACCGCACTGTTCGTCCTGTTGCCGCACGTGTCCTCGCCACTCTTGTCACCGACTCTCGTTTCCCTCCGTCGTCGGTCTCTGCTCTTACTGCCGCTGTCGCTGAGTTTGCTGCCGCCAGCCGCCTTGACTACGCCACCCGTGTGGTGCCAGCTCCTCCCTACCGTCCTCTGTCTGTCGGGGGTGGGTTTGCCCTTGGCTGTGACATCCTAGAGGACAGAGAGTCTGAGCTGGAGTACTGGGCAACCGCTTCTCCCTCTGTGTGTGCCATGCTGCTCTCCCCTGAGGGAGACCCCGACGCCCTTGACATACCGACTCCTCGCACTTACCGCGAGGCAGTGTCAGGGGCGTGGGCCTCTCAGTGGAAAGCGGCTATGGACTCAGAGTTGGCGTCTTAGAGATCCACAGGCACCTACGTCGACGCAGTTCCCCCTCCCAGGGCGAACGTAGTCGATGGCATGTGGCTCTTCAAGGTGAAGCGGCCGCCTGGAGCACCGCCGGTGTTCAAGGCGCGCTACGTGGCTAGGGGCTTCAGTCAGCGTGAGGGAGTTGACTTCTTCCAGACCTTCGCCCCGACCCCGAAGATGACTACTCTTCGGGTGTTACTCCACATAGCAGCGCAGCGAGACTACGAGCTGCACTCCCTCGACTTCTCCACTGCGTTCCTCCAGGGCCGACTGCACGAGGAGATCTGGCTGCGCCGTCCTCCTGGCTTCACTGACACCTTCCCACCTGGGACCCAGTGGAGCCTGAGGCGACCAGTCTACGGTCTCCGCCAGTCGCCCCGTGAGTGGCACGACACTCTTCGCTCCACGCTTCGTGACCTTGGGTTCAGCCCGTCCTCCGCCGACCCGTCGCTGTTTGTTCGAGCGGGTTCTACTCCTTTCTTTATCCTTGTCTACGTCGACGACTTGGTGTTTGCTACAGCAGACAGGGCAGCCCTGGCTCAGGTGAAGTTCGAACTGCAGAAGAGACACAAGTGCACTGACCTGGGTGAGCTGCAGCGTTACCTTGGCTTGCAGATCACCCGGGACAGAGCCGCTCGCACCATCACACTGACGCAGTCACACATGGTGCAGCAGGTCCTTCGGCGGTTCGACTTCCAGTTCTCCACTACTCAGCCCACTCCTCTTGCTGTTGACCACAGACTCACGGGCCCCTTTCCTGACGAGCCCTTTGAGTCCAGTGGACCCTACGCAGAGCTGGTGGGCTGCCTCATGTACCTGATGACTTGTACTCGACCGGACCTTGCCTTTCCCCTCAGCATCCTTTCTCGCTTTGTTGCGACTGGGAGACACCGCCCTGTCCACTGGACAGCTGCTGTGAGGGTGGCGAAGTACCTGGCAACTACATCAGGCATGGGGCTTGTGCTTGGAGGGACTCGGCCAGTGGCGTTGACTGGTCACTGTGACTCTTCCTCGCTGACGATGTGGAGACTCAGCGCTCGACTCAGGGTTACTGCTTCAGTCTGGGAGCTGGTGCTGTGTCGTGGAGGTCTACACGGTCGTCGTCTGTGGCTACTTCCAGTGCAGAGGCAGAGATCTACGCGGGTGCCATGGCGGCACAGGAGCTTCGCTGGTTGACCTTCTTGCTCGTCGGCCTTGGTGAGCGGCCTCGCTCTGCACCGACCTTGTACGCTGACAACAAGGCCATGATCCTCCTGTGTCAAGAGCCTCGTCTGGAGAGCAGAGTGAAGCATATTTACGTGAGGTACTTCCTCCTGCGAGAGCTGCAGCGACGCGGCCAGGCACGCCTGGACTTTGTGGCCTCAGAGGCCAACACTGCAGACGTCTTCACCAAGGCCTTGGCGCTTGGTGACCACCACAGGTTCTGTGTGCAGTTGGGGCTAGTTGAGGTAGGCCCTCGGTTGCTGTAGTCCTGTTGCTTGCTCTGCTTGTTGTGCCTTGTATTTATATCCTAGTGAACCCTTGAACTGGCCTTGTGGCCGCTTGCTTGCGCTCGGAATTTGTGTGGTGTCCTTGAGATCCACCCTGAGCTTGTCTTGGTTCTTGCTTTGACTGGTCTTGTGACCGTTTGTTCACCTTGCTTGCTTTGATGCCCCTCACTTAGCCTATGGGGATGTGTCAAATGTTGAACATTGATATGATAGGTTGTAGTGAGTTGCACTCTAGGGGGTACAGTTTCTAGGGCTGCTTATTTGTACCCCATTCGTTTCTATTCCAACCATTCCGTTGCTAACCACTCTTGAGAAATGGTCCTGTAATACTATATTAGAATGGCAATGGCCAGCCTTCGACGGATGTAAGCTTTTTGTACGCCACTTGAAGCTTCTGTGTGATGGGCCCAATGCAGCTTCCACCATCTGCTCTGCAACCGCTGCTATCTAGGTTGTTCCCGATTGGACGGTTGTCCAGAAGCACACAAGGTGTAAGCTCCCCCATCGTTCCCGTAGTGAATATCTGGCAACAAGACCAGGCTCGTCAGAAAAGGAGTTTTTTGGATTGACAAGGAAAGCAGAAACAAGAACTGCCTTGTGTGCACACAAGAACAAAGATTTGAACAAGCAATCTTCACCTCATCGGCAGCGTGCAGCTGAGCAGTGGTGATGTTCCACTCCTGGATGGGGATACCTTGCTGCCTCGCCAGATCAAACACGTGATAGGCATTGTTGTGTCACCTCACCTTCTACGGCTTGCCTCAAACATTCTGTCTCACCTCGTCGGCAGCCTGCAGCTGAGCCGTGGTGATGTTGCACTCCTCAATGGGAATGCCTTCCTGCCTTGCTTATTGGGGTGCCTCAAATGCCGTGTCTCACTTCATGCCTCACCTCGTCAGCAGCGTGCAGCTGAGCCGTGGTGATGTTGCACTCCTGAATGGGAATGCCTTCCTGCCTTGCTTATTTGGGTGCCTCAAATGCCGTGTCACACTTCATGCCTCACCTCGTCAGCAGCGTGCAGCTGAGCAGTGGTGATGTTGCACTCCTGAATGGGAATGCCTTCCTGTCTCGCCAGCTCAATAACCTGCCAGGCATGACCGGAAGGGGATTAAAAACAACGAACGGGTGGGTGAATGGATGGCGTCAGGATGGGGGGTAGGGGTAGGGAGCAGCTGAGCCGTGGTGATGTTGCACTCCTGGATGGGGATCCCTTCCTGCCTTGCCAGCTCAATAACCTGCCAGGCATGACCGGAAGGGGATTAAAAACAATGAACGGGTGGGTGAATGGATGGCGTCAGGATGGGGGGTAGGGGTAGGGAGCAGTTCAGCCGTGGTGATGTTGCACTCCTGGATGGGGATCCCTTCCTGCCTTGCCAGCTCAATAACCTGCCAGGCATGACCGGAAGGGGATTAAGAACAATGCATGGGTGGATGAATGGACAGTGTCAGGATGGGGATAGGGAGCATATAGTGCCCCACAATCTGCTCCACACCGTTTGAGGCGCCTCAGAAGGGAGCATACTGTGCCCCACAATCTGCTCCACGCCTTCCCATTTCTAATGTTGCCCCATGCCACCCTACCCCCCACACTCTAAACCCCCCTGCAGTACTGTTCGCCACCCTCCTGCCACTCTAATGGTGAGGGTGATCCCTAGCAAGCAGCTGGCAGCTGTCAGCATAGAAATCAACAAAAAACAAAACTCAGCAGCTGTCGGCATGGGGAGTCAGAATGAAAACCCCTCAAGCGGAGTCTTCCCCTCTCTTCTTAATCCCCTCCCCCCATCCCCCCAAGCAGTACCATGGCTCGGGTGATCCCTGGCAAGCAACTGTCAGCGTGGGGAGTCCTAATGAAAACCTTTCAGGCAGATTCTATCTCCCTCTTCTTACTCCTCCCCCCCCTGTTCCCGCTTACTCCCCCCCCCAAACCCCCCCCAAGCAGTACCGTGGCTCGGGTGATCCCTGGCAAGCAACTGTCAGCGTGGGGAGTAAGGATGCGCCCTCTCTTCACCATGAACTGACAGGTATGAAGAGGGGGGAGGGGAGGCAGAGGGAATGATGGGGAGCTTAGTCAAGATGCGGCCTCTCTTCACCATGAACTGACACATACAGGGACAGGGGCAGCGGGGAGAGCGGGGAGGGGAAGGTGGGGGGAAAGTGGGGAGGGCAGGGGGGAGGGACGAGCAGTCTCGTTGGGTGCCTGGGGGAGTCAGAATGCGCCCTCTCTCCACCATGAACTGACAAGGGGGAAGAGCTGGCTTTTGAGTCGACTCAAATGGCAGGGGGGAGGGACGAGCAGTCCCGTTGGGTGCCTGGGGGAGTCAGAATGCGCCCTCTCTCCACCATGAACTGACAAGGGGGAAGAGCGAGGAGGAGAAGCGGAGGGGAACTGAAGAACAGAGCCAAAATCATTCGACGGTTAGGAATAACAGAATGCACTGTTGAACGCACAGAAGGCTCTGAAGTGGAAAAAGAACACCTACAATGTTGGTAGCGTTGGTTTCGCTGACATATCCATGCACATCCAGCATCACTGCATCGTCTGCCCCTGCGTTGTTCCCCTCGATCTGCATTCATGAAGCACGTTTCATTATCAGGATAGAAACTTTTGAGATTACAAAAGCGACAAAAGATTGTGTAACCACATAGAACGATTATAGGTTGAATGACGGATGGTCAAATGGTTGTTCAAGCTGAAGAGATGATGTTGATCCTTGTGACAAGACGAACATAAGTTTCAGCGCATTTGCCTTGTATCAAAAAGAAAATAAAAGAAAAGAAAACTAGTTATTCTTTCCAGATTGTTGCTTTGCCACCGCAACTGCAAGAATAGTAATGTTGCGGACTGCACCTATACGAGTCAATTACCTTAGCGAGGATGTTATTAATGAGGTTGTTGTGATGGATGTGCGAATCCACACACTGCTTGCAGGGAGGGATGAACGGCAGGTTGATGGATGAATGCGGAGATAGCAGAATTTGGGAAAGAAGGAGGGATGGAGGTCAATGAAAAGAGCAAGTCAGGTCAATGAGAAAGGGGGAGTGCAGCAGGGAAATCCGAAAGACAGGTTGATGGTTACTCAGGAAAGAAGAGGGGCGGCGGCGAGGGGGATGGATTCTCAGGAAAGACGAGGGGACACAGGAGCGGAAGAGGAAGAAGAAGATCCCACTTGTGGCGAGTTCCTTCGCGTCGAGGCAGTGATGAGCTTGATGCCCCGAGTGTGTGTCGCTCTTGGAAATTCTCAAAAGTGACACAACAAGCATCATGCCCTGCCCACCCACCTGTGGCGAGTTCCTTCGAGTAGAGGCGGTGATGAGCTTGATGCCCCGCGTGTTGTCGTACACAGGCGGCTTCCATTCCGCGAGCACTGAGTGGGGTGGGTTGGGAGGAGGGAGAGGTCAGTCAGGGGAAAAGAAGTTGCGGGAGAGGGAGAGAGGTACCGGTGTGGTAACAAAATTGGTGCCCCGTGCGTTGTCGTACACTGGGGGCTTCCACTTCGCCAGGACTGAGTGGGTACGGTGGGAGTGGGAATGAGGGTGGGAGCGAATTTGAAGAACAGGTGCAATGAAGAGCTTGATGCCCCGTGTGTTGTCGTACACTGGAGTGGGGCAGTGGAAGTGGAAGCAGGAGAGGGAGTGGGAGTGCGAGGAGATGGTGATAATTGCAGGTGCAATGAAGAGCTTGATGCCCTGTGTGTTGTCGTACACAGGGGGTTTCCACTCCGCCAGGACTGAGTGGGGCGGAAGTGGAAGACGGAGTGAGAGAGTGGGTGGGAGTGGGAGAGGGTAAGAAGCGCAGGTGGGTGCCGTGATGAGCTTGATGCCCCTTGTGTTATCTTACACGTGGAGATTCCACTCCACGAGAACTGAAAAAGCGTAGTGGGGGTGAGAGTGGGAGAGGGCATCGGGGACGGAGTGGGAGTGGGAGTGAAAGAGGGTGAGAAACACAGGCGTGGCGATAAGCTTGATGCCCCGTGCGCTCTCGTACACATGGGGCTTTCACTTAGAGAGGACCGAGAGGGCATGGTGGGAGAGGGATTGGGAGTGGGAGGGGGAGAAGGAATGGGAGATGCAAGAGGGTAAGGTAATGGTGCAGTGACAAGGGTCGGTGATATAACACGGGGCAAACGATAAAGGGCAAGAAGTACATGGTTGTTGAGTAGTAGAAATTGCAACAGCTGTGATTCACTCACCGATTAGCGTGCAACCATAGAGATTGAATTGAGGGCTCATCCCTGATGTAGTCTGGATAGCAGGCACACAACACAAGTGCACATACACACGCACGCACGCACGCACGCACGCACGCACGCACGCACGCACGCACGCACGCACGCACGCACAACGCACACACTTCCCGCGAGTAAGAGTGAGTCGAACATGGGCATTAAGAGTGAGTCGAACATGGGCATTGTCAGAGGGGGTCGACACCAGTGCATGCACCACGTGCTCCCGCGTTGGCACATTCGCAAACGCCATAGGGACACTATGCACCACTATGCCATTCGCAAACGCCATTCGCTCCATGTTGGAAGATGTAGGGAAGCGTGAGCACTTCCTGTTCTGTTATTCCTTCATCGCTTAACTCCCTTCATTCTTCCCCTACCTTCTTCCCCCGTGTGAGTGTGAGTCGAACATGGGCATTATCCCTCATGCCGTTAGCAGCAAGCGTGGACACCAGCGCATGCACCACATGCTCCCGGGTTGGCACGTTCGCAAACGCCATAGCCTTCGCAGAATCAAACAAGCTGTTGATTAGGTGGGAAGTAGGGGTGTGGAGGGTGGATGGTGCACACGCCAGGGGCAGGGGCACGAGGCTTGTGAGGGAAGGTTTTTACAAGGGAAACGAGCAGAGAAGCAATGTATATACACACACTCACCGGTCCAGATGCTCTTGCAGCTTGAATACACGAACGTCGTACACTCACTCACTCGTTCAGAAGAGGGCAGCAGTCAATACACACAACGGAAACAGCAAATTGCACACACACTCACCGGTCCAGGTGCTCTTGCAGCTTGAATACACGACCGTCGTACACTCTAAGTCCCTCCCACACAGCATCGCCCCCCTGCACTGCCGAGTCCAACACGTGAATCTGCCCCTCATAGACCCAGCCCAGGGGACATAAGGTAATACACAGCAGGAGGAGACATCAGTAAAGTCAACTCAGACGTCACTCTCTCAGCGCCTCCGCTCCCACACGGCGTCCCCTCCCTGCACTGCCGAGTCCAACACGTGCACCTGCCATCCGTCCATACCACAGGGAAGATGAGATAGTGGAGACAGCATGAGAAAACACTTGTAAGTCAGCTCCTCAGTCCCTCCCACACGGCGTCCCCTCCCTGCACTGCCGAGTCCAGCACGTGCACCTGCCATCTGTGCACAGAGCAGAGCACTTAGACATTGATCAAGTCAACTCAAAGTCACTCTCTCAGCCTCTTTCCTCCCACACAGCATCCCCTCCCTGCACGGCAGAGTCCAGCACGTGAAACTGCCACCCATCCACACCACAGAGCACTTAGACATTGATCAAGTCAACTCAAAGTCACTCTCTCAGCCTCTTTCCTCGCACACAGCATCCCCTCCCTGCACGGCAGAGTCCAGCACGTGAAACTGCCACCCATCCACACCACAGACATTGATCAAGTCAACTCAAAGTCACTCTCTCAGGCCCTCCCCTCCCACACAGCGTCCCCCCACTGCACTGCAGAGTCCAACACGTGAATCTGCCGTCCGTGCACAGAGCAGACGGGGTGGGCAGCGGAGAATCCACCAGTTACTCAACTCACAAGTGACTCTCTCAGCCCGTCCCACGCAGCATTCCCTCCCTGCATTGCAGAGGCCTGAACGAAACAGTACTTTTATCACGTGGAAAAACCAGCAGATGCTCTTGGCCAGCACAGGGAGAGAGAGAAGAGAGCAGAGGCGAGGACACTTGTAGCCCATATGACAAGACACCTTATGTATGGTATGTAAGCAGCTCAACCCTACCTTGGCGTCTCGTGGGGGCACCAGGCCCTCCTCCCCCACCCACACCAGCAGCTGCCCATTAGCCGGCACAGAGAGAGAGAGGTGGCGAGGGAGAGGCGATGCACTTGTAACCCATATGCATCTTACCTTATCCACCCACTCTACATGCATGAAAAGGTAGGACCCTACCTTGGCGTCTCGTCTTGGCACCAGCCCCTCCTCCCCCACCCACCCACACCCACAACAGCAGCTGCCAGCTTGCAGGCACACGGAAAGGCGGCGAGGAGAGAGGAGAGGGCCGTTGCTGCAACCCATATGACTTTTGAGTCGACTCAAAAGTCAGCGGAGAGGAGAGGGCCGTTGCTGCAACCCATATGCCACCTATACCTTATCACCTTATCCATGCCATATGCATGTAAGATGGCAGAAGACCCTACCTTGGCGTCTTTTGAGGCGCCTTAAAAGTTGCTGCAACCCATATGCCACCTATACCTTATCACCTTATCCATGCCATATGCATGTAAGATGGCAGAAGACCCTACCTTGGCGTCTTTTGAGGCGCCTTAAAAGTTGCTGCAACCCATATGCCACCTATACCTTATCACCTTATCCATGCCATATGCATGTAAGATGGCAGAAGACCCTACCTTGGCGTCTTTTGAGGCGCCTTAAAAGTTGCTGCAACCCATATGCCACCTATACCTTATCACCTTATCCATGCCATATGCATGTAAGATGGCAGAAGACCCTACCTTGGCGTCTTTTGAGGCGCCTTAAAAGTTGCTGCAACCCATATGCCACCTATACCTTATCACCTTATCCATGCCATATGCATGTAAGATGGCAGAAGACCCTACCTTGGCGTCTTTTGAGGCGCCTTAAAAGTTGCTGCAACCCATATGCCACCTATACCTTATCACCTTATCCATGCCATATGCATGTAAGATGGCAAAAGACCCTACCTTGGCGTCTCGTCGGGGCACCAGACCCTCCTCCCCCACCCACACCAGCAGCTGCTGGTTTGCCGGCACAGGGAGAGGCGGCGAGGGGAGAGGAGAGGGCCCTTGTAAGTTGTAACCCCTATGCCCAAGACACCTTATCTATGGTAACGACGCAGCTCAAGCCTACCTTGGCGTCTCGCCTTGGCACCAGCCCCTCCTCCCCCACCCACACCAGCAGCTGCTCGTTTGCCGGCACAGGGAGAGGCAGCGAGGGGACGAGGGCAGATGAGAGGGCACTTGCCCCCTTTTCACCTTATACACGCTACGTGCATGGTATGGTAGGACCCTACCTTCGCATCTCGTCGCGGCACCAGCCCCTCCTCCCCCACCCACACCAGCAGCTGCTGGTTGGCCGGCACAGGGAGAGGCGGCGAGGGCAGGGGTGAGGCAGAGGGATAAGGGGAGATGGTGGTGGGAGTGGTGGTGCCGGTGGTAGCGGTGCTGCTGTTGTTGGAGGAGTTGGAAGTGGTGGTGAGCGGTACAAGGGCCTTAGAGCGGAGCAAGGAGTAGAACGGGCGGCAATCCTCTAGTAGGGAGTAATGCTCCATTGGGAAGGGCTGAGAAGGGGGAAGTGGAGGGGGGAAAAGGGGAAGCGAGTGAGAAAGCATGGCAGTTGCAGTGAGAGTGAGTATGGAATGACAAGCCATTTGCAGGCTCCAGTGGTGCAGAGTGGTACGAGGACTTTGGAGTGGAGCGGGGAGAACAACACAAAGCAGTTCTTCGGCAGGACGGATTTGGCCATGGGGGAAAGCTGAGAGTAGGGGACCAGGGAGGAGAGAGGAACGAGAGACAGGGAGTGGCACTGGTGAGTGGTACGTACAAGGGCTTTGGAGTGGAAAAAGGAGACGAATGGGCAGCAATCTTTCAATAAAGTCTAGCGAAATTGGGTGAGGTTTAGAGCAGCTTGGAGTACAGAGCACAGGGAGCGAATCCAGTGGAAGCATGTGCTGTGGTATACCACCATGGAGCTGCAGGGTGTTTTTGAGAATTCTCAAAAACACCCTGAAGCATGTGTTGTGCTACACCACCATGGAGCCCACACCTTGTACCTCTTTGACTATGAGTGAAGAACAGGGCAGGTCACCTTGGGGTAAAGAGCAGGGGGAGCGAAACCAGTGGAGGCATGCGTAGTGGTATACCACCACACCACGGAGCCCACACCTTGTACCTCTGTGACTATGAGTGAAGAGCATTGTGGGTCACCTTGGGGTAAAGAGCAGGGGGAGCGAAGCCAGTGGAGGCATGCGTGGTGCTATACCACCACGGAGCCCACACCCCGTCCTCTGGGCGCTTGCCTGCAGGCCAGCTGCGGAAGGAAGCACAGAGAGAGAGAAGGGAGGCACCATGGGCATACGTGGTGTATTAGCGTATCGCCATAGGGCGTGCTGGTGCTATACCACCAGGGAGCCCACACCCCGTCCTCTGGGCGCTGCCCTGCAGGCCAGCTGGGGGAGGAAGCAGAGAGAGAGGGAAGTGATGGCATGATGAATGATGTATTTTCCGTGTGGTGTGGTGGTGGTAAACCACCAGGGAACCCACACCCCGTCCTCTGGTCGCTTGCCTGCAGGCCAGCTGGGGAAGGAAGGAAGAGTGGCCACGGGGGGGTTGCATTGGGGCATGGAGAGGGGGAAGTAATAGCATGCGTGGTGTGAGTTCCCTGGTATACCACCGTCCTCTGGGCGCTTCCCTGCAGTCCAGCTGGGAAAATAAAGTTAGAGGAGGGGTGGGGGCGGGTTGGAAGGGAGCACAGAGAGGGGGGTATGGAGATGATGCAATAATGCATGATTTTAATGCCATACTCAAACTCAAAGTACTTGCGAGGAATGCTAAAATAAAAACTCATACTTTGCCATTTACACTTAGCTAAGATTTTTCAGCAAAGAACTCGACATGGTTACACTTACGAGAGCATTTCAGGATAGAATGGGATGTCTAGAGCTTGGCAGAGGGCCATGAGCACGCCCTGTTGATTTGGGTGGGGCATGCGGGGGGCAGGGGGGCGAGAGGGTGAGCATAACATGCTAGAGCTCAGAAAGAGCTGGATAGAATGGGATGTCTAGAGCTTGGCAGAGGGCCATGAGAACGCCCTGTTGATTGGGGGTGGTAAACACATGAGAGCGGGATGGTAGAAAGGTTCTGACACGTGTAAACACTGAACTCTCAACTGATTCGGTTTGACATGGGTAGCGGTGGGGAAGACAGGGGAGGAAGGGCAGGAAGGAACACATGTGGTGTGCCGCGTGGGCTTTTGAGTCGACTCAAAGGAAGGAACACATGTGGTGTGCCGCGTGGGCTTTTGAGTCGACTCAAAGGAAGGAACACATGTGGTGTGCCGCGTGGGCTTTTGAGTCGACTCAAAGGAAGGAACACATGTGGTGTGCCGCGTGGGTAGGCCAGCAGCAGTAACGAAATGGCACGCGGGTCACATGGGCTTGCAGTCTTTCCGCGGGTTGTGGTAATGACGGGCAGTGGAACTGCAGTAGTGCGGCGTCGGCCACAGGCGTGGGTGGGCTGGGCCCGTGTGGGAGAGCGAAGAGTGGATGGCGGGGAGGTGGTGGGGATGAGAAGAGGAGAGTAATGAGAATGAGGAGGTGATCTACGTGAGGGTTGGATTGCAGCCTAGTGGCGTCCACCACAGGCGGGGGTGGGGGCCATGTGGGAGAGCGAGGGGTGGATGGCGAGGAGGTGGGGAAGAGCTGCCTCAGAAAGACACGGTGGGGGTGATGATAGAGGTACCTGCGGGTGGGATTGCCGGGTTACGTGGGGGTTGGATTGCAGTCTTGTGGCGACCACCACAGGCGGGGGTGGGCCCGTGTAAGAGAGCGAGGAGCGCATGGCGAGGAGGTGAGTGAGGATGAAGAGGTGTTGATAAAGGTACGTGTGGGTTGAATCGTAGTCTACCTGTGGGTCAGCTTGAAGTCTTGAGGCGACGATCACAGGCGGGGGTCGGCCCGTGTGGGAGAACGAGGAGTGGATGGCGAGGAGGTGCGGGAGAGCCGTCTCAGAGAGGGCAGGAGGGATGACCAGACCACAGCAAGCTAAATGAGGGCTGGCAGCAGGGGGATGACGGGGAAAGTACCTGGGGGTTGGATTGCAGTCTTGTAGCATCGACCACAGGCGGGGGTCGGCCCGTGTGGGAGAGCGAGGAGTGGATGGCGAGGAGGTGGGGGAGAGCCGTCTCAGCGAGGCACGAGGGGCGACCAGACCACAGCAGGCTAAATGAGGGCTGGCAGCAGGGGGATGACGGGGAAAGTACCTGGGGGTTGGATTGCAGTCTTGTAGCATCGATCACAGGCGGGGATCGGCCCATGTGGGAGAGCGAGGAGTGGATGGCGAGGAGGTGGGGGAGAGCCGTCTCGGAGAGAGAAGGGGGGGAGACCTCACCGAAGGATGGCTGGCAGGGGGATGGGGGTGGAGAGGAAAAAAGGAGAGGGAAAAGCAGTGATGGTGAAGGTAGGATGTAGCAAAGGAGGTTAGAAAGCGCACTTCAGGTGATGGTGGGAAGAAGCAGCGTTTACAAGAGAATTCTTGCCATGGAGAAAGAACAAAGAAATGACATTTATTGTGAGTGAGTGAGCGAGTGAGTGAGTGTGCGCCTCACAATGAGCAGCATGGGGTCGCGGATGAGAATGACATGCCGGCTGGAGAGCAAGCTAGAGAGCAAGTGAGTTAGTGAGTGGGCGAGTGCGTGTCACACTGAGAGTGAGTGAGTGTGCGCCTCACGATGAGCAGCATGGGATCGCGGATGAGAATGACATGCCGCCCGCGTGACAGTAGCGAAGCCTGAAGCTCCTCTCGGCACTGCTTTGCCATGTGCTGACAATGGGGAGGGGTGGAGCAGAATGGAATTGTGATTGTGAGTGAGTGACAATAGTGAAGACTGGAGCTCTCCCGGCACTGCTTCGCCATGTGCTGACAATGGGGAGGTGGAGGAGGAGGAGGAGGAAGTAGTGTGACAATAACGCAATGATGAATGTTTGCGATTTTGAATGGAACGCCTCAGAAATGGGGGCAAAAGGGGGGTTGGGGGTGGGGGGGAGAGGCGTTTGAAACAGAGAGTAAATCATTCAGATTACAAATTGTCTGTAACGAAAGCTAATCATTCAAAACACAAACCTTTACAAAACGAAGAGGGTTGGAGCCTCGAGGGCCATATACGACTTGATCCACCACCCTCATGCCATTAGCATCCTGCCAAACCAACCAAGGGAACAGGATTGTTGGAAAGAAGGAGAGGATTGTGAGAACCCTCTCACCATGTACGGCCACCATGCTACCCAGCACCAGCTGCCTGTACGGCCGGGGAGCGCCAGTAACTGTCAGAGCTGCCATTGCAAACCACAATGCCACACAACACGCACTTCACCATCCCATCTGCTTCTATCTCACCATGCTACCCAGCACCAGCTGCCTGTACGGTCGGGGAGCACTGGTGGTGACTGCCAGAGGCCAAACCACCGTGCCACACAACACACACTTCACCATCGTATCTGCTTCTATCTCACCATGCCATCCAGCACCAGCTGCCTGTACGGCCGGGTAGCACCCGTGACTGGTAATGCTCCTTCATACTATATCTGTTGTTTTCATCGTCTATGCTGCACCATGCCACACACACAGCACACACTACCACTTCACCATCCTATCTGCTTCTATCTCACCATGCTATCCAGCACCAGCTGCCTGTACGGCCGGGGCGCACCCGTGACTGTTAGAGCTCCCATACCAACGTGAGGTAATGTACCACCGTGCCATACCGCACAGCACACTCTTCTATCTCACCATGCTATCCAGCACCAGCTGCCTGTAAGGCCGCGGAGCACCAGTGACGGCCAGGAAGTGGGCATAGAGGGGCTCATCCACCACCTCCGTGTCTGGGCGCTGCAGGAAGAGAGGGGGAATGGGAAGAGGTAAGGCAAACTGAGGGGAATGAAGGGTGTTGGCAGCACCGGTGACTACCAGGTAGTCGGCATAGAGGGGCTCATCCACCACCTCCGTGTCTGGGCGCTGCAGGAAGGGGGGAGAAGAGGGAGGTAGTGGGATGTGAGCATGCTATACAGGAGTGGGACGGCAGTGGGCCAGCCGGGCAGCACCAGTAACTGTCAGGAAGTCGGCGTACAGAGGCTCGTCCACCACCACCGTGTCTGGGCGCTGAGAGAGGGAGGGGAGAGAGGGGAAAAGTGGGGAAGAGGGGGAAAGGGGGAATGAAGAGTGTTGGCAGCACCCGTGGCTGCCAGGAAGTCGGCATACAGAGGCTCATCAACCACCTCCGTGTCTGGGCGCTGCAGAAAGAGAGGGAGGCGGTGGGGAGGGGGGGAACAGGGGGAAAGGGGCAATGAAGGGCGTTGGGAGCACCCGTGGCTGCCAGGAAGTCGGCATACAGAGGCTCATCAACCACCTCCGTGTCTGGGCGCTGGAGGAAGAGAAAAGGGCGTTGGGGGCACCGGTGACTGTCAGGAAGTCGGCATACAGAGGCTCATCGACCACCTCCGTGTCTGGGCGCTGCAGAAAGAGAGGGAGGTGGTGGGGAGGGGGGGAACAGGGGGAAAGAGGCAATGAAGGGCGTTGGGAGCACCCGTGACTGGCAGGAAGTCGGCATACAGAGGCTCATCCACCACCTCGGTGTCTGGGCGCTGCAGGAAGGGACGGGCGGGGGGGGGAGTGCGGAGGCAGTGGAGTGTGAGCATACGATCTGGGAGTGAGACGGGTGTGGGACGGCTGGGCAGCACCGGTGACGGCCAGGAAGTCGGCGTACAGAGGCTCGTCCACCACCTCCGTGTCTGGGCGCTGCAGGGAGTGGAGGAACGGAAGGGGGAAAGGGATTGAGAGGTGTGAGCAAGGAAGTCGTATCCGAAGTGAATCCCAGGAAGTCGGCATACAGAGGCTCGTTCACCACCTCCGTGTCTGGCGCTGAGAGAGGGAAGAAGAGTAGATTGGGGAGGTGTGAGCACGCAATCCGGAAATGTGACGGTCGTGGGACGGCCCGGGAAGACCGTGCTAGCACGGTGGCTGAGAAGTTGTGAACGTGCGTAAGACCCGCGAATTTGTCCTAAACTGTCCCAAAGCGCGATCAGCCGAGCAGAGAGAAGAGTCGGATCAATTCGTGCCTGAGCGAAGGAGTACATGAGGCTCGTGCTGAGAGACCGCGGTCCCGACCAGAGGTTGATCACCCAATCCGCGTCCGACGCGTCACCAGGCGACGCCATCTACGGCGCGCCAACGGGTTCTGGAGCAGTTTCCGTTTCCGATGTCGTTTCGGGATGTGATTAGGTTAGGTTCGCGTTCGACGAGCGCAATGGATTCTAAAACCCGTAGCGCTCAAAACGTCGTCGCAGGCCCGTTCTTTGCGGTAGCTACTTAGCGTCAGTCTTAGGAGCCAGATTCTTGCGGCTGGGAAATTGGTCTCAACTTTTCCCATTCGTTCTGATGGTAACTCGGTTCACCGGTTCCACTGAAGGCAAAGATGCGACTTCTGAGGCATCTCGGATTCCGCTTGGTGGATTCGCGACCATTAGTAACGAAGGGACATTTCGCACTAGCTCGCTTTTTGAACAGATTGAGCCTCCGTCTTGTGTGCGAACTCAACAATACTTCGCGATTTTCCGCAGAGGCGGGAATTTTGTGTCAGTACCACCACGTATGTCAGCTGAAAGACTTGTTTTGCCTATAACGAGGGAACTCTGGAACATCCACCATTTACAATAAAAGGTGTACAGCACATAATGTAATCTCAAATTTGACGGACTCACAGTCGCAGAGATTTTTTTACATTGTTTCTCGGTGCTTTGCGAAAGCTCAGCAAGCACCGTCAATTTGACACCAGCCAACAAATTCTTGCCACGTCTGCAGCTGAAAGTTCTCGAGACGCCCATTGTGACATTCCCGCACCGCGCTTCAGCCCAATGTGGAATTCGCAAGGCCAATCTGCCTGATTCCAGCAGCTTCTAGGGGGCCAACATCATAGACATGCAAATTAGTCTGGTAACCCTATCCAATGGTATGCAAAACCGTCGATACCCTAGTTCTGCTGCGCAAGTTTGTCTGGTAGCGCCACTCAAAACACTGTGTAACAGCTGACGCAGCACAAAAAAGGAAGAAATATGAGATATAATCAGTTTTGTTTTCAATTTCGTATCTTCGTGGTTCTTACCGCGCCCCGTTAGGCGCCTAACAAATATTCCTCCGGGCTACTATTTTCCGCTAAATGTGCACGATACATTTACGAAAAATCCATTGGAATAAAAATATACGGGGTCCATTTTGTAACAATTTATTGCACCCAATATATTGCTACCGAGAAGTGTTAGGGCAGGGCTGAAAAACAATAAAACCCCTAGGGACCTGGACGCATTTCCGGGAGGGATCAACCCTAAACACGGGAAAGGACATTGTTTTTAGGGTTAATGCCTCCCTGACGCATCCCGTTCCGATTGGGGTTTATTTTTTTCTTGGCCCGAAGAAATCACGTTATAGTGCGAAGGCAAGCGCGGTAAGGATCACTCTTTGAATAAAAAACAAACGCGCTACTAGGGCAGCATGTCAATACCTCCAAAACTGAGGTAAGACGGTTTTGCATACCATTGGATAGGGTTACCATACTAATTTGCATGTCTATGATGTTGGCCCGCTTCTAGGTTTGAAATGAACGCCAACCTCCTTCCATTCGACATCTTTCTGGCAGCTTCCACAAGCTCAAATCTGCACGAACGCTTTCGACTCCCGTCTCTCTCAATCGCTATATATGGGTGGACTCACAGTTACGATTCATCAAATCAAAACAGCAAATAAGCTCTCAACTCTCTCTCTCTCTCTCTCAACTATCACGCTCTCGCGCCTCTCAAGACTCAGCTTTATTAGCTCTCTGACACTTTCTGAAGTTCACTCAGCAAAGGATTCTCTCCGCGCTTCATTATTTTCATCACAGTACCTAAGAACTCGTTTCCTCATATCTCAGTCATGGCGAAGGGAGAAGGCCCTGCGATTGGCATCGACCTCGGCACGACCTACAGCTGCGTGGGCGTGTGGCAGCACGATCGCGTTGAGATCATCGCCAACGACCAGGGTAACCGCACCACCCCGTCCTACGTGGCGTTCACCGACACGGAGCGCCTGATTGGCGACGCGGCCAAAAACCAAGTGTCCATGAATCCCGTCAACACCGTTTTCGGTACGTCACATGCTAAATCATCCATCATTTCCGACACTCCACTTCCTGCACCCCTACCTCCGCACTGAATTATAGCATACCATGAATGTGCCTGCCCTCGCTCATTCGTCATGCCTGCTGATTTCTGACTTGTTACTCTTCACTTGACCTGCTTGCAGATGCGAAGCGTCTCATTGGACGGCGGTTCTCCGACGCGCCCGTGCAGAGCGACATCAAGCTGTGGCCGTTCAAGGTGATTTCAGGCGCGGGAGAGAAGCCGATGATCCAGGTCGAGTACAAGGGCGAGACGAAGCAGTTCGCCGCAGAAGAAATATCGTCCATGGTGCTGACGAAAATGAAGGAGATCGCGGAGGCTTACCTCGGGACTACCGTGAAGAATGCGGTGGTGACGGTTCCGGCCTACTTCAATGATTCGCAGCGTCAAGCTACGAAAGACGCGGGTGTGATTGCTGGGCTAAACGTGATGCGCATTATCAACGAGCCGACGGCAGCTGCTATCGCGTACGGCCTCGATAAGAAGAACAGCAGCTCATCCGAGAAGAACGTGCTTATCTTCGATCTTGGTGGCGGCACTTTCGACGTCTCGATTCTTTCGATCGAGGACGGTATCTTCGAGGTCAAGGCGACGGCTGGTGACACTCATTTGGGTGGTGAAGACTTCGACAATCGCATGGTGAACCATTTCGTCCAGGAGTTCAAGCGAAAGTATAAGAAGGACCTGAGTAACAATCCGCGGTCTCTTCGCCGACTTCGCACGGCCTGTGAGCGCGCCAAACGAACTCTCTCCTCCACTGCGCAAACCACCATCGAAATCGACTCGCTCTACGAGGGAATCGACTTCTATACCACCATCACTCGCGCGCGATTCGAGGAACTCAACATGGATATGTTCCGAAAATGCATGGATCCGGTGGAAAAGTGCCTCAAGGACGCGAAAATGTCAAAGTCGCAGGTGCACGACGTTGTGCTCGTGGGCGGCTCGACTCGCATTCCCAAGGTGCAGCAGCTACTGCAGGAGTATTTCAACGGCAAGGAACTCTGCAAAAGCATCAACCCCGACGAGGCCGTCGCGTATGGCGCGGCGGTTCAGGCGGAGATTCTGAGCGGCGAGGGGAACGAGAAGGTACAGGATCTGCTGCTGCTCGACGTGACGCCGCTCTCGCTTGGATTGGAGACGGCTGGAGGGGTTATGACGGTGCTAATTCCGCGGAACACCACGATTCCGACGAAGAAGGAGCAGGTTTTCTCGACGTTTTCGGACAATCAGCCGGGCGTGCTAATCCAGGTCTACGAAGGCGAACGCGCTCGGACCAAGGATAACAATCTGCTCGGTAAGTTCGAGCTCTCGGGAATTCCGCCGGCGCCACGTGGCGTGCCGCAGATCACCGTGACGTTCGACATCGACGCGAACGGCATCCTAAACGTGAGCGCGGAGGATAAGACTACCGGGCAGAAGAATAAGATTACAATCACGAATGATAAGGGCCGACTGAGCAAGGAGGAAATCGAGAGGATGGTGGAGGAAGCTGAGAAGTATAAGGACGACGACGAGCAGCACAAGAAGCGTGTTGAGGCGAAAAACGCGCTCGAGAATTATTCGTATGGCATGCGTAACACCGTTCGCGACGCCAAGATCGGGGGGAAGCTCTCGCCTGAAGATAAGAAGGCGATCGAGAAGGCTGTTGACGAGACGATTGATTGGCTGGATAAGAACCAGCTCGCCGACGTGGACGAGTTCGAGGACAAGCAAAAGGAGCTCGAAGGCACTTGTAACCCGATCATTGCGAAAATGTACCAAGGCGGGGCAGGACCCGTGCCAGGGGCGGGAGGTATGGGGGATGTGCCTATGGGAGGTGGTTCTTCAAGCGGAGGTGATGGGCCGAAGATTGAGGAGGTTGACTGAGGCTAGGAAAGGTGAAGGGGTGGCTGAAATGGAGGAAAAGCTCTCTGTTCAGTAGAAACTTGTAAGCAGTAAAAGATTTTCGTTTTGCTGTTTCCCCTACTAGTGCTCGAGTGTATTCATATCTATGTTCAATCGCGTATAGTTGAACGGTAATCCAGCTGGTTAGATCGACGACCATTTTCCCAGAATGTGCAATTTTGGAGCGCAGAGAAACACGTTGTCCAACGCCGCCAAGTCGTAAGGCCCCAAGGCACCATTCTCTCTTAGCTTGCCAGGTTACCAAACCTGCTATGCTCTAGCAACTACTGTCGCCGTCTACCATTGATGCGATTTCCTGTCGACACGCCGTTTTTGCTCGCATCACGAAAACAGAGAGCGCCACGGAAGCTGTTTGTTGCAGAGTCGCTCGACACTTATCACAGCAGCTCGCGATGAGCTCTTCATCGCCGCAACGCGATCTCTGGTCGTTTCTAATTGCCGATCTTCGAGCCAGTAATCTTCGCTGCTCGCCGTCGCTGCAGCGCGCCGAGTTTTCGTTCCCCTTCGTTTACAATTCGCCGCCACTGATTCTCCGTCGGCCTCTCGTCGGTGGTTTCCGTTTGATGCTCGTCGTCTCAAGGTAAATAGTGGTCGGTGAGCCGCGTTATTCTTCTCTTTCTTTTCGGTCATTGGTACCTCGTTTCCCGACGCTTTCCCCATGTCATGCCTTTGTTCGCCTTCGTTTCTTACAACAATCAATATGCCGTTCGTGCAGGCCGCGGCAATGTCCATGACAATGTTCGTGAGGATAATCGCGACGACCTTCGC